TGGCTTAGCTTTAAATAGCGACTGGGTTTAGCTTTAGGATTATCCTTATTTTAACTGTTGAATTTTTTAATTTAATCCGGCCGTTGAAATCAATATTTATATTAACGTCTTTTTATTATGATTTGTTATTTCAAAAGAGTATATTGGATTTAAAAACGTCTCCTAAAATTGTCAACACTGAGTTATGTGAAGATAACTAAAGGAGGAAAAAACAAAAGAAAAAAAGAAAAAATTCAACCATCCTTAAAAGAATGGTTAAAGGATCCTCAAAATCTGTCCCGTACCCAAAAAAGAAAACTAAAAAAGAAAAAGAATGCAGAAAAATCTAAGAATTTATTGTGTAAGAAAGTTGGTCTGAATGCTTACGGCATTATAGAAAGATGACGTAGTTATTGTTTTTTCAAAAAAGTCAAGAAAATGAGTTTACCATCATATAACTCAATGAGCTAGTTGAAATTATTGGCTGAAAAAAGAGAAATGTTAAAAAAAAAATGTTTATGTTTTTTCTTCTTACGTTTACGTTCTACGATTACCAGAACACAATAATAAACCTGTGAGTGTTTTTCTTCCGATGAAGATTACATGTTACAGTTTGATTTCTTTGAAACCCAAAAGATGCTTCTATCTTTGGTACAAATATTGCTAATTCCCTAAACTCAAAATTTGTTTAATCCAACAAATTTTATACAGAAACTATAGAGTAGACACTGTTTTCTAAAAACCATCCGAATTTTTACAAGGGTGGTAATAATTTCTTGGATGACAATGTTTATATGACTTTTGCAGTTTGCTTGACATTACTTTGCTTATTTATGCATACATTGATAAATGGATGAGTTTTGGAGTTTGGAGTTTTTGAGACTTTTTGAGACTTTTTGAGAAAGAAAAGCTCTTCTCTTGTTTTTTTTTTCTTTTTTTTTCTTTTTAAGTTTGGAGTTTGGTTTAAAAAATAAAAAATAGATGAAGCTGGTCTGTGAGTATTCATTGTTTCGTTTGTTTTGTGCCTTTGTGATCTTCTCGAATGCATCCGTTCCTTGGAGTATCTGTGTTTGAAGTAATTATTGGCTTTGTTCTCATTTCGGGCGCTCATTTCTGCTGGTGTTAGATGCTTTTTTGAGATTAGAATAGTTCTTCTTGCCATATTTTTGGTATAGCTCCAGCATCTTCAAGTTATTTGGAAAAGGTCATAAATGAATTTCGGTTCAACCGTTTCAGTTTTAGTATTTTTGATTCATTAGTGGTTCTAGCAAGTTTTGAATATTTTTCGCTTTTCTAAAAAGATTATGTTTTCTGCCGGCTTTGTTTTGCTGATTTTTTTTTTTCTTTTTCTTGGATGTTTGGTTTATGTAAGTTTATCTAAGTTTTAATAATAAAAATCTAGAGAAAAAATTAAATATTGTATATGTGCAAGAGTTTTACTTTTTAAGATATTTATAATGGCATAGGATGAGTAAAATCATAACAACTAACAACACAATAATTTTTCAAGTCACATAATAAATCTTCTAAACATTATATTATAAATCCATGAGTTGAATAACATATTATGTATCTATTTTTTAATGATATTATAGTCAATTTACATGCTGAAATGCTTTGATGGTCAAGCAAGTATATAACTTTTGGATCATTGTGTTGTTCCGGTAGTAAACCATTAACTTTCAATCTTTTTGCCATTTTCATCTATTTCAAATGCATGTACACACAGAATTGACGACAAACGTCTCTCTCTTCGCAACCTTTAATAATTGTGGTTTAATATTGACTTATAATAATCGTGGGGCAGGCAAATTTACTTTATCAAATGAATTTAGCTGACTTGGGTATTAAAAGGGAAAAAGACTGTGTCCGACTCAACATTAAAGTATAACGATTTCTGAGGACAATTCCCAAATTCCGCCCGAATTAAACTAACAAATTCCGGAATCTTGTCCAATAAAGTAATTTAACAACATCAATAAACCCTAGTATAGTATCCTACTGGCTTCAAAAAGGCTGGCCTGTACTAATCATTTTGATAATATATGTGAAACATAAAAGATTATGTTGACATGTACTAAACTAGACGATTTATAATCGTAACAATATTCAAGACAAAAAAAATCAACAAAAACTGTATTTTTTTTCTTTTCATAACGTAACCAAGAATTGTTCCTAGTGAATATTGTAAAACAACAGTGAATATAAGTTCCATCGCGAACAATTATGTTGATCATTGATGGCAATTATTTTGGTGAAATTCGATCGCTAATGTTGTCACATTTCAAAGATATATTAACAACATTTTCGAGTATTATTTAAAAACATAACAACTGTTTGGAGTTTATTTATTTATCAATCTTCAGACAATGAGCTTAAAAAAAGAAGTAAACACATTGGCGATCAGGTGAACATTACGAAAAAAAACATTATTGGTGATTTTTACATCAATCTAGAGTCGTTCCTAACTATTCTAATCAAATAAAATCATTCATTTTATCTTAATTTTTAAAATTACTTATATTTTGTTCAAGTAAAATTTTAATAATATTGTATTAATATATCATAATTAGTAGTATAAGAATTTGCATAAAACAAAATTAAAATGTGCTGAATTGATTCTCATACAACACTTTACAAGATGTTTATCACTCTAGCTAAATATTACTCCCTAAGCATAACCCAAAAATTCACTTATATAATCATGAGCCGTAGACAAATTTGTTTTTATAAAGGTTGGCTAACCTGATCAATCATATCAGTATAGGGACAGTAACCAATAATATCGACAAATGTAGATGGATAGAAGGGTTTTTCCCATTTTCTTTCTAGAACAAGATGGTTACTTAATCCTCTTTGATAAATCAATCATTTTTTAAAACAACAATTAAACACGTACGTAACAGAGAACTATGAAAATCGAAAACTCATTTTATTAAAATGATTAAAGCAAAAATCGTTTAAAAAGCCCAAAAGTAAATGAAATAGAATAAAACTTGCCTTAAAGATCAATTATCCCTTACTAATGAGCACGCATATTTTTTTTTTTGTCATCGTGTACTCTAAAAAGTTTGACTTATTAATATATTTTGGCGAAAGCATGTTGACTTACTAATTATATTTTATTGAAATATATTTAATAATGTAAAGAGAACTTATTTCGTTTCATATTATATATTTATACTAATACATACATATTGTAATTTTAATTTTAGTCGATCATGTCAGAACGTTAAATATATCTCTTCTACAACAAAAAAGAGTAAAATACACTTCCGGTACTTAAAAATTCCATAATATAGTGTTATATTTGAAGTTATGTATTAGTTTTGTCGAATAATTAAGGTATCGATGGTTTGTTTTATTCGTGCTTTCATTAAAATCATAATCTTTAACATCTATACGAAATTATTCTGCTAATTGTAAATATAAACTGGAATGTTTTGCTTACAATTAATCCCAAAAATTGCAAATAGAAACTGTCATTTGTTAATTGTAAATATAAACCAGAATTCTGCATCTCAAAAAGTATTTGGTAAAATGTGAATATAATTCATAATTATTCAAAAACACGTTGAAAAGTAAGTTTAGAAATTGGCATTTGGAAAAACTAACGCCAAATTGGCATTTAGAAAAAATAACGCATAAATCACTATAGTATTTTTTTATTTCAATCGGAGCCAAACTAATTACTAAAAAAGATTTTAAAAATAGAGTTTTTTCTCGAATAAAATGTATATACAATATAGTAATAAAAAAAAAATCTGATATAATATGTTGATTTGTATTAGTGGGTTGTGTTGATCATCCAGATCAACATGTTGTTTGTTGACAAAAGTAGAAATAAATATCTATGAATAGAATGTGGCCTTGGTCCTTGCATAATATCACTCAAACTCCAGCTTTAGGCCACATTTGTAAAGTAAGTGTTGTTGACTCATGGCACCATTTATTAGATGGTATGTATGGACTATGGAGGTTTAAACTTTACTTAATTACTCCTATGCAAAATTTACCCCTTTTTCACCGTTTTCCTTATCTCCAAATTCTCACTCTCTCAATCTCTTTAGTTTCTTTTGTTCTCTATTTTTTCTCGTCGTTTTATTTTTTATTTTTAAGAAAAAGAGATTAATGTTTGTGATACCACTAGAGCCGTTGGCTTTTAATTTTCTTCTACAAAATACGGAAAAGCTTGATCACTAGTTTATTCTGAAGTCAAACCGGCCGTGTAATCTAATTAATATCTACGTTCCTAAAACAAACTGCATTTTTTTGTATATAATTAATTCAATAACTGTACTAAGTCAATAACTTAAACATTTTTATGTATTGGTGATTAATATATAGATTGAATTTTGATCCCAGACTCCCAACGACGTTGGCTTTAGAATCAGACTTTAAAGCCTCCCTACGAATATCCGATTTAAGATTTTTTAATCAATTTTTGTCAAAGCCTTCATTTGCATCTCTTCAATTATCATGATTTTTCTAATTTTCATTCAAGTTTCTTATTACAAAAAGTAGGTGCTCAGCACGCCCATCTGTAAATGTCTGCCTATCTTTGTAAGTAAAAAAAAATATATATATATTTCAAAAGAAAATTGAAATGATGTTACAAAAGATAGACAATATTGAATATACATTATCTGATGCTTTCTATACGTAAAATATAAATGGTGTACATGTCCATGTAATAAATAACAAAGTCATTATCCTTAGACCTTGAATGGCCGTGTCTTTTTTTTTTCTTTTCTTTTTTTTTTTGATTTTCATTTTTTCACCTTTAAAACGAAGTTTAACATTCAGTCTTATCTTTCTTTCTTTTTTAACGAAAGATGACAAAAAAGACTTAAGGGTGAACAATGTACATTTTAGAAAATACTCAGATTTTTGTTTGTTTAAAACTATTTAAATACTAATATAATAGATGGAGTTCTTTGTCTCCACTTATTAGGAGACGAAGTATAGACGTGATGCCGATTTTTGGTCTACGAAATGATTTTTGATCACACGCTACATCATGGAGAAAACTTAATTGCTTATTGTTCTGTTTATAAACATATGATTGTAGCTTGAACATGGTCAGATATTACACGTAGGTGTTTAAATGGTGACTAAATATACATCGAAAGTTATTTGAGATTGTGAAAGAACAGTGTAAGAGGCTAACGATTGAATGCAACAGAAAGAGCAACACCAAGGACAAGCCATGCACCAATAAAGTATCCCAGAATCCTCGTCGGTCCTACATCTTCTGGTTCCTGTCCATTTCTCCCCCAAACATTTTATTGTAATTAGAAGAAGCCGACTTCAAAACTAAACCGGAACCAAACTTTTATTTTTCTAAACCGAACGCTATTTTTGCTAACGATGCGCATTCTATAGTGTTATAAAACATTGACAAGAAAACAAAACAGAGCGGTACATAGCATAACATACCTGAGGAGGCGGCTCTTCTCTGGATGGTTCCATGATGTCAACCTCGAATGGCCACACGTACCGGTCTGATTTTTCGCTTCTGGCTAAGCTCCAATCGTACATTCTTCTCTCTTCCACGGACGACAAGATCGTATATGAATCCTATAATTCATCCTCAATTCCTTTTTATATCACTCAATGAATCTCACAAAGGTGATATAGTAAAATTCAAAAAGGTATGTAATTAGTTCTTTTTACTGACTTTGATAAGCTCCATCTTGTTCTTGAGCAGTTCTTCGTCTAGCCCTTGTCCCATTAGGTCCTTAACTCTATCTTGGTAACCACTTCTAACCTGATTAAAACAAAAATGATTCCTTTTTGAACTATTGCTACTTCAAGATTCAAAGTAGATACTTTTATAACTCTTGGTTATCAACTTTGTTTAGTATCATCAGAGACGTTTGATAATTTGAAGTAGATTCTCTTCTTGGCATAAACAGAGCTGCTCTGTATCGTATGAGCAATCAAAACTTAGACAAATCCTGAATCTAGAAATACACACCTATATGCTGAAGAAACACTCAAGATTCAATATAAAGAGATTGAAATGGAGCACGCAAAACTCACCTGATCATAAGAACAGTTTCTGGGAAGCCCAAGCCGGCCGTAGTGATCCACATCTGTAATCGCTGCATTCTAATCCAAACCCTCATCAATTTTTCTTCCTCCTCGAAGATTCACACACACACAAAAAAGAAAACGAAAGGAAGAGAGAGACAGAGAGAGAGAGAGAGGGATTACGAAGGCCGCGGAGAGCGCGTTCGACGTTGAGAGCTGAGATTAAAGACGGAGTCTCTTTCGGTGCCTCATCAACGGCGGTGCTAGATCCACCGTCGGTTTCTGCCTCCGCAGACATATCACCGGAGTTCCGTGCCGGCGAACAGAGAATCCGCTTGGTGACTGTTGGCTTCCAAGGGAAAGAGCACGTGATTGGCACGTGATGGAGGACGGACTCGCCGGGAATGTGCACTAACGACGGCTGAGTAATGGTCGACAAGGAAGCCATGGCGCTAAAGGGGTTTACACAGTAACACAGAAGATTTCGAATTTCAATCGGTGAATGTTGTTCATTTGATAACAGATTTCGAAATTGTGTCAACCATAGAATTTTTTCGATGTGGATAGTTTCATTATAGTTTATATACATATATATTTTATAAGCGAGAACTCTCGAACATCAAAGTCGTTGTAGTATAGTGGTAAGTATTCCCGCCTGTCACGCGGGTGACCCGGGTTCGATCCCCGGCAACGGCGTCTTTTTGTCCTTCTGTGTTATCAAAACTGTTTTGCGAAACGCTGTCGTTTCTATCAAAATTTACCTTTTTGTTTGTTTGTTTGGTAAACTATCTTGACAGGCGGAATTACTTTTTACGTCACTGTTAAAAGTAAACGTAAGCAACAAGGTCCCGTTTCATGTGTATCTTTTTTGAATTCTCCGAGTAGTTTTTTTCTCGATTGACTGTGGCGGAGTTATTTAGTTAGATAAAAATGTCAAAATTATATAATAGACTTGATAATTTATTATTTTTGTTATTAAATTTTTTTTTCTTTTCTATATGGCTTTTGTAAAATTTATTTAGCGTGGAATGATCTTATATAACTCCTTAGAAATACCCTAGAACCAAAATCGAAGGCAGCAACACTATATAACCCTCTCTCTTCTGGGGTTTTCTTCTTCTGTTTCGTTCGTGATCGTCGTCTCTTTTCCCTCTCTACATACCCACAGGTGATTTCTTATTATATACCGATTAGAAAATCCCTACTATTGTATAATATACAGACCCTAAAACATCCCCCCAACTTCTCTCCGTTGCGTTTTTATGATTTCCGACAAGTATGTTCTGTCTCCAAGTTGTGGAAATTGCGTTTTTATAATTGTATAGTAATTCTGAATTGTTAATGTATTTGATTAGTGGAAATCCCGGAGATGGAATCAAGATCATCGAACTCTGTTGTTCTGCGTCGTATCCGTCCATTGGCGGGATCGTTCAGATATTATCCATACACTAGGTCAGTGAATGTCGTCCCTTGCCTTTGATCAGATAGTTTTCTCAGCCAGTACTCTCTTACAGGTTATAAAGTTTGACATATTGTTTTTTTTTGTTTTTTGTTTTTTTGTAGGACGGTCTTTGGGAAGGAGGACATGAAGGAGGAGGTTAAGCGACTAGGAGTGGAGTTATCCTTATATGTGGCTCAATCGATGCTCTTGTTGAGTGATGAAATTCGTACTTTGTTAGGGTTCTGCTATAAGTTATGGAGAGGTGTTACATCGTACCAGAATCCAGTGTTAGAAAGGCTGCTTCGTGTTATGCATTGTGTCAACTCAAAATATATCAAACCGAAGAATGGTGTGTATCAGGATTGTGGAAACAACAACTCGGTCCATTGGGAATTGATCAGTACCACTTGGAAGCATTTAGCCGACGGAGTCCTAATCTTGACTCGCATTGATAGGTGTCTCAGAGGGAAATTTCGCTCTTTTGATGATCGTCACTTATCTTCGGCTATTGAAAAATACAAGCAACAAGTGGTGAAGAAGCTAGAGGATAAACTGAGCTGGTCCGTAAAGGATGTTGGTTTTGCCAAAGAGACAATAGAGTCTAACATTTTTGACTTGTGGAAGTCTTTCTATGAAGAAGAAGAGGAAGCAACATGCAAAGTGGTGGTAAGGACTAAGATTCTTAGCGACCTGTTTAGCGACCTGTTTAGGCCTCATTTAGGCAAACAATTGCGTATCGAAATACTGGAACTTCCCGCATCTTCTCCTTACATTCTTGGCAAGGATTTCGTGATGCAGGAAATGAAAGAGGAGCTTTTGCGACTTGGAGTCGAGCTCTCTTTATACGTGGCTCAATCGATGTTCGTACTGTGTGATGACGTGCGTACTGTGTTACGGTTTTGCTATACGATATGGATCGATGCGAAAGTCGGAGCGGTCAACGAAAGTCACGTGATTGATAGGCTGCTTCGTGTTATGCATTATGTCTACACAAACTATATCAAACCAAAGAATGGAGTAGTATATGATCAGAATGATGATGGCAACGATTCGGTGCAATGGGAATTGATTCGGGTGTGTTTTGGTGGTGGATTTGATTTCCTGAGCCACGTTGTATACTCTCTCAAATCAGGGGAGACATGTCGTGACCGAGAGTTAGCGAATCTTGTTGAACAAGGGGTGAAGAATATAGAGGAGATGATTGGGTCTGTGAAGGGTGTTTCTGAGGCGAATGGGTTTGTGTGGGATGACATGGAGTCTATCATTTTGGACATGTGGAAGTCTCTCTTTGACGAAGAAGCCGAAGCTAAGGAAGCAACACTGACTTTGAACTCCATCAAGAATGGGATTATTCGTGACTTGTTTCTCCCTCTATCTAACGAAGTGGCACTACCTGACTACTAGTTTTTTTTTCTTTTCTTTTTTAGAAGGCTAATTTCCTGACAGTTTTTGTTGTGTTTCCGTTTATTTCATCTAAAGTTGTTTAGTTATTTAGGTTTCTTATGTTTTGGTCATTCGAAGTTTTTTGATGAAGTATTTACTTAAGTTTTTTTTACTGTTTCTCAGCATGTTTGTGAATGTTGATCAAGTACTTTGTTAATTTATTTGTCTCTACTAATATCTGTGAAATACCCGTAACATGGGCGGGTGAGAGAATCTAGTAAATAAGCAAACCTTACTGCACATGCGTCGATATGTACAGAGTCAATCTCATGAATTTTGTCTCCAATTGTTTCAAAGAATCGAGTCCCATATATATATAAATATAAAGAGTTATACCAGAAAACAAAAGATAAATCAGAAATGATCAAGCAGACTTTTTTTCTTCTTTTTCTTGTTTGCTGTTTTTATCAGAGCTCTCACCGGATTTCCAAACCACATCGTTAAGTGTGGTCGAGAGCTTCTTGTAGAACTGCAAAGCAAGTAGATGTACAGATATTAGCAACGGTTTCCTCGAAAGAACAAATTTTGCATAGTTCAAAAATTGTTTAATTAGTGTACCTTATGAAACTCTAATGTATCCCCTTTAGTTTTCCGGACTTCGACCATATGAAGAGACGGCGATACTTGAAATATCTACCAAAAACATACATAGTTTAGGTCAGTTTTCCATGTCAATTCAGTTTCAAATACTAATTCACTATAAAACTTTATATAGCAAAGAGTCATGAGTGCATAATGTACCTCAGTCGCTACTTTAAGGTTTCCCTTCCTTCCAGCATTCACGTTTTCAAGTCTCATCTGTATACAAAAGTAGTGGTTCAGTGAAAGTGACACGATGATTGGAATAATTCAATATCCATAAAAGGACTTTCACACCGACGGAAGTGACCACTGACCAACACAGATGATAATATGCTAGCTAGGATTTTAATTTTCTACTCTAATTAGTAATTCTTCTATAAGTGATTTTCAGGATTTCTTCAAAACAGGGTAGAGGACTCCTTGGTGAGGTTGTGGTTTATCGGTTTATACCGAGGGAGGGAATAGATTTTCTTTGGGTTTTTGGTTTTAGATTTTATTGTTTTATTTGGATTTTTCTTGTGTTTGTGATTCTTAACTCTAACAGGAAGCGGTTTAAAACAGAGGACGGTCGGTTTACGTACCTTATAGTTTTTCTTTTGAATATCGAAACCAAGAGGCTTGGAAGCTTCTTCAATCTTCTGGACTAATTCATTAGCCGCGCCTGTAGCTGCAAATCTTGTTTCTCTCTTGAAACCCTGCAAGTTACACGGTATAGACTTCATTTAAGGAAAATATAATGTGGCAAGAATAAACCCTGAAACTATCTAAAACATCCGCTTTTATCATGTATTGATAATGCCATGGCACACAAAAAGAGTTTTGTTTTGCTGAAGAACAAGTAAAGCATTGTTTATCTAAGAGACGCACCTCTTCTTCTTCAAACAAGTTCCCGAGATCCAGAGCTCTCGACATTGATATCAACTCAAAGGCATTCATAGAAGTTGGTTGCTCCTCCTTCTTTTCTGTGACATGATGCTCCTGTTCATAAATCACAGATTGTTGTGAACATTTATTCAACTAATTACAAAGGAGCTTAATCATCATAAAGATCTCGGATTAAATAAATATGACTGACTTCTGAATCTTTAAAAACAGCATCCACATCATCCAAGTTTGTTTCTTCTTTCTCCTCGAAAACAGCTGGCTTGTAGTTTTTCTTGAACCACGCATCTTCCAGAATCTCTGGAACTGTGATACGCTGTCATGTTAACACACAGTCAATTAGTTCCAACGCTGAAACCATGTACGAGAGGCGATCCTCAGATCAGATGTTTAAAATTATCAAGTGTTGCATGAAAATGATATATAGATAAAATCATAAAAGCAATAAAGAGTCTCAGAGTAAAAATATAAATTACTTCAAATAGAAAAAGTAGATAAAAGAGATAACCAAGATATGCAAGAGTAAATGATGCTCTCTAAATATGTAAAATTATTTATTTGATTTGAAACCTAATGCTTAAAAAGGCAAAGAAAAAAAAAACTACTACTATGTTGGATATTTTATCAAGTTTTTCATTAGCGTTCATGAATCATGCATAACTTTCCCCCAGATCCCTGGTACGCCTTAACTCACCTAAGTGTCTAAGAATAAAAACGAGATGAGATTGCTGGAGTTCGACAAAAGAAAACAAAAGAAGGATAGATATAAATCTTGAAAGCATTAGTAAACTGAAATATCTTACAGTCATAGGGTTTGGATCCAAGATTCGGACGATCAAGTTCTTGGCACCAGGAGAGAGCCAAGGAGGACAATGATATTCAGCAGCTGTTATCTGAAAATTGACGAAACTACAGCATGAAAAAAGAAGAATCACAGATGATGGTGAAAGATGAAGGGTCGAAAACAATTACAAAAGTTCTTACCTTTTTATACAGCGTCATGAGATTAGAATCCTCGAAAGGCAAATACCCGGCAAGTAGTACAAAGAGTATCACTCCACAGGACCACAAGTCTGCGGTTGCCCCATCATAGCCTTGATCATTCAGAACCTTGGGACAAGGGTAACAAGGAAGCTATTAAAAAACATGATGCAAAAACCGCTTGAGAAGCCACATGACTAAGCATACCTCAGGAGCAGCATAGTTTGGTGTTCCGCATGCAGTGTGAAGAAGACCATCACCCTGCCAGAGCCAAATAACTCACATAATCTGAGAAATTCAAAGATCGGAGTATTGCATACACAAGAAGAACACGCACGGCTTGAAACTACACATGATAAGAAGGATGTTTTTGGATGTCCTTTGACAAGAATCTAGAAAGAAAGGTGCTACTATATTATCCAAATCTCATTAGATATTTTGTGAATATAATTAATAAAATACATCATTTACTGAGCTTCAGGCACATGCATTAAAATAGGACAAGGACAAATCAGTAGGTATTCAGGCAAACCAAAGGATGCTAATAAAGAAATAAAATCAGTGGTTACCCTGACTTGTCTGGATAAGGCACTCAATCCAAAATCAGAGACTTTCAGATTTCCTTGAGCATCCAAAAGCAAGTTTTCCGGCTGTAGTAAGAGATGTAAAGAAGATAAATTGTAGCCATCAATTATCTGCACTTTAAAAAGAAAAGAAGCACATCATGCAAACTTGAGGCCAAGATTTACCAAAAAGATGTCTCGTACCTTTAAGTCTCTGTGGTACACTCCCCTGCTGTGGCAGTAATCAACTGCATTGATAAGCTGCTGGAAATATCTCCGTGCTCCCTCTTCTTTCAAACGCCCATCATGTACCTGCATAAGTGTAGACTTGATGAACACTTACATATCAGAGATAAATAAAAAAAAAAAACATCCCAACTATCAAGATTCACCGGAGCTTAGCATGAAGTATTTGATGAATGATTCATAGATAAGATACAACTTATAAAAGCACTTGGGAACGATAAGGAAATCTCACGATTTTGTCGAAAAGCTCTCCACCAAGGCCGAATTCTAGGACAATATATATCTTTGTCTTGCTCGCCAAAACCTGTAATGGTATCAATCATTTCCTTAAAAGTTAGCTTTCAACAGATTTACTTAGCTTTCAACAGATTTACTTGGCTTAGAAAGGGCTCTTGACTCATTGGCTAGACATAGTCACATAAGAAAACAGAGAAAAGCTGGGGCACGGAGAGAGACCTCATACAGCCGCACTACGTTTGGATGGTTTATCAGCTTCATAGTACAAATTTCTCTCCTAATCTGTGTAAAAGAAAAACAGGGAAGAGCCACATCATACTTTTGGATTTTACGTTAAAGAAACCAACTTTTTTACTTTCAAGTAGTGTAAAACGGGTATTATATCAGTGGAAGAAAGGGAATTACCTGTTCAGACATCTTATTTTTGAGAACCTTCTCTTTATCAAGGATTTTAAGAGCCACGGATTCTCCTGTCTCAGTGTTCTTAGCATATCTCACTTTAGCAAAAGTGCCTTGTCCGATCGTTTTTCCAACCTCGTATTTACCAACCCGACGCTGCACCTTTGCCCGATTCATCACTCACTCCGATCTCCACCTCTTGATCTTCACAATCTGTTTCTGGAAATTGCAATCTTGATGTTAGAATTTCTTTGTTAAAAAAAAAAAAAAAAAAATTTCCAACAGAACAAGCAACAGAATATTACTTTTATATCAATTCAATGAAAGAGGACAAAGAAACTGTCAAGTGATAGAATAAAAAAGAAGTAAAATTCGATGAAGACAGAGCGCAAAAACACATGAAATCCATGACAAATCTAGCAACAGAAAGTATTCCTCGGGATCTCCGATTGTCCTTTCTTGCTAACTCCAATAACAAAGCCCAAAATCCCCAGAATCATGAATAAGATAGACATCAAACTGTTCAAGCATACACAATTATGTACATATCCAAATTCTCTAGTGAACCAATAATCGTATGCACATATATGTATTCAATTGAAGTAAGATTCTCAAGTTAACTCAGAAATACAGCACTTAAGTATATGTATTGCACACTTTAAACATAAATTAAAAGCGTAAACAAGTGATCAAACTCTACAAGACACCTAATCACACTATTCAAAAGCGAAACACGGAGAATCGCAACAGCACACCTGCAAAATTGGCTGGAGTTTCCCGATGGAAGACAGCAAGTAGAGACGAAAAAACCGACGATGCTTTTACCGGAGCTCAGAAGTTAAAAGGAAAATTCAAAAAAAAAAAAAAACAAACAAAAAAATCTATGGCGCAGAATTCGCTTATCGAAGGAGAAAAATTTGGCAGGAGGAGAAAGAGAGAAAGAGGGATAGAGATGCGAAGAGGGACGAGAGATACGATGATAATTTCAAGCTAACAGACAAACTATTTAACTTCGCGTGGGGACTTATATCATGACACTTTCTTTTCTTTTTCGTATGGGACAACAAATACATATTTGGGTAAATTTCTTTCCTTTGAAAGAAATTGATTTTTTCTTTTTGGTTTTCCCTCAAATTTTTCTTAAGTAAGAAAGAAAATTATGTTTTTTGGTCAACTATCTGGAGTTGATTAATGCAAAGACAAAATATGTTGAGTATTCAGATTTGAATAGATAGGGACCTAAATAATGCTTTTTCTTTTTTATAGCCTTCATATAGCTAGTATATATATTGATATTTCTTAATTAATAGTAGTTATAAAATTTTCACTGGTTTTTTTCAGTTATGAAATAACATAAAAATATTTTGGGTAGAAGAAATTCTTAAACAATAATTCGATCATAGATTAAAATTGCAATTGTTACAAACTTTAGAAACTAGTAAAAACTAAAATCAGATGGGTTATTAGCTCCACAGTTATATCTTCAAAGGCCCAACCCATATGTTGGGCTCTCTTTATAAAGCTCTTGCAGAACTACTAAGACCAAAAAAAAAAAAAATTCAGTAGCATATTTCCTCTGATTTTTAAGAAAAGGTTGAAGGAAAATGGCGGACGAGCTCTTCGATGACATAATCTCAGAGTTCAAGGAAACGTTTAGCCTCTTCGATAAGGATGGTGATGGTATGTTTTCATCACAGTTCTTTGTGCTATTCTCGCTTATTTCTTCCTTTACTCGTCGATCGTTGACTTTTTTTTTTTTTGGCAATTCTTGATCTTCATTTTTCTGTACAAACCGTATTTGTTTCACTTTGATTTCGTCAACATCTAGTTTTTTTGGCAAAGATTCATGATCACGCGGTGTTTGTTTGCTTGCTCGTTCGATCGCTTCATTTTTCTGGTTGACTTTGGTTCATTTCCCGTATTTATTAGTTGGTGCTAATCTCTGATAGAAACTAGGAAAGTTTGTTTGTTTTGTTTTCTTTGTTTGTTTTGTTTTGTTTTGTTTGTTTACGTGATCGTTCTGGGAAAGTGTTGTATTGGATCGTACCAGTTCTAGCTTTAGAAGATTCATCAATGAAATTGTTCATGAAGTTCTGTATTTGTATCCATATTTTGAGATTGAGTTGTTAATTGTGGATATAAGTCTGTCTGGATTTTTGGTTGCAGGTTTCATCAGCATGAAAGAGCTTGGGACCGTGATGGCGTCTTCGGGGCAAAACCCAACAGAAGCCGAGCTCCAAGACATGATCAATGAAGTTGATGCAGACGGGAACGGGAAAATAGATTTCCCGGAGTTCCTGAACCTGATGGCAAGGAAAATGAAGGACACTACTGATTCAGAGGAAGAGCTCAAGGAAGCCTTTAAGGCTTTTGATAAAGACCAGAATGGTTTTATATCTGCAGCAGACCTTCGTCATGTGATGACAAATCTTGGGGAGAATTTTACTGATGAGGTAGTTGATGAGATGATCCGCAAAGCTGGTGTTGATGGCGATGGTCAGATCAAGTATGATGATTTCGTTAAATTCATGAATGCTATTTGAAAAAATTTGTGTTTATTTATATGTTGTTTCTTTGTGTGGTTGAAAAATACACAGACGTCCGATTTTTAAACGGTAAAATATTGGTTTCTTTTTTGTTTTCTGATCAAATCGGATAATAATCCCGACTGAAGCATCTTTTGTTGTTTCATATTTTTTTAAGTCGGATTGTTGTATTCTGTTCTTGCGTTTCACTCGATAAGACAGACAAGAAAAAAATTACTAAAAAAAAGTCAACGATCGGTTAGCTCATGGAAACGTCTGTAGAATAAAAATATAAATAGTTGTTGTTTTTTTGGGGTAAAATATATAGATGTTCTTACATTAATTTTTTTAAAAAGGTATGTATTAACAAGTTGAAAAAAAGAGAGTGGGAAACCTAAAATATTTGTGATTTGATTTAGTGGCCTTGGCTCTAATTGGTGCCAAATATTTTTTTTTTATCGACATGAACATTTAGAACCAAGGCCACTAAAAAAGTAACAATATTCACTGTTTTAAAAATATTTTTGTACAGAAAGATGTATTGTTTGCTTTCTCAACCTTTGGTTAGCTTTACTTACCCTTTAATTTGGCTCTCCATTGCTAAAGCAAAACGGGTCTCATGAATTTTGCAAACCTCCCAGTATCCCCAATCTGACTGATCTCTGCACAAAACCACCAAAACATTCAACTTCCTCAAACCAAACTTGGACTTGGTGCATAGCTTTGGTTTTTCAGGCATTCGCTTTAACATCTATACGAAATGTTCAAATTCTTCTGTTAATTTGTTAATTGTAAATATAAACTGGAAAGTTTTACTTACAAACCCAAAAAGGGTTAATATTATTAGGTTATAGATTAAATTGCAAAGCTTACAAAACTTTAGAAACTAATCAAATCAAACGGGTTAGCTTCCCCATTTTATTTCATCTTCAAAGGCCCAACCATGTGTTGGGCTCTCTTTATAAGCTCCTTACAGAACTACAAGGTAACGAGAATAATATAATTCAATAAGCAAAATTTTCTCGGATTTCCAAAAAGGTTGAAGGAAAATGGCGGACCAGCTCACCGATGACCAGATCTCAGAGTTCAAGGAAGCGTTTAGCCTGTTTGATAAGGATGGTGATGGTATGTTTTCGTCAGAGATCTTTGTGCTATTTTCGTTTATTTCTTCGTTTACTCGTCGATCGTTGCGTTGTGGATTTTTTTGTTGACGATTCTTGATCTTCATTTTTCTATATAGTCCGTGTTTGCTACACTTGATTTCGTGAATGATCTAGTTTTTGCAACGATTCATGTGTTTGTTTGCTTGCTCGCTCGGTCGCTTCATTTTTTTCTGGTTTATTTTTGGTTCATTTCCCGTATTTATTTGTCTGTGCTAATCTCTGATAGGAACAATCGAGACGACTTTTTTGTTTTGTTTGTTAACCTGATCGTTCTGGGCAAGTGTTGTGTTGTATTGGATCGAACCAAGTCTAGCTGAAAAAGATGCATTAATGAAATTGTTCATGAATTTGTTTTTTTTGTTGTATCCATATTTTGAGATTGAGTTGTTAATGGTGGGGTTATGTGTCAAATGTAAAATGGCGAAAATGGATTTGATGTTGCAGATGTTTCTATATCAAGTAAAGCTAATTTATAGGTAGCTTCATTCGTATTGTAGTTTGATCATTTGAAAAAAGTAGAGAGGCATCCAGTATGTTATATGTTTTTCTGCTCTGATTGATGAAGAACTTGCAAACTTCTGTTGTAATGCATCATCTTTAGCACCTTGTGCTTTTTTTTTGCCCTTTGCTCGGTGAGACGTGGGATCAATGGATCAAACTGGCTAGGGTTTTTAACCGGGCCTAGATATGTACCATGTAAAGAGGAGAAGAATATTGTGTCTTTTGTTATTGAAAAAACAAGAGTACATATAAATCTACTAGATATCCTAGCACAATGCACATAAGGAAACACGGAGTTAAGAGGGAATATTTCATTTACCCTAACACTTTAGGAAGACTTAAGAAGATTAATTATCTCTGGTGTGTATAAATGTAGTTTCTTTGTTAGCTTAGTAGAAGATATCGTTCTCTTTTACTTTTTTTCAGATCTTCACCATCACCAGTCGCTATAACAAAAGTAGAAAGAGCTGATAATGTATTTGGAAACTGCTGGTGTGAAATCTGACAGTGGATATATGTCTGTCTCTAAAGCTTGTACCTGGATTTTTTGGTTGCAGGTTGCATCACCACGAAAGAGCTTGGAACCGTGATGAGGTCTCTAGGGCAAAACCCAACAGAAGCCGAGCTCCAAGACATGATCAATGAAGTTGATGCAGATGGGAACGGGACAATAGATTTCCCGGAGTTCCTGAACCTGATGGCAAGGAAAATGAAGGACACTGATTCAGAGGAAGAGCTCAAGGAAGCCTTTAGGGTTTTTGATAAAGACCAGAATGGTTTCATATCCGCAGCAGAGCTTCGACATGTGATGACAAATCTTGGGGAGAAGCTAACTGATGAGGAAGTTGATGAGATGATCCGAGAAGCTGATGTTGATGGCGATGGTCAGATCAACTATGATGAATTCGTTAAAGTCATGATGGCTAAGTGAGAGAATCTTACCCCTTCTTAAAAGCCTTAACGCCTCCTAAAAAAAGGGAAAAACGATTTATGATGTCTTACAGTGAATTTTCATCATGACTTGATTTCTGGTTGTGTTCTTTAGGACATGTTTTTGCTTCTTTCCCCCCTTTTATTTGTTTGATTTTGTTAAGCTCCTTAGTGTTATGCCAAGTATGAACTCATGTTTTTGCTCATCCTTTGACAATTGGTACTCGATCTTAATCATTATTTGTTTTTATTTATGTCCTTTCTTTGAAAGGAATGTTCTTCTAAAACTGGCTGCCATTGACGGCTGTGTGGTTGAAAATACACAGACGTCCGATTTTAACCTGTAAAAAATTGGTCAACTAAAAAAGTCAACACGTATTAACAAGTTGGACTAAAAGTGGGAAAACCCTTTTGATATTGGTGGATTGTTAGAGGCCTTGGCTCTAAATGGTGCCAAATTTTCTTTATCGATCAAAAAAATCTCATTTTTCCTGCCTATTAAACAGCATATATTCCATTCACTGTTTTAAAAATATTTTGTACAGAAAATGTATTGTTTGCTTCCTCAACCTTTGGTTAGCTTTACTTACCCTTTAATTTGGCTCTCCATCTCTAAAGCAAAACGAGTCGACATGAATTTGCAAACCTCCCAAAATCCCCAATCTGGTCTCTGCACAAAACCACCAAAACATTCGACTTCCTCAAACCAAACTTGGACTTGATGCATAGCTTTGGTTTTTCAGGCATTCCCTTTAAGAACAATGGACTTCTCGTCGAGACGATATGATTTGGGATATTGAGTTTGGAGGAAGTTGAGAAAGAAGAGCCGACTGTATTGGCATCACTAATATTAGAAACACCGATAGCTTTCCATGCATCAGCTATGAGTTGCATCGTTTTCCTTGTGGGAACAACATTCTTCTCTTCCATATCTTTCAAAAGCTCTTCCGCTTTCCATGGCTGCTTCGCTTCCCCAAATCCCCATATTAGAGTCTCGTAAGTAGTCAAGTTAGGCGATAAACCATTTTTTCCGCACATTTTGTTATATACCTGCATCGCTTTCTTCATTTCACCAGCGCTGCACCAACCGCTTATGATCGTTGTGTAGATTACCACATTTGGACGAACGCCGAATTTTCTCATCTGATTCAAGATTTGCTCCGCCTTTTCAGGCTCTCCAGCTCGAGCATACCCTTTGGCAAGAATACTAAATGCATGATTGTCTGGATCTATTCCTCCTTCCAACATATCTTCATAGATCTCTTCGCATCTTTTCATATCTCCTATAGAGCTCCATGCATTCATTAGCGTGCTAAATGTTACCACGTCAGGTCTTACTCCGAATTCTTCCATCATATTCACTACCTGTAATTATCAACATACCCGTATCTTATATATAAAGAAAAAAAAGGGACGTGAAGGAAATAATTGAAGCGCTAATGAATTGAAGCACACCTCACCAACTCCATCCATATCGTTGATGTCAAGGAAGCCTTTGATTAGAGAGTTAAAAACAAAGAGATTTGGATGAACTCCAAGTTCCTTCATTCTATAGAAAAACCTCAAAGCCTCTTCCATCTTTCCCTCTACACAGTAGCCATTCATAATGATACCGCAGGTACGTACATTCGGTTTGACTTTGTTGTGTAACATCCTTGGTATGATCATATCCTCAGCTGTACATGTTGACCCGATCCGCGCGTACGCACTTGCCAACGTGTTAAACGTGACTACATCAGGTTTTACTCCATAAGATTGCATCTTATATACTATGTTCCATGCTTCTTCAATCCTCTTCTGGTTACACCACGCCTGGACAAGTATGTTACATGTTCTGTCGTTTGGTTGGAGCATTTCATCGCGTAACATCATCTCCAGGAGTTTTGTTGATTCCTCTAGCTTACCGATTTTGCCATATCCTTTAATGAGTGTATTAAACGTACTTGCTATGGGTTTACATCCGCTTTCCTTCATTTTTTCAAAGATCTTCATTGCTTGGTCGAGATTTCCAGACTCGGAAGAGGCGTTGATGATGGCGTTGAAGAGAATGGTGTCGGGTTTGAGGCCGTTTTTCTCGACTTTGGAGATGAGGTTGAGGAGAGAGTGGAAATGCTTTTGACGGGTCAATGCAGTTACAAGAGTGGTGTATGTGATGATGCTTGGCTTGTGACCTTCTTCGATAAGTGTGTTGAAAATGGAATGAGCCTCTTGAGGTCTCCCTCGTTCTATCAAACCATTCATCAGTTTGGTCCTTGAACGAACATCGCCACAAGTAGTACCACCTGAACATATCACACAAGGATACGACCTCAATTGCACTGTCACAGCCTGTGAAGGAAAAGCATCCGTTATCTCAAACTTCTCTTCATATTCAACTAAGCAATACAAATATGACATTTCTTAGCACAATCGTATTCTGAAATTGGGGATAGTGACAACGAAGTTTGATATTTGAATCTGATTCTCTAAATTCCACGTAACAGGACACCTCTGTAAGTGTATGAGCACTCTAAACATAAACAAGTCTGGACTCTAGGTGATAATTTCCAGATGATTAAACCCTCTAACTCAATTATCCTACAGATCTCAGAATAGTAAAATGACTCACTTCGGGATCTTTAAAAACGGCTTCCACATCAGCCAAATTTGCTTCTTTCTTCTCTTCAAACACCGCTGGCTTGTAATCTTTAGTGAACCACTCATCTTCCATAATATCTGGAATTGTGATACGCTGGCAAATTAACAAAAACAATCAGTTCCAACACTGAAATCAAAACGAGTGGTGTTAATCTATCCGCGGATGTTTTGAATGATCAAGTTCTACATGCAAGGCACAAATAAAGCATCTACTTAGTATGCTTATAAAATGCGCTTATCCATGTGACTAACAACTGCAAGAGGGCCATATAACTTTTGATCATTTTAGACAAATGATAGATTGCTAGGAGTAGCTTATATCAGGTAATGGAATGGGAAGAAAAGGAAAGAGTCAGCAGAGTTTCAGCTTCTCAATTATGCTTTCTAATCTGTCTATTATGGTCCACAAGATTACTTGGGACAGTTAAATGTACAGTTTAGACCAATACTATATATCAAATTTCAAGATAAGAAAAATGTAGTAAATTGATATATTTGATTTCTAGTGCTAAAAAACCAAAGGGAGAATAAATCACTGCCACTATGTCTCTGTTGAATGATCTCTCAAGTTTTCCATTAGCGTTTAGGCATGAAATTTCCACCAGATTTCTGATAACCTCTAACCCGCCTAATGGTCTCAGAATAAAGGCAAGTTAAGGTATTGGGGTTCGACAGAACGACACAAAAGGATGATATATTTAGATCTTGAAAGCAGTGGTAAGGTGGAATAAACTTACAGTCATAGGATTTGGATCCAAGATTCGGACGATCAAGTTCTTAGCACCAGACGAGAGCCAAGGAGGGAAACTGAATTCAACAGATGAGATCTGAAACAATGAAAAAAGTGCAACATAGAAAATGGAATCTCAGCTACTGGTGAGGGAAAAGCTAAAAATATATTACAAAACTTCTTACCTTCTTGTACAACGTCATGAGATTGGAATCCTTGTAAGGCAAGTACCCAGCAAGTAGTACAAAGAGTATCACTCCACAAGACCGCAAGTCTGCGGTTGCCCCGTCGTAGCCTTGATCATTAAGAGCCTTGGGACAAGACAAAATGGAAGCTATTTAGAATACCGCCAATTAGTTAACCATGGACATATTTAGTTAATGGTGTTATGAATCTTACTAGATATTTGTTAATCTAATCAATGTTAAGATCGCTACTGAACTTTAGGCACATTCATTAAAATCAGACAAGGACAACTCAAAAGGAACTCAGGCAAATCAACGGATGGTAAGAGAATCAAATTCAGTGGTTACCTTGACTTGTTGGGACAAGGCACTGAATCCAAAACCAGAGACTTTCAGATTTCCTTGAGCATCAAGAAGCAAGTTTTTCGGCTGAATTGAGAGAAGTAAAGAATAAAAAATTTAGGCATCAATTTGCTGTACTTAAAAGAAATCCACCCTGCAAAATTGGGCACCAAGCGTTACCAAAACATTTAGAGTACCTTCAAGTCTCTGTGGTACACTCCTCTGCTATGGCAGTAATCAACTGCATTGATAAGCTGCTGGAAATATCTCCGTGCTTCCTCTTCTTTCATGCGCCCATCATTTTTCTTCACAAGTTCAAATTTAATGCATTGCTTAAAAAAACCAAAAATACTATACTTTCATCTGTAAGATACAGGAACTTCTAAGCTGAACATGAGGCATTCGATGCATGATTCAAACACCAAAGGATACATCAGATACAAGTTAAAGGTTTTTTGGAGGGAGAGGGAAAACTCACAATTTTGTCAAAAAGCTCTCCACCACTGATGAACTCTAGGACAATATAAATCTTCCCCTTGCTCGCCAAAACCTAGAATGATATCAATTATTTCTTTAAAGTAGCTTATAAAAGATTTGCTTCAACTCCAAAGAGACCCTAATTCCCAGCTAGAAATAGGAAAATAGAGATACGTAGAGAAAAGTTGGGGCACGGAAAGAGACCTCATACAGCCGCACTACATTTGGATGGTTTGTCAGCTTCATTGTAGAAATCTCCCTCTTTATCTGTAAAAGAGAATGCGAAAGTCACACATCACACTCACGGATTGAAGACGAATCAATCTGTGAATCTCAGTCGGCATATCAGTGGACAAGAGAGGAGGAGGTATGTAAAAACAGGGATGCGAAAGGAAATTACTTGTTGAGCCATCTTATGCTTGAGAACCTTGTCTTTATCAAGGATCATCAGAGCCACGGGTTCTCCTGTCTCAGAATCCTGAGCATACCTCACTTTCGCAAAACTACACTCGCCAATCGTTCTTCCAACCTCATATTTCCCAACCCAACGCTTGGCCTTTGGCTCACTCATCACCTCAGAATTCACCTCTTAATCTTCCACAAGCTGTTTCTTGACAATGTAATCTCGATGTTAGGATTTTATTTCTACAGAATCCAACAGAACAGTCAACACTTTTCGAATTAAAGCAAAACATGGGAACACACCTGCGAATGAATTGGCTGGAGTATCCCGAGAAAAACGGAAGCAGCTAGAGTTGAAGTCGCATGCAGCAAGTCAAAACTTTTGAAGGAGAATTCATAAATCAATGGCGGAGAATTCGGTTATCGTAAGGAGAAATTCCGCATGGAGGGAGAGAGAGAGAGAGAAGAAACTAGTGTGTGTGTGGCAAGAAAGGAAGTATCAGCGACAATGCAGAGAAGAGGAGGTCGAGCGTCGCCTGGAGAAAGTAAATGGAAAGAGACTCTCATGGCTTCTGCAACTTGACCCGTCTCAATTACTCGACCGATGCTTCTTCCTCCATACTCCATCGTGTGGCTCACTTTATCTCACGCTCTTTAATCTCTCTATCTTTCTCTTATCCAAAATCCAAATTACATAAATTACATTTTCAAACAAAAAAAGAACAAAATCCGACGACGTGGATTCATGAGCGAGTCTAGAAATACTTTCTTCTTTTTTCTTTTTTTCCATTTCTCTTTTTGTTTTATTATTATTAGAAATTATTCGATTATTTTGTTAACCTTTTAACTGGTTCGATTTCTCTTCAACTAACATGAACTAAGTGTTTGGTTGCTAGCCGATCAACTTGTTACAGCCATTATTAGGGAACGTGTTTTACAGAAAAAACAACTGAAAATCTCATTTTTTTTCTTTGTTACATTGAGAAGCTTTGTACATAAAGCACCAAACCAGGGAAGAAAGAGGTTAATAAACTCGGAAATGTTGGGCACTCACTATGAACAAAAGAGAGTTTTCACACATTTGAGAGGTGAAGAAAAAATAAGTTGTGGGATTGGATTTAGGTTTTAGGTTTACCGTGTGAGCGGCTTGTAGAGGACAACAGTTATGTACTTAGACTCGAACCTGTGGGTTAATCCCAAAGCTACAATGGATTGAGGAGTCCATCCTTGCTCTATGAACACATGGTTAAGCACCACATGCTGAGGCTTTGAGGCTATGGCTGTTTCTTCAGTTGTGCCAAGAAGTGTTAGGTGAAGCTGAGGTGGCACCGCGAGTGGCTCTTTTGTGTAATCTTCTGCAGTTGGGAGGGCTTGACCGTAGCTATGATCAGGTGACGGTGGTGCCTCAAACTCCACTATGCTTTCTGGGTTTTCTGGCACAAAGTTCTGCATCATGATTCCAGATACTGTTACACAGTGTAGATTGATTGACAGGTTTAACATGAACGAAGAGTTGGGAAGATTACTTACATGAACATCGAGAATGTTACAGACATTGCCCATTTCGTCTGATACAAAGGGTAAATCTGGGATGTGTTTGCATTCACCATCGACTATCACCTTGTAGTGGTATATCCCAGATGGAAGGACAAAGAGAATTGAGTGGTCTTTTCCAGATTTCTGCAGCTTTTTCCTGGGGAATGCAATATATACGTATTAGTGGAAAGCTCGAGAGCAAGTTCACGATAAACAAATCAATTTATACCTTGATCTCCAGTTGTCCCATGATCCTTCCACTGCCACATCATTACCTCCCTGGTTCCATGTAATGATGGTAGGGATTCCTTGCTCTCCTGGATTATCAAAAACTCTTGGAGACTGGTTCCATTGGATTTTATTAGGCGAAGGAGGAGCGTTTGCCCTCTGCAATGGAGCCACGGGAACCTGATATATGCACATAAACATTGAGCCGTGAGATTTTTCAAACCAAGTGCGAGAAGAATTTGCGAATGTACTACCATCTGACACGAAATGCAGCCATTAGGTACACATGTTATGCCTAAACAATGGAAGACGTGACGCATAGTTGTGCCAATTGTGTTAGATGTAAGGTGGAATAACAATGTCAGCTGAAAAGAAAAAAGAGCGAGATAATGAACAGAGCAAACAATAGAATGAGAAATTTACTATAAAGACCTGACTAGGAAAAGTTATCTTACTATTCCCACCAAACCCTGATAAACCGGATCAATTTTTCTTAAGGTTTTTCCTTCACTGCTGTTCACATATTAAGAACAATGAGAAGAATGAAGAAACAACCACAATCTCTAATTCGTTCAAGTGAATTCAAGCTCTGCGTGTTTAAATTTAAAAGGGGCTCAGAAATGAACAAGCTTGCCATCCCCTTCAAAAATAAAGGCAAATGAACATTATACAAAATACTCAGTAAGGGACACCACAATTCACAAATTCATATCAAGAGTCGAGCATCAGCAACCAGTAAGGACCAAAGAGTAGCAGGAAAATCAAATCAGCATAGAAAAAGCGAATAAAGAATAAATTTTAAACTTCTCATTTACGGGAGAATTCGACTATTCAAGAACCAACTGACAAAACCGAGTCAAGTCCAATTTCTTCATACACAAGATTTCACTCACAAAAGTGCTTAGTCTCGCAAGCTTGCTCTCTTCACAATGAAAGCATATATACATTACACAAAGACTCAAAAAGAGACATCAACATTCATAAGATGAGGTTCAGCGACAAATAAGGACAAGAGAGCGTATCAAGGAAACCGAATTAACACCTTCTACGACAGCTCGAAACTTTCCCACACTGTGCATTATCTCAGGATGGCAGAACCAAGATGACAAAAAGAAGATTCTCTAGCACAGAATATCTAACACACCTAAGGAAATGGCCTTAGAAACAAGGTTAACTAATTCTTTCCCGCAGGTAAACCTAAGGAAGAGCAACAAGTTTTTCAGTTCCTAGCGTTTTGTGTTCTCAAATACCAAGAGACAAAATACAAATCAAATGCAATTCTGCTTTACGAAAAGAGTTCACTCATACAAAGCTGGAAATTAAGTTTTTGGATCCTGAGCAAATCTAGTGAAGAAAACTCTGAACGAGTGGAACATATGAAAAGTCAAGTCACCTATTTCTCATTCAATGAGAGAATCAGAAGGCGGAAAATCTATTTTTACCTTCAACGAAAGTTCAACAATGTTTAAATCGCATCATCCAAACCCAAACATCAAATTCAACGATAAACATAGATATAGACACACACATACAGAGAGAGAGAGAAGGGAACCTGAGGAGAGAATAAGAAAGGAGATGGAGATCGAGCGGGACTTCCGGGAGGAGAACTGTTCATAGAGTCTGAGGAAGGACGACGAGGACGACTTCGGGAGGAAGGATCACCGCCGTTGGATCTCGTCGAAGATGAGGTGGCATCTGCATCGACGCTAGAGACGGCGTTTTCTTCTTTGACGTTCGCATTTCCCATCTGAAACCCAAATCACAGAAGTGAGAGAGAGCGAGAGAAACAAAGAGGAGAGAGAGAGGGAGGAAAACCAGACGTGAAGAAAAATGGAGGGAGGACGAAGAGGAGGAGATAAGGAAAGGACCCTGAGGTTTGGGATTAATTACGAGGAATGCCATTGGTAGCGAGAAGAGATTTTGCGAAAAGGCCCTGAGATATCATTAAAATCTGTACCAAATGGATAAACGAGTGACCTGGCGTTCAAAAAGTAGATAATGATCCACTTATATTTTCTTTTCTCCTTAAAATATTGCAATCATTAAAACTTTAATTAATACTCGATAAATTAATAATTACTATAAATTAATAAATTTCTTTAGTCCCGAATCGAACTAATTCATCAAATTCGATAAGATAATAAGATAATAATTTTTTTGAAATTCCTCTGTAAAAATATGGTCCCAACATAAACATAAATTAATAATTATATAAATTTATGTATATATAGGTAAGATATAATATACTAAAATATGATTAATGTGTTATTTTTTATTTAAATTTGAAATTTTATTGAAAATCATCTCTTTACTTGTTTACATCAATAACTTTTATATAATGTTATTTTTTAATCTTCATTTAAAATTTGTAAAAACTTTAGATATGATAATTGATTTTTTTACGCATAACTGTTTTGAAATATATTAGGTATTTAAATTTCAACACCAACATTAAGGATAATAACCATAATGTTTTCTAAATTTTGTACTAATAAACATTATATTCTTACATAGATAATTCAGTCCATAATTAACAAATAGAAATAACTATTCTATTGCGACTACTATGATTAGTAATCATAATTTAAGTTTGTGCATATCATTTTATAAGCATATGAGTTAAGATTCTTAAATATAACACCAATGAAAGAATTTTTTTAAAAAAAAAATAGGCGAAAAATAATTTTTCTGTATAAATTAATATCACGATAAATTAATAAAATATCGTGGTCCCAACATTATTAATTTATAGAGGTTTTACTGTATAATGTCTTTTTAAGTAGGAAGTTTATCCATTCTAGTATTTGGAATGAAGATATATAATACTCTTGATAACCATATGAAATGAGCAAAAAGAATATGGTTAATAGTTAAAATACATCTAGAATGTATAGGTTGAGCTATAAAATTATAAAAGATAAATAGTATTAAGCTAGATATAATGCAGTATATTCTACAATTTGATAAAGAAAACTACGCATGTCTATTTTGGGAAGAGAAATTTGTTCTATGCCAAATTTCTCGTTTTATATATACTAGGTGAATACTCACACATAATGTGCGGTTTTTTCTTTCAATTATTTCAAATTTATATTTTCATAAAAATAAATATAATTATCATTTGTTAATACGTTATTATAAATAATTTTGAAATTTTAATTTAAAATATATATTGAATAATATTAAGTAATCTAAAGTTATATAAAGATAAATAAATATTTATCAATTTTTACTTAATTATAATAGAAATTATTGTTTAATATTTACATAAATGTTATTTAAGAGTTAATTAATAAAATAAATAAATTTAAATTATTTTAATGATTTAAAATTTAATATTAAAATTTTATAAATATAGGTGTCACTTTCTTCTGACGTGTCACTTATATAGAGAGAGTTGACTTTCAATTATATATAACATATATATATATAAATATATTGCCTCAAAAAAGAATCATTATGATAGTTTCCTAGTGCAAGAGAAACCCAACAAAACTGCTTGACATTATTTTCAATATATAAAAAAAAAATTATGGAAATTGGATTAATTCTAGAATTATCAACATATCAGCTAAAAGCTCACATTTTATATCTCATCTCAGAAAAGCTTCATCCAACTAATTATATTGGTCAAAAAGAATTCAGAGGAAGTTTCGAGGGGTTCAAAACAAATGTAAACTTGCAAGTTGCAATAAGACTTTCTTCACTTGCTTCATCAATTCTTTTGAACTATGTTTATTTATCCAACCTCAAATCTTCTTCAAACAATTGTGAATATCATTGGCATTTTCAAAAACCTTGGAAGAACTGGATTTCCTATACACATGGTTATCAATATATTCACACACATTGTTCAAACCATTATCAAGTGAACAATACATATCCTCATGAATATCACAATTTGACCTTTGATGCATTGTAAAATATCATTCTCAAGAGGAATTTTTTTATAAAAAAAAGAAATCTCATTCGAGCCTTGATTAAGTATTGTTTAATCGGAGAGAACTAAGATATTATTCGTCATTGTAACACCATCATCTGCAGCGATTTCAAAGAACTCTTCCAACTAAATATAATTGCCTATCACCTTATTTATATTCTAGAGTAATACCATTATATATATTCATTGTCGGATTCATTATCTAAACCCTCGTTATCTTCTTAAATATGTTCCTGTCCAGTTCTAATTTCGACAAATTCAAAATCAAACTAATTGCGTTAGATTTCTCCCACAACACTATGAATCTCTTTGCCATTTTTGTTTTGTTTGACTCGTTCCACAACATCACATGTTTTTACTAGAATTGAACACTAATCACTAGTTAAAAACACATACAACTGTGGGCTCTATTTTTGATCTTGCTTCTTCTTTTTCAAGCCAAATAAAACATAAACTAACTCAAATAAAATTTTGTTCGATTATCAATTATGACCTCTATTTTCGACATTGATCATTCATATTGATTTCTTCCTCTTGAAAAGTAGTTTCTATCGTTCCACCCATCAATCATTATTGTCAATGGAATTGGAAGACGATATAACAGGCTCTCTATTTTTTTATATAAAACAGAGAATAACGATGTTTACTAGATTAAACAGAGACTAACGATGTTTACTAGATCAAATGGAGATCACAATAGGTCAGTCTAATATTTTATTGTATACAAAATATACAATTAAACATTAAGGGACAAATATACAATTAAAAGATTTTCATGTCTTAATTTTGTCAAAAAGAATAGAAAAAAGGAAAAAAAGGTAGGACTAGGGTTTCGCTGTTTAAGTGTTTTACGGTATGGTCATTGCTTACTCTTAAAAGAGCGCCACCCAAAAACACAGACACTTCTTTCTTCTTCGTCTTCCATACTTGCTTTGGGGCTCTCAACTTCTCTTATCACATTGCGTCTTCTCCTCACGATCCTGCACTCCTTGTTCTGTTTTTTCTTGATCCAATTGAATTGCATCCGTGTTTTGATTCCAATTCCGCTGAGTTTAATTTGAGTGTTTACCTCTTGAGTTTCTGATGATGGCGGAGACTGAGGGATCATTGGCCGATGATCGAGAAGTGATCGGCCGCGTCGGTGGTTGTGGGACTAAGTCTCCGTGGAAAACAACGGCTTCTCCTGCCGAGAGTGTCGAAGCTCCGGTAATGGGTGCTCACTCGTGGCCAGCGCTCGCCGACGCGCAACAGCCGCGTCCTAAGAATCCTCCTGTGGCGGCTCCTCCGTCTAAAACCATTCCGACCTCAAGCCCAACTCCTACTCAGGTTAGTCATTAGCCTACTCTATTCCGTTTTTGCTTGATTTCGCTGGATTGTGCTTATTGGTGCTGCGTTGTACTATGGTAGAGCTGAAATTTGTCCGATACTGAGTATTGATATTTTCTCGTGACTGTTTTAGTTGGAGATACGCTACTTCATAACTTTGAATCTTGATTGAATTGGGTTTTTATCGAATTCGATGCATGATGGTTATAACATTTTGTTGTAAGTGTGGTTTACCTTTACTTGGGTTGAAAGGTTCACCACTAATGACAACGTGATTTTTGTGATTCACCTTCATTAGTATTGATTTTTGTAGCATACACTTTGAGTGATGCTGGAAAGTTTCTTGTTTGATGTGTAGGCTGTAGCTGGTCAAGCGAAGTCTAAGCCTGGTGGAAAGGGTAATCCTGCACACAAGAATCCATCTGGCCGTCACTCAAAACCCTGTTCGAGGAGCAACCAAAATGTTCCTCCTCCTCCTCCTCCTTATGTCGGGCACGCTATGCCTTATCATCCACCTCCTTTTCCACCTATGGTGCCTCTACCGCATGCTACTGGTCCGGATTATCAATATGGTCCTTATCCTCCCTACCCGATTCCTGGAGCTCCGGTTCCTCCTGTTGCAGAGTCTGGCAATGAAAAGCACGTTCAAACTTCCCCTCTTCCACCTGTGCTGCCAGCTCCTCAAGGGGACCCTGGACAGCCTTGGAAGCATCAGAGGGGTTTTGACCCAAGAAACATGCCACACGGCGCTGGACCGAGGAATTTCATGAGACCTCCATATATGGGTCCTACTCCTGGTTTCCTGGTTAATTCAGGTCCAGGCTTCCCCGGTAGGTTATTGATTCTTTATCAATTTTTTTTGAAGGAACTGGCTGATATCAGCTGATAAATTATAATTGTCTTACTCTTGATTGAACATAGTTGGCGTTACGATAGAGGATAGCTGTTCATTTCTGGTGCATGATTGCTGTTTTTGTTTCCTCATTCGACGTAGGGCCTGTTTTCTACTTGCCGGTTCCACCCCCTGGAGCTATAAGAGGTTATCCTCCACGTTTAGGTCCATACCCTGTTAACCAGGGTCCTCCAGTACTGTCTCCAGAGAAACACGACTTAAGGGAAAGAGTCGTAAAACAAATAGAATATTATTTCAGGCAAGTTATGCTTCTACATCAATATATTTTCCGCTTTTAAAATTATGTTCAGCTGACTCTTTTGCTGTGCCTCTGAGAATTTCTTGGAGTATTTCCATGTCTTGATTCCATCTTTGCTGGTTCATAGAATGGCACCTCATCTTGCTGTGCTCACCTTCCGTATATTTATTCTTTTTGCCAGTGATGAAAATCTTCAGCATGATCATTACCTCATTTCCTTGATGGATGAACAAGGATGGGTTTCCACAAAAATTATAGCTGACTTCAAAAGGGTAAAACTCGGAAAACGAGCTTGACTTGCTATCTATTACATTAATCTCATTTTTCGTTTGTGTTTTACTCAAATGTGTTTCTTTAAATTTGTCTATTTTCACTCATGAATTACAGGTTAAGGCGATGACCATGGATGTAGACTTTATAGTCTATGCGTTGGGATTTTCTAATTCTGTTGAAGTTCAGGTCAGACTACCATAAGCCAACTTGCTTCTTTTCGTAATAACAAGTATTTTCTGTTTTTTCCTGGTTTACATGATAAGGTCGTGCTTTTGTGAATGGGGTTTGTTATAACACATGTTGGTGGGATTATATAATTTTATTTCTTTGAAAATTTTGTTTTCTTTGATTATATTGCGTGCTTTTACTGTGGTGAGGCTATCACCAAAAATGTTGGTAAGAGTTTTGTCTCTGAATAATTTAAAGAAGCTTTTGAGCCCTCTTCGATTTTTCTAACCTAATTGGGTGCATGATTTGTTTCTACGGCTGTAAGGCCTGCCGTCTTTGTCAAAGCAGTATACATGTTTAAAAACTATTGTCTATTGATAGTACTATTTCTTTTTCTTTCTTATCTGTTTGACCAGAATTAAAATGCTAGTAGTACTATTACAGGGTGACAAGATACGCAAGCGCGACAGGTGGTTTAATTGGGTTCCTGCATCCAAAAGGTCAGTCTCTGAGGAGAAAAGTAGAGACAGTGAAAAAGATTCCTCAGACAGTATGACAAGCAGAGATACTCCTAGAAACCATTCAAAGGGTACTTCAAAGTCTTCTGTGTGTGACGGCTCTTCAGAGGTAGGACCTTTTTTCCTTTTATAGAGAAATTCTGTAAAACTGCCAATTTTTGCTCCAGTCATAGTTTTTATGTGCGTGGTACAGGGAGCTCAGTCTTCAAGTACCAATGTTTGTGAAAGTGATATGCAGAAACCATCATCAGCCGAACAAAGAAAGATGGATGTCTTGTCAGACGATTTTTCAGAAACGTTCTTGCTTGATGAGGAAATAGATCTAGAGCATAAAAGCCCAAGAAAGAGTGGACTTTCCATGTCCAAAAGGTAGTGTGTGCACAACTTGATTACTCTTGATATTGCTTTCATCTCTCTGTACTACAATATGCCTCTTTTGGATGTGAACTTGAAAGTATTGGAGTTAATGCTTTGGTTATTTGAATTTATGTAGGATTGAGGATGAAGACGAGGATATGGTTGTTGATGATCATAAGATTAGTAATCTTGTAATTGTTACCCAGGTATTACATGCAAAATGTTATATATTTACTTGAACACTTTGTTGGTGGAATTAAGTATTCATGTTCCGTTGTATGCTGGACAGAATAGCGGGAGAAATGATGGCACTGGAATCAGTGGGACAAAAGCAAAAAACATTCCTAAGGAGCTTGCCTCCACAATAAACGATGGTCTTTACTACTTTGAGCAGGTTAGGAATCTTTAAGCCAGAATGATATGATTTACCTCTTCTGGACGCTAATTTCTAAATACCAACCTATGAAACAGGAACTCAAAAAGAATCGATCTGGTCGTAGGAAGAATAACTCCCATTTGGATAGCAGAGATGGAAAAGTAAAACCTGGAGGATTATCAAACACTAAATTAGGCGAAAATTCCGCAGCAAATGATGGAGGTGATGAGCATGGCATCGTTAATTTACGGAGGAAGCAAAATAAGGGAGTCCACAAACATCATATGGCCCATGCGAAGAGGTTCTTCTCGAGCAACATAAGGAACCATGGGGCTAGTCTCAGTTCTCATGCAAGTACATCAGAGAGTCCGCCTAGTAGCTCCATTGGATTTTTCTATGGTTCGACACCACCAGACAGTCATGGGTCAGTATATCCTAGCAATTACATGATATTCCCAACTTATTCTTTTTTTTTTTCCTTTTACATGTTTTTGATAATTTTGGTCGTGTGATGTTTCACAGCCCCAGGCTTTCGAAATTGAGTTCATCGCCACAGTGCACTCTCTCTGGCAGCAGTCCACCTGTGGGCTCTTTACCAAAATCATTTCCACCTTTTCAACATCCAAGCCACCAACTGTTAGAAGAGAATGGGTTTAAACAAGAAAAGTGAGTTTAGTTATTCGGTTACAAAACTTGAGTTAATTGTATGAAGCATTTCTTTTGGGAGGATAAGATTGTATCTTTGGGTCTTCTAGTCTCATTTATTTTATTTCTTTCTACCCATAGGTACTTGAAGTATCGCAAGCGGTGCTTAAGCGAAAGAAAGAAGCAGGGCAGCGGATGCAGTGAGGTCAATTTCATATCAACCTCCATTGGAATTTTTTTTTTTTTTGCCGTCATCAATGCACTTCAAATGAAACACGCAATAACTGTTACATACAACTCATACTTTCACGTTAGTCTGATTAGAGATCCTAACCCTGTTTTCTGGAAATGTGTCTGAATTCTGGCTGTTCTGTTTGTAGGAAATGAATCATTTGTACCGATTTTGGTCATATTTCCTCAGAGACACGTTTGTTCCGTCTATGTATGAAGATTTCCAGAAGTTTGCTCTTGAGGATGCAGCTGACAATTACAACTATGGGCTGGAGTGTCTCTTTAGGTTTTATAGGTAATACATGCATGTTAGACGTGCTTTTCTGTTTCCCATCTGTTTACTGCGGATAAGCTTCCTAGTTTAAACCCAGTCTCACCAATACTGCTCTGCCCTATGATTTCAGTTATGGTCTGGAGAAGAAGTTCGATGAGGATCTTTATAAGGACTTTGAGCAGCAAACGCTTGACTTCTACCACAAGGGAAATCTATATGGCTTGGAGAAATATTGGTAAGGGCTACTGAATTCCTGTTATGGAATGTGATTCTTGGTGATGATGTCTCTAGAGATTATTTACTCTTTTAGTTTATAGAAAATGTTTGGTTGATTTGTGTTCTAAAGACCAAATCCTCTCTTGTGCAGGGCATTCCACCACTATCAAGGCCAGAAAGAACCGATAAAGAAGCACCCTGAGCTAGAGAAGCTACTGAAGGAAGAATACCGTAGCATAGACGATTTCCGAGCAAAGGATTCAATCACCAGCCAGAAAGAAAACAAGTCTCACTAATGTTATTTGTAGAGACGAAGAGCAGAGCACATATCATATGCTTGCCACTGAGCATATGATCCTTAAATCTTGACCTAAATTTTTGTGTATGTCTTCTTCTGGGGAAGAGACCAAAACCAAGATCAACCAAGTGAAGCCCACCACTCTAAATTTTTAAGTATATTTTTCTTGGTGGTGTTTTCTTTTCTTGGACCTTTTTTTTAAATATATTTTGGTGTGCAGGATCTCTCTCTGCAAGACAACCATAGCTTTGACAGAAGACGCGTTCATCTAAACAGAGTTTCGCCCTCTCCCCAAAAGTTGTAATCTTTTTTTTTTGTACATATAGGGATTATTTTCTAATTTCTCAATTTTGAAAAAAAAAAACGAAAAAAGAAGAGGTGATTGTAGTAGTGTCTCTGTAGAAACAATAAGAGATATTTGTTTCACTTGACATTATTACTTAGATAGTATATTTTTGTTTTGTTTTTTTGTAAATTTTGCCTTCTTGTATCTTATGTCATATTGGCATATGTTGTTTCTTCTTTTATCTTTTTTGTTGAAAACTCCAAAACTTACTTCCTTCTACGGTGGCCTAATACGCTTAATCCAAATGAAAGATAGCTCCAAAGCAAATATGATTCGTTAATTTTATTGGTTAGAGATGGTCTCACTTTGAGTAAGTTATTATGCATCATCACGTATGGTGGTTAATTTTATTGGTTAGAGATGGTGAGTAAGTTATTATGCATCATCTCGAAACACCTAGTAAATAGTTTCGATACTCCGGAATATTTTTCTTCCCTCGGTACGAAAAGTAGTACTAAGGTTAGAGTAAAATAGCTGAAACAAAACCAATGTCTTCAAAATACCGATTTGATTAAAGTTAAGATAAAATATCCACCAACAACGCCCGGCAAAACAACTAAGAACATAAAGAGTATCAAGATAATGGGTCGACGAAAATAACAAAAGGAGGCATCGACCCAGAGAAGAGTGTAAAAGGGGCATTTAAAGTTTTGTTGGTTCGATCATATATGCAATGACATTTAAAAGCCGTGGACCGGACTGTTCCTTCAGCAGAAGAACATTGAGCTAGCAACCTCCGGGTTCAACGTTGGCATGGGGGGCACAGGGACTGCTCCAGGTGTCGTGATCCCGCCATGGCTCGATGAAGTCTCTGACAATGACATGTCCTCAAACTTCATCACAGTTCCCATCTGTGCAGCCGCCAAATGAGCATAACAAATAGGTGCAACTGCAAAAACAAAAAAAAATATAAAACTTGAGATATTGCACACAGTGGAAGAGGCAAAATCAGTTGTAATCCATTCTAATTATTTAAACACAGAAAAACATAAAAACAATGATAGTCACAACAAGGATCTGAAAACTTACCGACTGAGATGGCAGTGGTGCTCCTCTGGTAGCTACACGTATCAAAGCAGACAAGTTTAGCAGACAACGCACACACCACAAACAAATGTTTCAGATAATGTGCTAAAAGTGATCTAGTGCTTACACATAGGATAGAGAATGCACAAGTTCTTGGAGGTCATCTGTCGAAAATTTAATCTGATCGAAGAGCACATGGTAATGTGTTGGCCTTGTAGTTCCCTAATACATCCAAATCAATAGAAAATTGTTACGTTTTAGTTCGATTTATAAACAAGTTTCATCTGGGATTCGAGCAGAAGACTTTCACTACAAAGGGAAAACCGATGAATTATGTTACAGTTGACTTATTATATAAGCACAGCTTTTGAAGGAGCTATTACTTACAATCATTCCAGCATGGGCACAGAGATAGAAGTCATTGTTGCGTGGGTGACAGATCTTGTTGTCAATTATAGTTCCTGCAAGTCAATTGAGAACAGCTTTCAAGTCAGTTTAACCACAAATGACAAACAGAAAATCATGCTCAGGTCAAGTTGTTTTTACCTGGAGGAACATTGTCAGGGCATCCAGCCTGGAAGAACTTGATGTGGTGGTTTTTCTGGGCAATGATCACTGTGAACTTGGGGTCCCAATTGGAGTCAAGAAACTTGCATGCCTAATAACGTAACAAAAAAAAAAGCAGGTCCATAAATGTCCAACATATACTAAATAAAATGTCTTTGGGTCACCGAAAGCTCCAGAACCATAATACCTACCTGCATCATCTGATCCAATTCGATATTAAGAACTTGATTGAACTGAGACTCACTCACACCATCCCTACATGTACATTAATAACAATGAGTTAACAAACTGTATTACACAACTTTTACATGATACCTTAATAGATTTAAGTATATACCTGAAAATGATAATGTGATCCGGCTTCCTCTTCCCGGAACTTGAGTAAAAGTCGATCAAGAGCTCCCTGTAAAGAGCATGAAATTTCTAATTAAAAGATACCGTTTTCGTAAAAGTTTGAAAGCATACTCTTACATTCACAGGGCCAGCTTATACAGAAGCCCAATGGGCTTATAGGCAAACTCTCTTGTACAAAGTTACCTGAAAATTCCCTCATCTTTGTCAGAGCCTTTGCCGTCAGGGACGAGTTTGAAGAGATTATCAATCATTTCCACTTTCCGCGATTGTGTGCGCACACATGCCTTATATTTTGAGATGAGTGGCCATTGTCTGGAGCTCACAACCTTTTGGTTTCCAAACACAAACATAAGAAACAATTAAAAAACGCACATGCCCACAATAGATGACAACATAAGAAACAATTAGAAAAACAAAATTAGCGTTACCGCAGCAACTGATAGTATGTCAGACATGCCAGGAGAACCATGGGATACATCCATCCCAACAATGATGGTAGGAACTTGCGTTACTAAAGGCATTGCTGGTGAGCGCTCCATAGCTAACAGCGAATTCAATCCACCAAGCTACGTATACGAAATAGAAATCAGTTCAGTTGTAAGGTCTTTTTAATCAATCTTGAAATTATCATAAATTGAACTTGCATCTTTTAGAGCTCACCTTGGCATTTATCTTCAGAAGAACATTGGTGATATACTGATCGTTAATTCTCGGGGTAGGAGCAATGCACTGTGTCACAATTCCAAGCTCAGCAAGATTCTTTTTTTTCCAAGGACCTGAAAAATTCAGAGACGATATATGAAAAGCTACACATTTACATTCAAGAGGAGAAAAAAAACACTATTCAAAAGTGGCAAGTACTGTACCATAAACAAGAGAGTTTTTCCTTTCTGCGAGAATGCAAAGAAGGAATTTTGGCTTCCCTGGGAGTTGAGATTGTATCTGCTCGAACATTTTATCTACTCTGATATTGGGTGGTGCACCCCTAAAGCGAGACTCTTCTTGAAGTACGACTGGGAATGGAGGTTCTACGTTCTGGGATAAAAGGAAAAACAAAATCAGAGGTGAAGAGTTACAAGGAGTTGTGCATATGATTGAGTTTCTATAGTAAACGATGATTCTGAAGAAGGCTTACAATTCCTTTCATCTTCCCACATCTGATCAAGTCAGGAATAAGCCTGTTTGTATCACAGCGAGCAGAGAAGTTTACAACGGCCCATCTAGTAACCGTGACTGGCTCAACAAGTTTCTGCAAAAGATACTCACTTAGTAGAAGAGGTTGAAATATTAATCAACAGAGCAGAAGATAGAAAATCTACGAACCTTATTATTGAAGTTCCAACGCCCATTGCGAGGGAGAAAGTCCTCTCCGTTTCCCACTTTCAGCTGTTCGGAAACAACAACAGATAATTAACACTAAACCTTCTAGAAGTAAGAAGAAAAATATATAGCAAGAGTGTCAAGTCAACTCACCTTTGGTGCTGGTAAAACGCGACCCTCCACTTGAGTGAAGTTTGAGCCAATGCTGACACCACTTTCTCGCAACACCAGGTCAGCATTATAATTGCTTTTCTTCAGACCCTGCAAGAAAAGGACTCCATCTTCAAAGTCAAAATAAATCAAAATAGACAGAAACAACTTCAAAGTATCAAGGATAATGGAAGGAAGACCTACATTGGTTAGCGAAGTCATCCTCTCAGTTGGCTTCTGCCTAGACTTTTCTACTAGGGAAGCCCTCTGAAGATTAGAGAGTGATTTTGTGTAACGCTGTAGAGTCACAAGTTCACAGTGCTGAAAATGTAAAAACGGAACAAGACTTGTCATAAGTCGTTGCACTAAAATGTGGATTAAAAAGAAACAAACAATGCACCTAAATTACCTCCATGGGGATATAAGTAGGCCGCTTTGGCTTGCCAACATTGATGCAAGGAACGTCACCTGAATATCGCAGCGGAATATTACGGCATACGGTGAAATACTCATACACTGTCGTCTCAATCTCTTCAACTTCCCCCTTTTCGTTTTTGACATTGCGAATAAACCTAAACCAATCAAAGGGAGCAATATCTTAGTCTGAACTCAAAGCAAGTGTAAAAATGTGATCAAAGAACATCAGAATTACAACATACCTTTGATCTTTGCAGCGTTCTTCACTTAGTCCGCTTATCTTGTATTCTCTATTTGAGGGGGCAACCTTAACTCTAAGATTCTTGAGAACACGTCTAGCCTGATGCAGAGAATATAAGATAAGTAATTCTCAAAGATGCTATAACATCCGTGAAGTTGTACAACAGAAAAGAAGATGATGTACCTTGTTCCAGTCAATAGAGTGTGGGTCTTTCACATTTAGATTTGAAAGAAGGAAATCAACAACAGGGCCAGGTTGTACTACCATCGTAGTTGATGTGTCTAAAGACAAGCCAAAGCGAACAATCAAAGTGTTAATTCCCAAAATGTTACAAAGAAGAGTCTAATACACATTAAATACAAAAGCGAATTACCAATATTCAAGGATAAGCCTCCCTGAGTAGTTCTGAAGCTTGAATGAAACCCTCTGACACCAACGACACCTCCACCGATAGCTACAAAGTTCGCTGTGTCGTTGTGGAAAAAGGACTGGCGAACAAGGAGGCAACCTCTGCAAACAGAAATGAGAACATGCTTCAAAACCAAGCTGATAATGAGTGTTTTTAAAAGACATTCCAGAAATTAACTTACTGCCTAGCTGCGCTCTGGCGCAAGATAATATCCAGCACTCTTATAGCATCTTGAAGATTTTCTGTTTCCTTTCCTTGAAGAGCGCTTGCAATAGCGTGCATGGGGATCTTTGCAGCATAGCTTATCTCAACCATGAATTTCTTGGATTGGTTGGGCCGCCTTGATCTTTTCCTGTCTCCGTCATTTGTTTCATTCGGGCTAGCATTTCCAGTGTTATTTCTGCAAATAAAGAGTACATTAAAATATCATAAAATTTGAACAAAAGGAAACAGTAGAGATATCTTCAAAACAAATCAAAAGAAGTTGAATTTTCGCACCTGCCAGAAGGAGTGTCTTCAAGAACAACAGAGAAATCCAGTTTGTTGCTGGGAAGAGCACCAACAGTGAACAGAGTCTTCTCGCCATCATAGGCAAAGTATTTGGATCCCAAATCAGTTTGATATGTCTCCTGGACTTTATCAAGAATCCTCCTGCCAATACCTTTAGCCTCCACTGGACGGCCATCTTCATATGTTATAGCAACCTGTATCCAAAGACCAGAGAAACAACAAAAAAATATTCATACCAAGGAACCAATGAAAAGAAGGGTATTGAACATTTATGCTAAAGGATAAGCAAAATAATCATTGATACATACACTGTAATGAAAGAAGTGGCCGTTTGCGTTGTTGAAATTGACTCTGAAGTGATTTGTAAGAAGAGGAATCTTCTGTCCCTTGGAGCCGTTGCCAGGTCGGGCCATCGGGGGACGAGTGCTCTTTTTTACAAGCTCCATTTCAGGTACAACATTTGATGGAACGACAGGTGGGGGAGGTGGTGGTAACCCAGAATCCATATCTGCATTGCAAAAATCAGAAAACGGCATAAATACTATAAACCAGGAAATCAAACACATGCTCCGTGAAAGAAAACAGAAAAGGGCATAAATACGTTCATTCAAGGAAAAATACTAGTCAAGCAATAGTTGGAACAGAGCACCAGAGAGATAAATACTTCACATCCAAAACCATTAACGTCATACTTCAAGCGGATAAGGAAAAAGCGAAACCACATTAAACCCATGTAAAACGAACCAAGCATAAATTTCCAGCAAAATAAAACTCAGAACACCTCATAAAAGCAGATACAACAGAGAAGAACAAAGAGATCAACGTGCACATGAAATTATATGACCAGGAATAAGCGAGTGTGGGTGAAGCGAGAGAGAGACTTTCGAAAGCGGATAAAAAAAATGCACCAAAAGACAGAAATCACAAAGCAGCAAAAAAAAACCCAGAAAATTTTTCGCGGAAACTGCAAATCAATATTTTAATATAAGAAACACACACACGCCAACATTTATTTCCCAGATTTCTGTAACAGATAGATCGGAGAAAAAGCAAAAAAATAAAAAGACAGTGGAACAAACAAACCGGAGTTGCTCGGAAAAAGAAAGACGATGATGAAATCTGGGCATAAAACGATGGAAACGTGTATCAGCGAAGTTGAAAACCAGAAAAATCCTGAGAGATATAGTAAAATAAACAGTACAGTGTACAATAATAGAAACTCATGCACAAAAAAAAAAGCTACACACAGCTTAGGGCGAGTTTTTACAGCATGAGAAGAAGACGAAGAAGATAGACAGGAGCTTCACAAATCACACGAGAGAAACCATCCAAAAACGGAAAGAAAAAAAAAATCGAAGAACAATAACAGAACTCATGAACAAAAAAAAAAGCAACACACAGCTTAGAGCGAGTTTTTACAGCACGAGAAGAAGACGAAGAAGACAGACAAGAGCTTCACACGAGAGAAATATCCAAAAACGGAAAGAAAAAAAATCGAAGAACATAAAAAGCAACCATGCATTGCAGATCATCAAAGTAGAAGACAGAGTAATAGAGAGAAACGAGATCGTTGAGCTTACCTACTTCAGCTGAGACGCAAGAGAGAAATCCAAAATCGACGATGAGAAGAAAAAACCCTAAAGCTACGGAGAGAGAGCTTTAAGGAGGTGAAGGGTTTGTTTGTTTGGTGGTTCACTAGAATCTCGCGCTTCACACACTAGCCCCGTCTCTTTAAAGCCGCAGACGCAAGAGTAATCTTGTAGGACCCACCCTTTTTCTTCGTCTCTCTCTATTTATAATTTTAATATTTAGTTTTTCGCCCCCATATTCTTCTCGATTCATTGTCCTACTCCTATCAATATCCGTCTCTTTTAAGTATAATTTTTTTTCTGTTATTAAGAAAGGAAAAAAAGTTAATTTAACTGGTTAGAACAATTCGGTGAATATATGTTTGCTCCGTTAGACAAATTAAGAGAAAAAATATAAGTTTCGATGGATGAGAGCGTTATTGTTTCTGATTATAGATCCGATTATTGGATATAATCTTGCTTCAAGTGTTCACCATGCATGCAATAATCAATACGTCGTATATATAAGAGGAGGCTTGTAAATCTTTTTCTCTACTTCGTTTCGTATACCTTTCGATTCTTCTTTAAGTTAATGATGCCTTATGGTACTAAATTTATGGTATTAACTTTATGGGATATTCTTCTCATCTTCCAGAATGCATCGGTTGAGACTTCGAGAGTCTTAATTACTTTTCATTTATGAACAACTTTAAGCCATGATGCATTGATGCCTGCATGACGAAATCTAACATGTTACTATGTTAACAAGAACATATTTTAAGAAACTATAAATGAAATAAACGAGCTTTATTTGTTACCACTTTATTTTGAAAATTTAAATTAGTCATTCCTAAAGTGACAAGTTTACAACTTGTTTTGTACGTAATTTCTGTGTCTCAAAAAAACAAAAAAAGTAATTTCTCTGTGTGTCCTGCAAATACTAAAGAATATTAAAAGGAACAAAATAATAAATGCGTTGTATTGTACGTCGCTTCGTGCTGGATAAAAAAGAGGGCGTGTTTTAGCAGCAGAAGTTTTGTCATTTTGTTGATGTGACCTGTTCTTTGCCTTTCCTATGATCTTCTCTCTCTCCTTTAAATGAAAAGCAAGCGATCATTTTCATGTATAAACTTCTGCTATTAACTTTTTTGGGAAAATTCCATATAAAATCTTCAACTTAATTTCAATCATTTTTTTAAATTTTCAACTTTTTGTGTGTCCAAAAAAAATTTTAAGTATTTTTTTTACCCATTTTAAATCTTCAATTGTTATTCGTATAGTTAGTTTACACCGTATACGAAACGATACTAAACGAAAATGGAAATATCGTTCGAATCCCGTTAACAAACTAATTACAGTACTCGTCGTGGTTAAAAAATGGTTAACATAAAACTCGATATAAACTAAATCTCGACAAAATTGAAGCAAAATCTCCAAATCAAATTGAAGTAAAATGATCACACGGATAATAATTGAGGATTTAAAATAAGTAGAAAAAATACTTGAAGTTTTTTTCTGAGCACACGAAAAATTGAAGATTTAAAAAACTCATTGAAATTAAGTTGATGATTTTATATGAAATTTTCTCTAACTTTTTTTACTATATGTTCTTATCCTGTCACAACATTTTTAACCTTCAAACTCACTATACGAAACAAATTTTTTTGAAGTTGTGTTGTATGAATATGATTGGTTATATGACGAAAATTCTATTCATAAACAAACACAAATTTTAAAAATATGTTTGAAGAACAAATTTTGAAATTGTGAAATTTTTTTTTGGTAGTGAATCGGGAGAAAAACTCTCCCCGTACTATTATTGAAACTTCAGCAATTACATACTAACATAACGCGATAGAGGCGGATCCGAGACGTCCTCTCTCAAAATCGTTGCAACAACAGACGGAACATTATTCAAGAATGAAAAATCTAAAGGCAAAGAAAAAGCATAGTTCGCTAATCTATCAGCCAGACGATTAGCCTTCCTATACACGTGAGTCACTCGGATAGTCCGGTCCTTTGATAAAAAGCCATGGCACAGACGTACCAGGAAAGACAGAGGATGCGCATCCCCAATCTCTGTCTTTAAAAACTCCACTACCATCTCCGAGTCCACTTCCAGCTCCAAACACGTTACTCTTCTCTCCCAGGCAATATATAAACCATAATACACTTCCCATAACTCTGCAAGTGGCGCTGAACAACGTCCAATGTTTAAAGCAAATCCACCACACCACTCCCCATCTCCATTTCTCAAAACCCCTCCAGCCGTTGCCATTCCTGGGTTCCCATGCGACAAAGGAGAGACGACAAAAAAGGAGGTATAACTTGGCTTTTTGACAATTTTTCTTATGCCATTTTTGCAATTCCACAAAACTATGGTTAGATTGGCAATTTCCTTTAAATTGTGAGATCAAGTTGCAATTACCACGACACGAGCAACCGCTTTAACCACAGCAACAACAAGCATAAAAACACTGAAAAAGCCCATTAAAAAAAGAATAAATTACATAAAAAGGCACTTTTGTATACTCTAGTTACATTAAAAGGCACTTCTAGCTATTGAGGCACTTTCATTCTGTGCAAAGACATTCATACCCTTTATTAATTGGAACACTCATCTCTCCCGATCGATCTCTTTAATTTTAGAGTGATTTACAGGTAAAGGCACTTTCCCGAATTTAAGTTTCAAAAAAGGCACTTGTAACTATTGAGTGACTTTTGTATGATAGAATAACAATTATACCCTCTAGTAAATTTTCGTTAACTCGTTTACCACACAACTGAGAGTAAAAAAAAACAGACGACGAAGAACCCTAAGCGACCGCCGGAGAGAGATAGTCGACTGTTTTTGGGCTTCTGAGCGAGATAGTTTGATTCGTCCAGGCGATGTCAGGTAAAAATTCCCCTGTATGACTTGGATAATTTGGTCGTGTGTGAACAAATGATTGATTTTTACAGATATTTGTAATTACTTTTGAAGTGAATCTTATGTTCCAATTTCGGTGTGGATCAGACGGAGATATTTTGGATGAGGCCGATTCGCGATTGCCCTCTCGTTTATTTGCTACAGATCGGTTCCCAATCAACCGGATAAATGTGTATTCGAAGCCCGACACGCTTACCTTCCTTAGTGAGAAGTTAAGAGGCACTAAAAAGTTAGACATCATCATCAACTCCTGTTTTGGGAAGTTATTCACTTTCCCCGCTGCTCGATGTCAAATATCGTGTAAACTGATCCACGTGTTGATGTCCAGACAGTTGGTCACCAAGAAGAAGTATGAGATGTGGACAGTTTTTGGTGGACACCCCTTAAGATTTGGGTTAAAGGAGTTTGGGCACGTCAGTGGATTGCCTTGTGGAGAGTTTCCAGATGACTACGATCCTGACGATCAACCAACAAATGTCGAAAGGCTTTATCTTATTCACGTGTAAAGGCATCCACCTACGCTCGTCCACGTTACGTTATACATTATGTCGAGTAAGGTAGGCGACGTGTGTTGTGCATTTCAGGGATTATCCGTATTTAAACGGTATCCACCAATTGGCGTCCATTTTATCTTATCCATTATGTCGAATATTGAAAACGACGGGTGCTGTACATCTCACAAATTATATTTGCTTAAAATAATGTAAATCTCACAAACTCTGATATCCACCACGGGGTCGTCCACGTTACTTTGTCCATTATGTCGAGTATGGTAGGCGACGTGTCTTGTGCACTCCAAGAATGACATATTTGGTCGTCCAGATATGGACAACTTTGTCTGGTCCGCGTGTAAAGGATATCCACCGGTGGTCGTTCACTTTCACGTATCCATTACCTTGAATATTGAAAAACGACGAGTGCTGTACATCTCACAAATTACATTTGCATATAGAAATGTAAATCTCACAAACTTTGATATCCACTAGGGGGTATCCACTTGTCAAGCACTCGTTCTTTAGATAGAGAACGGTCGTCCACGTGATGGTCGTCTGCTTTATCTTATTCACGTGTAAAGGCATCCACCTACTCTCGTCCACGTTACGTTATACATTATGTCGAGTAAGGTAGGCGACGTGTGCTGTGCATTTCAGGGATTATCCGTATTTAAACGGTATCCACCAATTGGCGTCCATTTTATCTTATCCATTATGTCGAATATTGAAAACGACGGGTGCTGTACATCACACAAATTATATTTGGAAAATAATATGTATTCTAAAGGATATTAGACGTGATTTTAGTGTACAGGGTTATGTGGATGAAGAGAACGAGTTATGGATATAGATACGGTAGGGATGTCGTTCACCAAAGCTGGACTTCTCGAAATCAGGCAAGAACGTGTTATGGATATAGATACGGCAGGGATGTTGTTCACCAAATCTGGATTTCGCGAAATCAGGCCAGAACCTTGTTCCCGACCAAGAAGTTTGGGAAGTTTGCAAAAAAAGTTGGAGGTGTTCGGGATTAAGCGGGATCTGCCTTTCCGAGCCAGCAGTTTGCGAAGTTTCCGTTTAACCGGAATAAAAGAGCTCTCTTTAAGAGATATAAGAGAGCATCAGATAAAAATTGGAGAAGAATTTGATGAGGCAGATCCGAACGGTCAGAGAAGAATATGGCCAGGGGTCCGGCTACGTCGGAAAAATGTTTAACGGTGTTTAAAGATTCTTCCGACGAAACTAGAGAAGAGGAGACACTCGGTAAATAATTATCGAGCTCGTTTTACTGATGGGCAAAAATGTCCACAAAAATCTTGAAAACTCATAAAAGTCACCAAATAGCAAAAAGTGCCTTTGGCCGTAATATGAATTATAAAAAATGCCTTTGGGTGTAAATATCTCTTAATTTTACAGCCCAGAAAGAATTCATTCCTCGATTTCGACGGCGTCCAACCCTTGACGACGTCTCGTCGTTGGTATCAAAACCAAATCCATTTATCTCACCAACGGTGACTACATCCACCGCAGCTGATTAACAACACGCCTAGAACAAACGAGGAGAATATATCTCAGCAGAGATATTGACTCTGGCGAGTGAGTGTGGCCGACCTTAGTACAAATGCTGCTCAATACCTCCATCTCGAAGCCATAACATGGAGAACAAGCTTATATATACGATATAATAAATGGTAAGTTTGTGTAGTTTCAAAAATGTAATTTTTTGAAAAAAAGTCTTGATTTTCATATTGTTGGATCTAATATGATTTGTTATTGTTACAGTTTCAGGGCTCTATAATCTCTCTATTACAAGTTAGATTTTGATTCTGAGACTGGTTTTGTTTAGCCAGACAAATTATTAGGATTATTCCAACTTGTTAGACAATTAGAACATGGACAAAGTAATGTGAACAAGATAGATTGGATATCATATTGTGGATACAATCATTTGTCAACTATATGTGCACTAATCAGCATGGACAAAGCTTAGACAAAGTATCAGACTTTGTTAATCAGATGAGATCATGAATTTGAGTGTTGTTACTTTCAGACTGATGGTGGCTCTATGCATATAACCTGGTATCTTTAGGGAAATCAGAAGCAATGGGCAAAGGGAGCTAAGGGACAAGGAATAAGTTTTGGCGCTCAATGCAAGGAGCATTCTTGGTCCTTGCTGTGTTGATTTTAGGTGTCTTTTCTTTGTAAAACAGCTCAATATTGACTCTTCGCATTTTGTATTTTTCTGCTTTTTTTGTATAGTGGAAAATTAAACAATTTTGTTCTTGTCTAACATTAGAAGACCCTTGACATGTAACAGTCTTTTAATTTCTCAGTTTTATTTTGAAGCCCATGTCTTGGCTTCGTATATATGCACAAACGCACTGGTCTTTAACTCAATTTTCTTAAATCTTTGTCCTTGTCCATAATAGTTTGTCCATGCTAACTAGTTCACAATATTTTTTTGAACTTAACTTGTCCACCATACATTGTCCACTATACCTTGTACACAGTCACTAGACCACAAATGATTTATCTTCATTACCAAAAATTGATTCCATCAACCATGATATGTACCTATGATATCTTGTCCACGTTTTGTTGTCCACATTATCATTGTTTCATAGGTTTTACCCAAATATACAACGAATTGATTGCATCCACCACGATAACTTGTCCACATTTTTTTGTCCACGTTTTGTCCCAAAACATCTACATCTTTAAGATAATCATTTGTCTAGCATTGACATATTGAGCAAACTTTTCATAGAGATGACAAAAACTCCCTTGTATAGTATCTATATCTCATTTGTTTGATTGTATTTGTTGATTGTATTTGTCTTTCAATGATTCTACAATACTTATTTTACTCTACTTATTCCATGTGTTGTCCATGCTAACTCGTCCACCAGACTTATCAACTATACATTGTCCACCATACTTTAGTCTGCAAATACTTTATCTCCTATAATATCAAGTTATTAATTTGATCGTATCCACAATATGATATCTTTACCTAGCTATCTCATGTTACTTTGTCCACACTAAACGAATCTCCTTCAAACCATCTAGCTATTGCAAGTGATATCGTAAAGGGGTTACAGTCGAGTAGAGCTGATCATATCTGAAGTAGATATTAGTCATATATCCGTACCCAAAGGCTGCAACGGAAGAAAAATCTGCTCCGCCGCATCATTAAAGATCTCAGTCGTTGCTTCGGAGAGGAGAAAGGACTCCATGGAAGTGAGTCGCTTTGCTTCACCGTGAACAAAAGAGAGAGGAAAGTGTGAACCTCTCTAATTATAAAGACTTAGAATCAGAATATTACTCTTGATTCAAAAACAAATTCACAAAGGGAGACATGTCCACAAGTACTCGCTCATATCGGAAATCCAAATCAATTTCTCGAAACTATAGGTGACAGATCTTTTTGTGGAAAATAAAAGTGGGTTTACGTTAAAAAAAGAGAAGAATAAGAGAGATGAAACCACGAAGAAGAAGAAGCGTGAGTTTAATAGAGGATAGGTCTGGAATTTCATATTTCCAAAAAGTAAAGAAAGTACCCCAATAGTAGAATGTATCTTTTTTTTTATTATAAATTGAGAAAGTGCCTTTTTATGTAATTTACTCTTAAAAAAATTAGCTGTGAAATTAATTTATTACGTCATCAAAATCGATTCCCTTCCCGCCATCTCGCTCCCTCCTCCTCTCACCGTCGTTTCGTTCTCCTAAAAACCCTAGGTCACCGAGTTCCCTAAGCCCAAACTTTTTCTTGGGTGAAATTTCGAGAGATTTGAGGATGGGATCGCTAAGCTGGAAGCACCACACGCTAATCCAGGCTTTGATTTCACGAGGTCCTCTCAAGGAGAAAGAGTTTCACTCAATCTTCACCGGCGTCACCGGCAGAAACCCAGGTCGGTCTCTCTTCTCACTTTTATCCGCTCTGTGATGAATGTTCAAGTAACTTTTCTGGGTTTGCGCCGGGTGGATGATTTTCGTTGAATCAAAATCTGTAGTTTACGGAAACTTTTACACAATTTCATCAGCCGCTATTAAGATTCGGGAGATGTAATTTAATTCCTGTATAACTGTTTCCTCGACGTAATCGTGTGTTTACTTTCCCTCTGTGAGATTTACATCATCGATATGCTGCTTATTGTAGACTTATTTTTGAGGAGTTTGAAAATTATTCGGAATTCAATAACTAGCTTTTCTTAATGTTGAATGTCAAAGGAACTGTTTTCTTCATTGAGCATTATAGTGATAACAATATTCTTCCTCCTTTTTTGTGTTGCAGGAGCTGCTAAAAAGATATTTGACAAGTACCTTCTTGAGATAAACAAAGAGCTCTCATATGTTCACTTTGAGTTGAGGGCTTGTAGAGATCAGTATGATGGCCAAGTTTGTTTTGGAGTGGTTAACAATGTGTCCGATGATCAATCCAAACTCGGGACTAAATATTCTGTTCCCCAGATTGCATTCTTTAAAGGCATTGTAAGTTGCATTTGGTCATTTTAGTGTCCGGCTTATGTTCTGTTCCTAGTTCATCAAAGTTCTTTGTTTTCTTTGTAAATATTCTAGATTTACTAGTGCTACAAGTTTATCACATCAAAGATTTGGGTCTCCTATTTCGTTCTCTTATCTTACTAGATATTCACTAGATTGATTATGGGTTGCGTAGAGTGGATTTATGTGTAACTTCTCCCTTGACATTGATGACTTTTACTTCTGGCAGATAGAAGCAATTGCACAGGATGAAGCTGCTCAAGGTTGCATATCGAGCTTTGATGCCCTTAATATCCGCTTGGAGAATCAGGTAATCATAGTCCCTGACATCTGTATATATCCCTCTTGATCTAAGTTCAATCAACTGATCATGCTGACTTGCTGACTTCAAAACTGCTACAAAGTATTCTGTTCTGTATGAGATATAATCTGAAACGAGAATTGTCGCTTATGTTGATCAAATAATCATGCACTCTGAGTTATATTCTCCTTGTATGATAAAAAATGTTTCATCCCGTTTCTGACTGTTGGGTCATTATGATATTCGAATCTCAAATTTCGCAGCATTTCTATCTGTCTGTTTGGTGAAGACAATTAATTGGGATCTATCCAATATTAGCAAATTTTTACTATTGCTATTCATTTGGTTGGATTGTATAATTTTTGTCTCTTTGTTACGGTTGACAGATCTTGTGTTAATATCTCAGTTACCAAGTGAAGCCAGCAGCAGTCAACAGCAAGTCCCTCCTGCATTCAAGAACTTTTCAATGTCTCAAAAGGAGAAAACTCTGGATGAACTTGTAAGGGACAAATGGCTGTGCCGCACAAGAGAGGGCAACATCGGACTTGGTATAAGATCTCTTCTTGACCTGCGCAGTTGGTTCAGAAACAATGATGTTCCTTCTTGCGAGGTCTGCAATGAAGCTGGAGTGAAGGTCTGCAATTCTGAAAATAAACTGATAGGATTCACATAAGACGAATTTTACATAGTGATGACATTATATTATCTGCTAATTTCATATCGGATGCTTTGTTTTCTGTTGACACTCATTTCCAGGCGGATTTGTGTCCAAACAAAGGTTGCATGGTCCGGATACACAAGTACTGCCTCAAAAACTTGTTATCTCAAAGGGTATACACACAGCTACTTTTTCCTTAACCTCAATGGATTTGAGTTTGACTTAAACAGTACGTTATTTTTCTGATCACATGAAAATTACAGGATGATAAAGTATGCTCTGGTTGCGGGAAGCCATGGCCTTTGGGTAGAATTACAAAAGAAGAAGCTGTTGAGGCAGCAGTGAATGATGAGGAGGAGGAAAACGAGACTCAAGCCACAGCTCCAAGATCCAAGAGAAGGAAACTTAGGAGCCACAGAGACTCAGCTGAAAACAGATCTTCTCAAGCTTCTTTAGCCTCAAGCAGTGGTACCACTGGGAGAAGAGTAACTCGTAGCGTTGCACACTTGAGTTAAGTCAAAAAACTATTTAAGAACTTTTTAGTATTAGGGCTTAGATGTATATTTTGATACCCCTTTTTTTGTGTCCAAACAGCACTCGAAATTTGGCCTGATCTGATGTTTTCTCTTGTTTGACAATGATGGAGTTAAAACTCTTTATTTTTAAGCCTACATTCAAACGAACCAAAATCTGAAAAAAAAAAAATCACAACAGGCTTAATTCTTCCGTCACGCAGTTTTCCGTTATCACAGTTGATGATACCGTTAGTTTATCCAGTGTTAATTTGCAGTCCACCGTGACGGTCATGGTCCACGTGGTAACGGCGCCAACCTTAAACTTAACCGGCGCTTTAATCCTCAGATCAAACGGCACTTTTCCTTTCTTCTCCAATCCCATCAGCTCTTTGCGCGACGAGCTCGCTAACTGAATTCTCAATCCCCATAGCTTCGTCACCGTCACCGTCACATTTTCCGCCGGCTGTTCAAACGCCGTAAACTCGCCATCGCCGAGCTTGATTCCGTCGTAGTAAAGCTCAATCGCACCTCCTTTCCCGTAGATTAAACCGAGTCTCGCGTTAACGTTCTTAGCTCGTACCTTGACTTTGATCACCGGAGAGATCGGAGACGACGGTGACGTGAGGTTGATTCCGGCAATGGAGACTCCGCTCACGGAGAACAGTGGCTTATGCGGCCGGTAAATGAGGAAGAGGATCCCGACGACGAGGGCTGCGAGGATTAAAAGGACGAGTAATGTAGCGAGGAAACTCCAGAAACATCGGCGGAAAGTGGATCGATTGTGTTTCCGGCGAGAGAGGTACTCGTAACGGCGAGCATTCTCCGGCGGAGGGACGCGGAAGACCTCTTCTTTGCGGAGCTGGACAAGGTAAGTCCCTGGAGGTGGTGGCTGCTTCGGTCTCTGAGATTCGACGGAGAATCGGCTCGAAGCTGTATCGATTGTGTCGAAAGATACAAACTTTGGTCTCTGTACGTCTTTGTCGCTTACGAATCCACCGGAGCTTCTCGGCGAGCGCTGGATGCTATTATCGTTGGTGTCTATCGATGGATGCTTTGTTCTGCTGACGTCGTCTTTATCGGTTACGAATCCACCGGCGTTTCGCGGCCATTTTTGGATGTTATCGTTGGTCTCGACAGCCATTTCTTGTTGTTTATCGGTGACGGTTAAAAGAGAGAGCTTTTAAAATCGGAATGCGAAGCAGAGAATGAATAAAGTAAAAATTGTCTACCCATTCTGTATACTATTGTTTTCGTTTTATTTGAATGCACTAGTTTGATAAAGAAAGAGCACAAATTAAGATCGGATTGCATTTATGGCTTCTGTCGAAAGAGATATTCATGAGTACTTATGATTGATGATATCTTTGTAAAAGTTTCCATTGGTGAGCACTATTGTAACAAATTTGAGATTCTTGGAACAAAAAAGGATGGAAAGATTAATAGTATGAAATATATTGATCAGTCAAAACTTTCCAACAATAAAATTAATTATATTTGAAATTTTGTTGAATACTAATCTTATGTAGAAAAAATCTCTTATTTTTTTCCAAATAACCACTAGTTAATAACTTGACTAATTGGGTTGAAAGACTGAAAGAGTCAGAACTTTTGAAAACCTGCTTAAGAGAGTGGAATTCTTAGGACCTGGGCCTGCCTTCTTCTCTCAAAGCCCAAACTAAACCCGAAATACACATCTCTAACCTCACAATAAAGGAGGGATAATGCATTCTTAAAAAGGAGGCTCTCAATTCAAATGATGAAGTACTTTTGAATGGATTATTATGAAACCTAATCTTCTCCATTGCTACAACAAAGCTTATCGGAATGGAGAGATCAAAACTGTTTTCAATGTGAGCAATAAAGAAGAGAAAAAGCAAGAAACAAAGCTAATAGGCTAGAAAACAAACACAAGCAAACTCATGAAGCTTAATTTCTTCACTCAATCCAAGGCAAGGGCAAGTGTTCCTCTCGATTCTGCAGATTGTTATCTATTCTCACTGTTTCCCCATTGCCATTGAACTCAGTAGGCAAGACTAAACCAGAATTAAGATTCATCACCGAAGTAGAAGGACACAAATTATCAACCAAAGCAAACCGGTGATCAGAGACATAGTCATTAATGTTACCTCCTCTTTGTTCTGCTTTTGGTCTGTAGAGATTGTTCAGTGGATTAAACTGTTGTTGAACCTGCTCCTGCATTTCCTCTTGATTCTCCTGTTTGTTTCCATGAAAACTCCGGTTATAACCCGGATAAGGAGCAACTAAACCGGTAGGCATACCAAACGGTTTAGGGGGCTGGTAAAATGTAGTGGCTTTATAAGGACAATTCATCTGGTGGTTCTCTCTCGTAATCCTGTCATGAAATCCCATCTGTGGTTGGCTATAAGGACAGAGACTGTTCTCACAAGTGAAGATTCTTGGATGCAAAGACACACCCAAATCTCCTCCAAACTTCCTCTTGTAAACACCATTGAAGTTGTTTTCATACTCAGGGAATTGCGGAATGAGACGATGATGAGATCCAACCATTCCTTCAACATCATAATCTGCAGATTCAGGGAACAGAACATGATCAGTGTCGCCACTTGTTCCAGGAACAAGATTGTTAGAACCATTGTTGTTGTCTTCTCCAGAGATGATGGTTAAGGGACGGTGATGGTTTTGATCAATGATAGCCTTCTCTCGGTTAAGAGCAGCGAGCCATAAAGAGCCTTCTCTTGAAGTCATTTTCTCCTGCAAACTTCTAGACCGTCTCACGAGCTTCGGTATGTTGTTAATATCTGAAGCCATATGTCTGATCACACCAATCAAAACCCCAACTTTCCACAACTTCTTGAGATCATGAGGCTTCTTGTAAGGAGGAGCAAGTCCACGACAATCCTCTGGTAAAGACAAATCATCCCACCAATCTTCTTTCCCCGTTGGCCACCAAGGAGGCGTCAAGCCTTTCTCCAGCGGATATCTCCTCTGAGGAGGCTTGCAATTAGGCATCAACGCGGACAAAAGTGCTCCAAGAGTCGTATCTTGTAGCTCAAGCAACTTATGAGCGGTGCAATTCCCAGTCTCAGACCCTAACTCGCTTCCATCAGGAGAATTTATGTCCCTTTGGTGCTTCAATATAGCAGCTGGCCCGTTCCTGTCAAACCTCACTTTGTCTTTCCACCATTCACGGAGGTTATCAGAAGAACCCGTCACCGTTTTCCCGTTCTCAAACACGATCCCGTAAACAAAGCCTTGAGCTTTGCAACGCTCCATTGCCTTGGACATGTGCTTCAAGATCTTATCTTGTGCTTGGTACATCATTCTCTTACTCGAATGCTCTTGCAACTCTGGAGAATCATCATCAGGCTGCTTCACCTCCAATCTTTTTCCTAAACCAATCTTCGACTTCTCCTTGAGCCGCTTTAAACGCTGCTTGTCTTTCCAGATCTTCTTCTCGAGCTCCTCTATTTCTGTTTCTTCATCAGTTAGCTCGTCGTACAAAGGGGTAAGCGAAGCAGAAGACACATCTCCTCCCTTTGAAAATCGAGGCACCGGGCTAGAAGCTAAGCCCCGGAAAATCCCTGTATTGTTGTTGTTATACATTTTCAAAGGAGAGAAAATGATCTCACCCTGCAAAACAATAAGGCATCACCATTGTTTCATTTCAAGAAGATAAAGGCCATATAAATCTAGACTCGAAAAACAAAAAAGACTTTTAGAGAAAATACAAAGTTTTAGAGATCCAATTTCAATTAGTTAATGATTTACGCCGTAATATAAAAACTACAACTATTAAGAGATTAAAAACCTACGATAGGAACATGAATAGAAAATTAGAGAAAGTAAAAGAGATGCACAGAGTGTATCAATTATTTCGTAATGATTAATACCGTTAAAGCATCGATTTTTTTAAGTGCTTAAATGTGATGCATGTTCTCCGGACATAAAACAACCCAAGTGAGTGGTTTTACTATGGAAATAATTGATATTTTTTCAAAAAAAAGGTATTAATAGATCTTTGCAAAGGGGAAAATGGAACACATCTGACAAAATATCTGAGAGACCAAACCCAACAAAAAAATGATAGATTGTTAATTACAAGCAGACAAACCACAAACAATACGTAAAAGCCAAAAGAAAAATACCAAAAGAAACAGAATCGAAGGAAGAACATGGTTTACCCAGAATTCTCTGAAGCCTTCTTTTGTTGCTTCGGCCTCCAAATTCAAACCAAATAAGCCACTGGACCCTAGGGAGAGAGAGAGAGAGAGAGAGAGAGAGAGAGAGAGAGAGAGAGAGAGAGGGGGAGAGAGACACAGGGGAATATATGTATGTGTATCTATGTATATTTATGACTTATGACCATTAAATAAGAGGCTGTGAAAGGGTGGTGTATAGGCCGGTGAAAATCATGCTAACGGGCACCAAACGTGGTCGAAGGATATAGTAATTATCATATTTATCTTCTATGAGTTTCATTCCATTTATAGTGCATATTTGATATAACTAAAATTAGTTTTTTTCAAAAAAAAATATAATATTAACAAGTCATTTTTCAAAATGATAATTTTTACCAAAATGCATGATAATATTGGGGAATAAAGTAGCAAATCACACATAGATATCACTTGAAAGATGTGAAAAAATTATGGTTAATGCGCTATAGGATTAACGATATCTATATGATAGTTTCTATAAATAAATTACCGCTTATTTTTGAAAATCAAATAACTGAAGCTTTCGCGCCATAAATTTAAAAATGTCTAAATGATATTTTCATTAAAAAGCGTATATTCTATAAAATCAAAGAGTAATGTAAATATTGGTTCAAAATTGTTAAAATTATTAGTTTTTGTGCTATAAAGTTATAATATATAAAAAATTATTATATTTATATATATGATGTATATAATAGTTTTTTGTAGATAAATATAGAGCAAATTCTCAAAATTTTAGATTTTAGTTGGCAAAAGTACTGAACTATAGAGAAATTTAAGTCAATTTACTAGAAACTTATCCTCCGCAAAGCCCTAGACAAACAAAAAAATATAAACAAGTCATATCAGTAATGAAATATACTAAAAAAATCGTAAAATAAATAAATGTTTTTTCTTTATGTTTTGTGTTAATCTTTATAAAAAATTATTTATATTTTGTGAATAAAACGACTTTAAACAATACTAAACCATAAATCATATATTCGATTAACGTATTAGACCGTAGACCTTTCACAATTCATTATTATGTAAGTTATTATTCAGTTAAACCACTGAATTTTAGATAAACTTACCAAATTTAATTTATTTAGAGAAAATATCATTAAAATGGCATCCCGGGTAAGAGATTACAAAACTGAAGTTGTGTATATTATTATATTATTACAAATACAAAAAAGTTTCTCAGTATACTCTTACGACTACTGGATTTGCCAGCTGACAAATTTTTTTAAAAAAAAAAGTTGACAAAAAAAAAATGGAATTACCAATGATATAAAAACTATAATTTTTTGTTTTCTAAAATTGTTTGAACTTCTATATCTTTCATTACGTGGTGAATTGATGTGCTTAAAAAAATACGTATGAACTATTATGCCCAGCATAACATTTCAATAGGAATACATATTTGTAACAGTATTGCAAATTCCAAATGTAAATAATAAACTGTTTATAATTTAGGACATTATTTTGTCAACATTATTTATATCATATAATATCATACACTTTCTCTTTTCTTTTCTTTCTTTGCTGGTAAAACTAAAAAGCATAAAAAGGCTAACAACAGCTAAGAAGATATAAAAAAAAAGTTTGGCACCAGTCACTAAATTCATAAATTTGTTAATAAACATATATTTCACTTTTTAGAGGTTTTAAAAAGTACCAATTTTCAATAATTCCTTAAATAGCTCAAATCTATACAAAAAATTCAAATTTCCAATTTGTTTTCTTTTTAAACATGTAAACATAAAAAGAATTTTTATAAAAAAGGTAACAAATCTTTGTTTTGTTGAATTTTTAAATTTATTGGATTAACAAAAATGAATTATGGAAACAAAAAAAAATTACAAAAAAAACACGAACAATAATATCGGTCATTTGAAAAATATAAGAATTAAAAGAGTGAAGAGGATTGGTTCCCTTTAAGTAAAACCAACGTTGAAGAAGCCCTTTGCATGTGTTGGGATATCGAGGAGAGTAGAGATGATTTCAAATTATCTTATAGATATAACAGACAATGTAAGATGATGATGTCAACAATTGTAGCGCGTGTCATTACGTTCTAGCTTGTATGTTATAGATAGTTGTTTGAAAGAGAAGCCGCAACTATAGACAATGTATCAGTTCAATTTGGATTTATCGATTTGCAAGCAATGTACTGATGAGGTCCCATCAACCGTATATGCATAAGGACAAGCAAAAAACAAGTGATATTATGTCTCATCTTTCTCTCCGCAAATTTGGATAATCTGCTAAGCACGAATCCTTGCATATGTAGAGAGATTATCTTTAATTTTTTGTTCTTTTTTGTAATCTTTTTTTGTAAACTGATCAACGCTTTTGGGGTTAGCTAAGTTACTAAATTGCTGGACTTCGTGTGCTACTTGCATCACATTGAGATTCTACTCAAGAAATGCAACTTAAACATCTCGTGTTCTTTAAATCAAGAAAGCCTTTACTTAATATTTGTAATTCGCAGTCAGTATTCTATTTATATCCGTTTCAGAAAACAAGGACTGAAATACAATTTTCAGATTGTTAGAACGTTGGTTAAATTCTTACTTGAGATTTTGTAGTTACTGTAGTCAACATTTTATATTTGCTATTAAAAAGAAAAATTGAAATAAAGTTTCGTATTTTACAAAGGGTTAGAGAATCTTCGACCAAAAAAAGTTTGAATCAAAATTATTTTGTAAAATTGGCGCCGTGCTAACAAGGGATATCTATGAATTGTCGGATTCTCATAGCAAGATGTAAGTTCTAAACAAATTAGTTAATAAATCATGGAAGGTTGACCCCCAATTATAGATGATATATACTAAATTATATAACTGTTTGTATCCTGGTCAAAGGGCTAGATGAGAGAGAGTTGGTAATGAAACAGGTCATATTTTGGTTTATTTTATGGTTATCCTTTAGAAAAGTCAACTAACTATCTACATATCATATTTGATTTAAGTAGAAAGGAAACACGGTATATATAGTTGTACGGTATGGCCTTGATTCAAATCAAATAAAACAATTGCAGCATGATGTTATTAACTTGTATATGTTTAGCATAATACTATAATGTTTTATTCGGTAAAATGTGAGAGGTGCAATGAATAGAACCAATAGGAAAGTAAACAAATGCCACGGAAGCACGTTTCCGTCGCCAGCAGTGATTTTTATAAACTGTCTGAAACGTGTTTCCCGGGATTTTTTGTCGGCTAGTCCACAATTATTGGAGCTCTCGTCGTTTTCTTAGTATATAGGAGTATTAACTTGAGCAATGGTTTTATTAATAATATAGTAATCTGAAATATGCAACCATCTATGTTACACCTTAACCAACTAACGACCACTCGTAAATTGTTTTATAACCTCCTTGTTTTGGCCTATATGCCTTAGTGGCCATATGTGTTCGAATGGTCACCAAAAACTCATTATCGGTATGATATGTTCTTTTTTCGCTTTGTTATATAGTGAACATTAATGATTCATTCGTAATGTCAGTTTACCAAAAACAAGTTATATTTCTGCAATCATGAAATACTAGTAGTTATGCTTATGTAAAGCTTTCTTTCGTAGCTTATTAATATGTTCTCTACTGTCCACGCCTCATCTCCTCTTGACGTCAGTCTTTTTTATTGGCTCGAATTTGTTTGACTACATATGTTGGTTTCAAAATTTACTTGTTTTGACGTATGACTGTATGAGTTGTTAATATAACAATGATTTCGTATTTGTGAGACGTTATGAAATTATGAGATATTTGATCTCAAGAATAGTAGTGAACAGTTTCACAGAACATTGTGATTATCGAATCGTGAGACATGATGGGTTTTTTTGTTTGTTCACTATCGAAAGTGTATATCTAATTGTTGTCATGGAATGTCCTTTGTTCTTTGTTCTTAGCAAGGCCCAAGCCATATTACAACTGTATCACTATAAACAGTGTATTACATTTATCAAAATGAAACAACATTAACTTTACCAATATCATTCAAACCGGATCAGAATAACCACAATAACCGACTAATCAACTATACCAATAACAGAAACAAATCCTCGGTTTACAACACACAACACAACCAAAACAAAGGCAGCTCAAATTTCCCGCCACAAGACAAATAAAATTACTGAATGCAACCCATTAATGGCGGTACCGGTTAAATAAGAATTGTTTGGTTAAACCGCAACCCAGCGCCTCATCAGGTATTTTACCGATCCGGTTTAATCCCTCAGCGAAAACCACACCCATACCCATATGCAAATGCGGTTCGATGTGGCAGTGAAAAAACCAAACCCCAGGATTGTCCGTTACGAATCTTAACGCCGTCCATCCATACGGGTATAACGCCACCGTATTCTTTAACGGCGGATTCTTCAGATTATACGTCTTCTCGTCGATTCCAGGTCTGAATTTCCCTTCGCCGTAACCCAAAATCCAGAAATCGTGGCCGTGTAGATGCCACGGATGTATCTCGCTGGCGTTTGCGTTTAAGCCGTTGGCGTTTTGAAGAATCACGTCGACGGTTACGTTGAACGGGAAAGCGTAAATCCCGTTTCCTTGCTTTGTGCTATTATATCGCGGCGGATTCATGATGTCGTAATCCATCGGGAAAGTCGTCGGCGGCGATTTCCAGTTGAATCCGCGTTTCAATTTGTACTTGACGGATCCGAGATATGGCGTTCCCGGAACCGCAAGAGAGACGTTGTTGATAGCCCACTTGGTGGATCCATCGATCAGATTCTGAGTGTTGAGGAGGATCAATCGTTTTTTGAATTTCCTCGGCGGCGACGGAGATCCCATCGCTGCGAATATCTTCTTCGAGAAATTCTTGCTCCGTTCGAAATCGTTCCATTGCGGAGTCACCGGCGGCGGAGAGGAAGGGGGTTTGGAGGAAGGGGCAGTTACGTAATTTAAAACAGTGAGTGCCGGAGGTGTGTTGGGTTTCCGGCCGCGGACGCCGACGGAGATCCAGTAGTTCTGGGAAGGGTCTTGGTCGGTGGTGAGGAGAACAGAGTAGCTCTCGCCGGAATATATATCGATATCGTCGGTGACGAACGGCGTAATGTAGTTTCCGTCGGCCTCTACCACCACTAGCTTGTGTCCCTGCACGTGTAAAAACCAACACACGTGTGATCGACAACGTTTTTTTTTTTCTTTTGAATAACAATATACTCTTGGACCGATACGTAGGCCTTGTAAATGGGCCCATATACCATAACTTAAAGAAGATCTCTATTTTTTTTTTTTTTAAGATTTTTTTAAAAAATTGATCTCGTAAAAGTCAAAACTCAAAAGGGATACAAAACGCTTAATTCGAAAGATTATAAAGGAATTTGGGAAACAGAAATGAAAATTATTCTTTCGAACTTCTACCTTTTTTGTTTTGTTACTGTAAAAACTATTAAGTTGATAGTTGATACTATTAAGTTGTGTCTTGAAAAACTATAAAATCGAAAAATTACTTTGAAAATGAAATATCCGTAGACGAGGAGATAAGACGAACGACAGCTTTTTCGAGTAATTAGCAGAATTGAATGGAACATGAGTTGGGTGGGTGTCAAAGGTCAATACCCAAATTGATCGAGACCACTCTAACCAGAATCCCTCTCTCTACGGAACGATTAGAATGCACACATCTCTATATAAATATAATATTTATATATACGTAGATATTTATTGGGTGTCCAAAAAAAAAAGTTTGTAGACCATGCATACACCGTAATAATAATATAATTGTATTATTTTTCCCAATGGGCCTAGGGAATAGAAAAGAGAATCTAAAGGACCTACACCATCACTCTGTAGTCAAAAGTACCAACTCATATAAATACTCTGAAACTATCAACATTATTTAAGATGGCCTGCCATTCTCTTTTTAATTTCTTTAGCTTCCTTTATATATAATTATTATGGTTACTAGTTTGTCATCTTTCTCTAAATGAAGAAATCGCCACACTATGTTACTTATTTTGTGTGTGACTAAATGGTCATATTTATTGACGACTTCCAGCCAGAAAAAGGGTTTAGGGTTTGGAATTGCCAAATGACCATGACCCATACTGAAAACCATTTAATTTTCTTTTCTTGTCAACGTATATAAAAATATATAGTATTATTTTGGTTAGAAATCGGTCATATTTTTAAAACCAAAAACAAAAAAAAAATCGACTATATGACTCATATTTTTACATAGCTAAATCGATCATATGACTCATATTTTTACATAGCTAAAATCGATCATACGATCATATGAATCATATTTTTAAAAATCGTTGGTTTTTCTAAAGATTTTTCTTTAATGAATTATGAAAAGCAAAAAAAAAAAAGAAGAAAGAACATTAATAATTAGAACCTGAACAGCCAAGTTGAGGGAGGCAAGAGCGGTGGAGCTGGCGAGTCTGATTCGGTAAGTCTTGTTAGGCTCGACGTGTAGTCTCTCTGGTGCGCACTGATCACCTTCTTTAAACTTGCACATAGGTAACGTTGTGTTGCTATATTGCGCCGCCAATGAACAATTGAATTGTCCCCTCCCATTTATCAATATGCTCTTCAATTTTTTTCAGACAATATATTAAAGAGCGAATCAGGAACAGATAAAAAAGTCTGATTTCACATTTGACTATGAAAAAAGGTTGATACTAAATAAAAAAACTCAGTGGCCAATCTAATCACACCACATTGAAGAAGATACGTAAAATGATTTATTCATATTAGAAAAGTAGCTTTAGAATTTGCTTTGAATAAAAGAAATAAAGAAAGCCAATATTATTGCTCGTGTCTATGCTCTAATCTAAATCAATCTCCACTATTAAAAAAGGGAGAATATGGACCTTATTTATTTGTTTTTAAAGCAGAAAAAGTAAGAGTTGTTTGAAATAAATAAAAAAAACAAACCGTACCTGAGCTTCACCGATCCAGCGCATAGGTCGGGAAGAGAGACCGAGTTCTTGAGAGAGAATACTCTCATGCCACCAATCGCTTAGTAAAAGATTAAACTCTCCATCGTATCTCAATGGCTCTCTCTTTCCTTTCGCCACGTCGATTATCAACGATCCGTATAGTCCCGCCGATCTCTGCATACCGTAGTGTCCATGGTACACGTGTGTTCCCGGCTGCACCGTATCATTTTCCACAAATAACATTATACATTTGGCTCTCTCTTCCCATTTTAATATCTTATCTTAAGAAAATTACCTTGTCAACAATGAATTTGTAGGTAAAAGTCTCGCCAGGGTTTATTGCACATTGTGTTATTCCCGCTGCTCCATCAGCCCATGGACTTCCCAACTATTCACAACAACAACAAAAAACGCAATTGATTAATTCATTATTGTTTTTATATGGATTTTAGCGAGTTGCATGTAAAAGAGCACAAGATATAGAGTATAGTGTCACAAGTGAGAATTAATCCCTGTTTTAAACGGAATCTCCTAGAAATATGTACTAAGCTTAATTATTACTTTCTATGATAATTTTTAAAAATAAATAGAGTCCATAGGAAGAAACCAACATCCGAAGGAAGAGTCGTAAATGTAGTGATTTTTTTCTACAGAAGAGACAGAGTCAGTCATGAATGGCATGTGCTTCGAAACCATTATTTCTGCATCTTTACCCATTTTCTTTATTCTTTATCCTCTCACGACAAACCAATTACTAATATTTATCTATATACTGTCGAAACAATTATTTGATGCTTAATTAAGATCAGAATTAACGAGTTAATATGGTGAGCAGAGTGATGATCACTCAGTGTCTCCATTAATCCTCTAGTGTTTAAAAACAGTTTCTTCTTTAAAAAGTGACATATACGAGGAAAAAAATGGGTGATTTGTTTTTTTAATATAAATTATACATGTAAAGAACATCATCTATTGAGATTAATCTACTTAGTGTAGATTTCATAGTTAATAGAAGAAAGAGAAAAAAGGTAGAGAACCTGACGAATTCCATGCCAATGGATGACAAGGCCTTCGGTGGCGAGTTTGTTGGTTAAGTGGACGACGATGGTGTCTCCGGCGACGGCACGTATGGTGGGGCCAGGAAACTGACCGTTAATGGCCATGACCATGCCTTCTTTGCAGTCGGGCCACCCGAACTTGTACTCAACCTCCCAATCATACTCTCTCACGGCGGCAGACGCCGTGTGAGCCAAGATAGCCACCACCACTATCCACCACACACCCATTATTGGCTCATGTGTATATATGATGATGTTTGGTCATTGCAGAAGTATATATAGAGGAAGAGAGAGAGGCAGAGGTAATGGGCAAAACCATCGATTGGGTTTTTTGGTCAAAAGTGATATCTCTTTTTTTTTTTTTTGGAGGGGTTTTTTAGTTTGGTCACAAGATTGATGGACATAATTACGATCGTGTAAACAATCGAAATATCTAAAGAAGATTTGGAAGGGTAGGTGATCTCATGATACATGTTTTTAGCGGTGATCCGTTGAATTTTTCTTAGAAGATTAGATCACGATCACAATCTTTATAATGCCAACTATATCAAGCTCACCTATTGGTAGGTTTTGAACATGTAATGCCAGTAAAGTTAATTAATCACAAAAAGGCATATATTTTAGGTAGATGTCAAAATTAAATCTCCTTCTTTCTTGTGTATATTATTTTATATATTAGAATCGATCATATTATATATTTGCCAACACCCAACATATTTTATCGTGTCAAATTAAAAGAAATTATAGAACTCTACACCCACGCTTCACGTCTATAAGTTGTTTACAATGACATTGGTCTTTCTCCTTTAACCTTTCCCTTTTCCGCTTTTCCCGACCTCATCTCAGCGCAAATGTTGACAAATAGTTCAATTTCTGAATTTTTTTTACTAGTTTTGAATTTAAATCTACAAAACATAAACGATAAAAATATGTAGTCTAACGGTTTAAACTTATAAATTAATGTGGTTATTATGTCAATTCACATTCAACTCTTATAAAGTGTTTGAAATGTGGAAATGATGATAAAAAGGGTAAATTGACGAAAGCTCGACGAAAAAACTGGCGAAACCTACTAACAAATTAATCAAATAAATTATAGTAATATACTTTTTTTCTTTTGGAGTACCTTTTTCCTTGGTGATCTGGGAAGCAATGGTTACCACCCTGTATCTCGAATTTGGATGGTCTCATTGGGACACCACAATGATTCGTGGAGTAGACTATCTTTAAGACACTCTGTATTCTTATCTTTCTCATTAAAGTTCTTTTTATTCCGTGTTAAATACTTCTGGCGACCTATACTAATCTTAGTCGGTTCAGAAGTTTGCATGTTCATACAAATTTATAATACTTGTGAAGATCTCACTTAGCGAATTGGGTGTATCATCAAATGAGTGTTAAATTCAATAGGTCGTATGTGTAAAGTTGTTGACAAATTAAAACTCATTCCTGAGACACAACAGATTTCTATACTTTTTATTTATAAGTATGAAAATTTAAGATCCCCAATAAGTTATCTTAATCAGTGTTTTAAGAGCTCTTAAATCAATTACAGAAATAAGAGATGATCCTAAGTCGATAAGAGAATACATTTTTCTTTGATCTTTCGAAATGGTCTCTTTGTGATTTCTTTGTTAAATAATCACTAATGTTTTCCAATCGAGTTGATAAAAAGCCTGAATTAAAACGTTATGTTTGTCCAGAAAATTATTTAACAACCGTATGAGGTAAAAAAAAAACACATACATACACAAATACATCCAACAAACTAACGGCGACCCCGGTTCATGAGCCATTTCATGGTTAACCCACAACCGAGCGCTTCGTTCGGTATATCCATCTCACGGATCCGGTCCACTCCCTCAGCGAAAACCGCACCCATACCCATATGCAAATGCGGTTCAATGTGACAATGAAAAAACCAAACCCCAGGATTATCCGTCACGAATCTTAACGCCGTCCATCCAAAAGGATACAGAGCAACCGTATTCCGTAACGGCGGATTCTCCAGATTATACGTCTTCTCGTCGATTCCAGGTCTGAATTTCCCTTCGCCGTAACCCAAAACCCAGAAATCGTGACCGTGAAGATGCCACGGATGTATCTCGCTGATTTTCCCTTTCAATACGTTCGCGTTCTGGAGAATCACGTCGACGACGATTCCCGCCGGAAAACTGTAGATCCCGCTTCCCTTCGTGGTGTTGGGATTCACCGGCGGTTTCATGATGTCGTAGTCCTTAACGAACGACTTTCCCGGCGATTTCATCAATTCGTAAGCCGATTTGAAACCGTATCTGATGGATCCGAGATACGGCGTCGCCGGAACGGACAAGGAGACGTTGTTGATTGCCCATTTCGTGTGGTTATCGATTAGATTCTGGGTGTTGAGGAGGATGAGCTGGTCGTCTGATTTCTTCGGCGGCGGTGGATATCCTTTTGCGGCGAAGAATTTCTTCGAGAAGCTTTTGCTCCGATCGTAGTCGTCCCACCGTGGAGTCACCGGCGGAGGATGAGTTGGGCCTTCGGAGTCAGGGGTGTCTACGTAATTTAAGACGGTGAGTGCCTGAGTAGTGTTTGGTCTCCGGCCACGAACGCCGACGGAGATCCAGTATTTCTTGGAAGGAGATGGGTGAGTTCTTAGAAGAACGGAGTAGGTCTCGCCGGAATAGATGTCGATGTCGTTGACGGTGAACGGCGCGACGTAGTTGCCGTCGGCTTCAACGACCTCTAGTTGGTGTCCCTGCACGTGCGCAATCACAACCACACGTGTGACATTAAGTACATATGTTTTTTTTTTTTTTTCTCAAGTTTATCAAACATATGCACCTAAAGTGAAATAAATATTCAAGTACAAGGGAAAAGTCCCCTCGGGGTCCGATAAAATTCAAGTACAACAAGCACAATCTTCCACGTTGATACTAATGTCATGAAAATATAGTTTGTCAAAGTAATTTTTTTTTATAAAGTTTCGATTACTTAAAATAAAAAAAGAAGAAAATTTCTCTTTTTACTGGAATTTATAGTCCAAAAATATTCCAAATCAATGATAACATTCATTTGCTTTATAAACAAAGTATGATACACCTAAGTTTAAATTTCTTAAGGAAATTAGTAAGGGAAGTGACTTACTTCGACGGCTAAGTTGAGGGAAGCAAGAGCAGTGGTGCTAGCGATGCGAAGACGATAGACTCTGTTTGGCTCGACCCTTAGCGTTTCAGGTGCGCATTGATCGTCTTTTTGAAACGTGCACTGTCTCACACCTCCTCCTTTGTTAAGATAAGCAGCTAGTGAACAATTGAACTGTCCTCTTCCGTTGATCAACAGAGACTGAGGTTCACCGATCCAACGCATAGGCCTCGAAGAAAGAGCGAGTTCTTGCGTGTGGGTGCTTTGGTGCCACCAGTCACTGAGCAACAAATTAAACTCTCCATCGTAACGTAACCTCTCCTTGGAAGATCTCACTATCAGCATTCCGTATAGTCCCGCCGATCTCTGCATCCCGTAGTGTCCATGGTAAAAATGTGTTCCCGCCTGCACCACCATATTGTTATTCATCAAATTTTATTTTATTTTATTTTTTGTTGTAAAAAGATAAAAAGAAGAAAAGGGTTTATACCTTATCGACGGTGAAATTGTAAGTGAAAGTCTCGCCAGGGGTAATAGCACATTGTGTCACACCCGCTGCTCCATCTGCCCATGGAGTCCCAATCTATTTCCATATTCACAATTCAATTTTTTTTTTTTTTGTATTATTTATCAGATTCTTGTCAATTTAATTATACTAATTCTGTAACACAGGATAATGGTTTTGACTCAATTTAATTATACTAATTCTGTAACACAGGATAATGGTTTTGACTGGTCGGTAACGCCTTAAAATTGTTTGTTATATACTCCTTCCGTTTCATAATAAGTGTTGTTTTAGATTTTATTTTTTGTTTTAAAAAGAGTGTCATTCTGCATTTTCAATGTAACTTTTTACTCTTATTTCCTGTTTTATCCTTCATTTAAAAATAATATTTTTTGTAATTAAATGTTATAAAAATATATTAATTAAGGGTATATTTGTATATTTTATTAATTTCTTAATCTGTGTGAAATATGTCAGAATAACACTTATTATGAAACGGAAGGAGTACAAAAGTAACAAACCAAAGTTTTCGCTATTTCTTACATCTGATAATACAGAACTAAAAATGCAAGCATCCTAACTACCTCAAACGGTAGCCAAAAAAAATAAAAATAAACACTACCAACTACTAGACCACCATTGATCCGGCGGCTAGAGTTGTATTTTTGTTTTCTTCAAATTTTGCCGAAATTTTGTAATAAATGAAAAAGCGCGATTTCTTAAAAAAAAAAATTCATTGGTAAAATAAAACACGTGGAATCGCACCATTATACAGGTTACCAGTGAACAAGAATAGAAATAAGCTTGATGTCATTTATATATATTTTTTATTTTTGTATATGATAGGAAAGAAAAGTAGAGCAAATTAAGAACCTGACGTATGCCGTGCCAATGGATGACAACACCTTCCGTGGACAGTTTGTTGGTGACGTGGATGATAACGGTATCTCCGGCGACGGCATCTATCGTCGGCCCCGGAAACTTGCCGTTGATGGCCATAACGATGCCTTCTTTACAATCCGGCCACCAGAACTTATACTCAACCTCCCATTTTAATACTATAACTCCGGCCGATGCCGAGTGAACCGCCACTACAACAACCGTTACTAGCCACCACACATTTATAGCCATGGACATGTTTGTAGTTGTTTTTGTGTGGAATTATAAAATAGGATGTGTTAGTGTATGAAATAGGCTATGTACATATTTATGTAGAAAGGGGATCGTTGTTTCAAGAAAAAAATTCAAAAAATTAGCAGAAAAATACAAAGTAGTTTTCTTTATTGATTTTGTTTCTGTGTTCGAAAAGGCTGTTTTATTTGTGGATGTTATAGTGGTTGAAGTTGAAAATTTTACATCCTGCAAAAGAGAAAAAGAAAGACGACAAGGTCAATGGGACCATATTGTATCTTGTGGCAGTTTGGTATGGAAGACACTGGAGTGATGCAATTGGTTTCATCATTTTCACGTTATTTATTTGAAAATAACGTTCAGTCCAATAATGGAGATCTAAAGGATTGAAATCATTTCAAAATTAAACGAGCTAAGTATACATGTAATCTTGCATAAAATTATGTATTTTTTTTGTTGGGGTAAAGATGCACAAAATAATTTACAAAATAATTATACTCTATTTGTGATTATTTGTTACTTCACTTCAGGTCTGCAGAGCTATTCTTGGTTATGAAATTGCTTCTTTTTCTTTGTATATATATATATATATATATATATATATATATATAGAAAAAATAGTCTGTTTTTAATAAGATGTTGCTGAACTAAAAGAAAGAAATTGACAAGTGTCTTTCTCTGAGAAAAACTGCTGCAGCTGAGGTCAATGAATGGAATCCTATAGAAATGCATCAGAATTCAGAAAAATGGAGTTTATACTCTCATCCATCAAGGCAATAATAAATAGTTCACATCATTATTTTATGAGATTTAACTATTTAAGTTATTTTTTCTTCCATCAATAATAATAATAGTTTAGTGGAAAATAAAATAAAATTATAGTATTTAATATTTTGTGAGAAACATATGACAATAGTTTCTGTTTTCTTTCGTCGGTCGGTTTGCATCCAGAATAAAATAGAAGAACAATTGATCTAAAATAATAATGTGATTTATGTTCTTTTCAATTTTACAATAAGGAAAACATGCTTATAAATCACTGGTCCCAAACACTGGTGAGTAACCAACCATTGGAGATATTAATCACATGTTTTTTTATATAAGCCACAGATTCCTCAAGTGGCTATAAACAGTTCCCCCAAAATAGGGTTGTTTACTATAAACGCAACGTGAGCTAAGCTTAGTCATCATCGCAACTTGAAAAATGATGTACACAATTAGTCTACTCATAAATATTACTTTATGCAAGTCTATAGTAAACCTTCAGAACTACCTCTACATGACACTCAATAACTCTTTAATGTAGTGTGGTACAAATTGTTGTTTACAATGTATACATCTGAATTTTTTTTAACACCAATCATAATTCAGTTCATTTTTTAAAATAACAAAACTTTTACATCCTTTTTTTGTTTCTTAATTTTGTAGATTATAATAGTTCATAGATCATTAATATGCATCAACAGCCTACACTGAGATACGAAAATGTAACCCGAATCTGTATCCATACGCATTATGGATGAGTAATAATCTAGTGGTTATATTTAGATTATCATCATCTCAACTTTTTAAAGTTGCAAATTACTCCTATAATTTTGCCCATGAATTTTGTAGTGGAGTGTTAGCCGCCTAGCCGGTACACTGACTTCACGACCCTACGCAGGACACTAAATGCCTACAAACATAATTGTTTTATCTTATTTTTGAAATTTTGTCGATCCCACATGTCCCTAATAAAGGACTGCAATTTTGCAATTTATATGATTTGTCTGTAAAGCATTGATGATGATTCTTCGTAGATAAGATGGACGGTTATAAATAGAAATCAAACATCACTTGTGGAATCGAATTGAAAATGATAACAATCAAGTACCCAAATGCATATATTTTTTTTTGCTTTATATGACAGATCTTACATAAGTGTTAATGCAGACAAAGGCAAACGACTTGCTACCAATACAAATGTTACTTCTCAGAATCACACAACTAACGTTACAATACGCAAAAGGCGCATGTACGGATTTTACATACACAGAACTCACTCAGTCTATTGGCGATCCGAGACGGAAGATTACTGATTCGATTCATCTTTTTTTTTAACTAGTACATATATACTTATTACATAATAGATGTGATATTTTGAAAAAAGTGGTGAAAGTGTTCTTACAAGGTCACCCCCCCCATTTCTTCTTTTCAGGTTTTGCCAGTTGTTTTTCAGGTGCAGTTGGTGTCATAGCTTGCAAGACCGAGTAATTCCGGCCCCTCCAATCGCGGGTTGTTCTCAAAACTGGACACAATGTTTCGAGTTGTTAGGAACAAATGCTCATATATATGCATTATCAGTTTATATAAAACATCCAATTCAATCGGTATCCGTCACATAGACTACGTAAAAGTGCAAAGACGCTTTGCTTCACACTCATTCCTCGCGAGAAAATATGTAATATGCAGAATGCAGGAGAACCATTATCAAGAAACTTGTTGGAAACCGAAAAAAACTTACTTCTGAAGAGGAATGTGTCCAAACGGTCCTTTTGTTGGGATTGTTCCACACAAGTCATTGCTAGAGACATCACTGAGAAGGATTACAGAGGATATGGTTTAAGTACGAGCATGAAGTCATCAGGTTGGATATAAAGGCTTTCAAAGACTGATGATTCAGAAAACAGTAGCTGAGCGTTTAGCAAACAATGCACTACAAAAATGGGTAAGATGAACTTACACAACTTTAAGGCTTGGGATTGCTGTGAGTTCTCTAGGGATTGGACCGGTCAATCGGTTGTCATTAAGCCGTCTGCCACATTAAACAGTTTCTTAGAGAGACAGGGTAAGAAGAGACAGCGTAAGGAGAATCAAGTATTGAAGCTAATCACATGATGATGGAACACCTTTCAGAATTTTTGAAGTACTGAAGCTAAATAAATGTGTATACTTTTCGGTGTGTCCATGTCAGAATTTTAGAACAACTTACAGAAAGACCAGAGACTTCAACTTTCCCAGAGAAGTAGGAACTTTCCCAGTAAGATTGTTGTTGTACAGATCCAAGCTGATGAGATTCTTCAGATTTCCAAGTTCAGAAGGTATAGTTCCTTGGATGTTGTTTTTGTACAGCTCCCTGCGTCAATTACAGAACAATTAAAAAGTTAATCTACATTGACTATTACGTAATCAATTTCATAAGTGGGTGCTTTAGGTGCACTATATGGTATGTAACTTTAACTCCACTATCTAATTTATCACAGCTGGCATTGAATTTTTTTTAGAAAAAGTACAAGCCAAATGAGTGATGACATACAAATACTGTAAATGTTCGAGCTTTCCAAGCTCAGGTGCAAGATGTCCAGAAAGGTTTGAATTACCCAAATCCCTGCAAAAAAAAAAAAGTAGAATCAGAGATACACTCTAAGAGCAAAATACCAATCTTTAGAAGAAAGAGAATACTAAGACTACAAGAGATAATAAGCATTCTTTTCAGATACTCAAGAAGTCGTTCTCGATTCATCAAAACAGTTCTGAGAGATAACTGGATGTAATCAATTACAAAGAATCCACGACTCTTCTAAAAAGCGTAAGAACTCACAAAGTAGGGACTAAAAGGTAATCTAAACCAGTAAAAAAGCATTGAGAAAATCATAACGTACAAGCAAATTCAAACTGCTCAATAGATGGAATAACTATTGGGGATTCTTTCAAAACATTTAACGAATCCAATGACTAGAGAGATCTACACTGTGCAAAATATGGGAGCTTTAGACTCCCCTTTTCAAACTGGAAAGTTAATCAAGAAAGGGTTTTTTTTCTTTAAACTGCCGTACTCTGCATTTGAAGCTGCGAAAAGGACGAGATCTGAAATAGTCTCATGAACCTTAAAGAAACGAAATTAAAGTTACCTCAATTTCACAAAGATGTGTTTCCAGGGGCAAAGGAAAGCTGAATCATGACAACATACACTAAATCCCCATTTGACTTAACAACAGCTAAAGAGTACTAGGAATAATCAAAGCAATTTTCAATCATATATGTTCGTGAAATCTTATTCAATTACTAGCATATTTAATTTACAGTATTTCCATAAGAAATATTTGGTTTTTTTCTTCTCCATCTCAATCTCTAAGAAGTAATAACAATTATGGTCAAGTTCGATTTATGTCTCAGCTTCCTAAAAATAGAGGTTCAATTCCAAAGAGAGACGGTCAGTTCCGAGAAATATGGACTGTATCAATAGAATCTCCATAGATTCTTGACGAATCAACTTGTCGAAAGAGGAGCTAAGAGGAAGGAAAAAGAGGATCTTACACTCGAGTGACGCGGTTGTCTTGGTTACAGGTGACATGGAACCAGGTACAAGGATTAACAAGAGTCGGATCCCAGCTCTGGAGCACATGGTCTGGATCCGATAAGCTCCGGCGAAGAGCGTAAAGAGCGTCTCCTTCGGAATTTGCCTCCACCAGGTGAATCAAAGCTAAGGTTAGGGCTAGCGAAGCTGCGATGAGCTCCCACCGACAGTTTCGGGACGCCATGTGAGCTACCGGAGGATAAAGAGAGAGAGAAATCGAGTAGTGGGGAAGAGAAATTAGGGTTTCGTTGCCCTCTTCTTCTCTTTGTTCAAAGTTGAAGAAATCGATTTATGCCAATGGCGTGGGAAATGACGGAGAAATACTATTTTTCCAGCTCTCTCTTTTTTTTTTTCCTTACTTTTTTCTTTTACAATTAATTTTCTAAATTCCTTGTCTTTTTGTATTATTTTTTTTTTGACTTTTTGTTTTCTATAATCTTTTTTATTCGGTTACAGTGAATGTACAAAACATGCCAAGAGATAAATACAGAACCCACTCTCAATGATTTAGGTTGGCGAGCCAAAAATTAGAAAACATATTATAAGTTTTTATAAGATATATGTTGTATATTAGATGTAACTGTAGCGTAGTAATTTATACGAACACCAATACCACTATCCGAGTTTTAAAGAATGTGGACGACACAAAAAAAAGAATGTGGTACATCTAAAAGAAAAATGTGGTACCAGTGAAAAAAAAATATCAGAGAATCGAGTTATAATACAAACTGCATTTGAAAATAAAAAATTACACAGTTTTTTTAGAAAAAGAAAGAAGAGTATATTGGATTGTACTTTCAATGCGAGCTGTACTCTCCACCATCTATGAGAGAATATGTCCACCATATAAATTAATTTTAGTTTCAGGAACTTTCAAATATTATACAAATTTAGATAATGATTCTAAATTTCATTCTTAGAACTGGAGAATACAAATAGAAAAATGTACGTTTAAATTTACATTTAAATTTAAGTAAATTGTATACTGATTTATGTGTTTCGTACTACGAACTGAATCAAAACTAGTCTTTTGAATTTTGTTGTTGTCAACAGTTAAGCGTTGATTTTCAGAGGAAAAAAATGGAAAGTCTTCTAACTTTTAAATTTGGTTTGAAAAGTCTTCTGGTAATTACTCGTAGTTGGTCAAAGACGTAAAGATGCGTTAGTCAAAATTGGAGACTAGAGAGCTCACGCGGTGACAAACAGTGCTTCTTTGTGCACACACTATTCTTGTGTTACCATGGAAATATCTAAATATGTGATATCCACTTTTGTTTAGTTTGGTACGAATTATTTATGATCTGATGGAATATGAGTTTCTTGCACTAACAGAGAAAAGAGTTAAGTACAACTAAAGAGATTAAGATTTTACGAAAAGTCAATGAGATTCGATTCTGAAGATGGAATCTGATCCGACAAACACATAACACTTAAATGTCGGAATAATAGCAACTCCACTCGTCCTAGGGTAGATGACAAAATTAAAACTAATAAAGGGTAGAAAGTAGTAGAAACTGTCTTTTCGACTAAAAATGGAATTTAAGAACAACCGAATAACGCTCATCAAATATGAATGCTTTCGACCAATTGCTAGCGATTCCAAAGGCGCACAAAACAAAGGTAGTGCAACATTATTCCGGAAAGTAATCTTAGCTAGATTGTTTAACAATCGATCCCCAACTAAAGATTCTCCACCACAATTTTCATGAAAGTCTTGATAGGTTTATCAAGGTGCGTATGCGTATGGTGGTTCTTGAATAAGAGGCCCAAATATTTGTAAGCGTCGAAATAAAGCTCTAATCAGTTAACCGGATAAAGTTGAGTGAAACGGGCTTTTGTGGGCCTGGCCGAGAAATCCTTATGGAACATCCCTAACCACCTTCATTCGCGACCGATTAGAGAAGGCCATATGATCTGATCGGAAATTTAGTTGAAGTTTTACACTTATCTACTCATGAGAAACCCGCTAATATGTTGGAGTATGATTCGAAGTCTTTAATTTCTATAAACTACGTAAATCATTTGAACAGAAATGATCCAGAGTCAGCCCCTATGGTTAATTGAGGTCATTAGAGCGGCTAATTGTTTCTTGGGGAGGAAGAAAGCTTCAAATTTTGTTTTAGGGGTTAGAAGATTGAGAGGATGTGATTGATTGTATTTAGGACCCAAAAATAGTCCCCTTTATTCACTCACGTTCCCTCTCTCTCTCTCTCTCCAATTATCATTCAACATGCATCGTTTCTTTTCAACATCCTCTGCATCAATCAGTACATGTAAACACAAACATGACAAGTTCAGGCGTCTCACTAACAAAAACGTCCAATTAATTTTTATTATTTAAAATGATATAGTGTATCTTTCTTTAATACTCCTCCTATCAAATCATTATTGCCAAAAATTACAAAAATAGTAAAAAAAAAAAAGAGAAAGAAAGAGATTCAAAAACTTGGTTTTGAAAAAATATATGAAAGTCCCCGCATTTATCTCATCTTTAACGAAACAGCTCCTCGAATCTCCTCTCTTCTTCTTCTTCCTCATCTATTTCTATTTCGCTTCTCTCGATTCCCTCTTCCGATGGATCTCTGTTTTGATCCTTGGTTATACCGATCTAACTCCTTCGCTTCCTCTGTTTGAATCCGTACATTTCACGATCTACGCTTCCACTATGTCTCTGTAAATATCGTTTCCTTCTTCGAAATCTTTTGTTGGAGGAGAAAAATGGGTGTAGTTTCTAGAACGGTTTTCCCCGTCTGCGAAAGCCTCTGTTGCTTTTGTCCGGCTCTGCGCGCCAGATCGAGACATCCCGTCAAGAGATATAAACATCTTCTCGCTGATATCTTCCCTCGATCCCTGGTTTGCTCTCTTACGTCTTCTCCTTTGAATCTACCATTCTCGCATCTCTGCAAATACGATCCCTTTTGTATAACGATAGCCTAAACTTGTGTTATTATACAACACAAAATTTCATTGAATTAAGTCAAGATTAGTTTTTTATACATTATGGAAGCTTTTTAGTCCACTTTGCACATAAAGTGTTCTGCTTTTTGACTCTGTGAGAATTTCTCATACGTTTTGCTACTAATTATGATCCAACCTCTGCAGGATGAGCAACCTAATGATAGAAAAATCAGTAAACTATGTGAATATGCTGCGAAAAACCCTCTTCGTATTCCTAAGGTGAATTCCACTTAATAAATTCCTTTCCTTTAACATTCTATGGTACTGGGATTTACTTAAAGCAATGATTCCATTATACTGTTTACAGATTACAACCTCTCTTGAACAAAGGTGTTACAGGGAATTGAGAACGGAGCAATTTCACTCTGTAAAGATTGTAATGTGTATCTACAAGAAGCTCTTGGTTTCCTGTAACGAACAAATGTATGCTCTGTTTTCTTATTCAACATTATATACTTCCTTAAGATAACTTCGGGCTTTCCTTAATAGATTATGTCTTACAGGTCGTTGTTTGCTAGTAGCTACCTTGGCCTCATTCATATTCTTCTAGATCAGTCCAGACATGATGAGATGCGCGTTTTAGGTTGTGAAGCTCTCTATGATTTTGTTACCAACCAGGTGCATATATAACTCTTGTCATTTTTACTTACCTTGATAGATTTCCTGTCTTATAATAGACAAAATCAGAGATTGGAGCTTCAAAGTCTGATAATGTCTGTCACTGTTTTTTTTTCAGACAGAGGGCACATACATGTTTAACTTAGATGCGTTGATCCCAAAAATCTGTCCTTTAGCTCATGAATTGGGAGAAGAAGAAAGGACAACAAATTTGTGTTCTGCTGGGCTCCAAGCTCTCGCATCCTTGGTAGTCTTATAAGTCTCTTTGTTTAATCCATTTGAATTGTTATCTTTAGCATTGAATATGACATGAGTTACAATCACTGGATTTTCCACAGGTTTGGTTCATGGGAGAATTTTCACATATCTCAGTGGAATTTGACAATGTAAGTTTGCTTGGAAGCGTGTATACGAAACCTATAATGCTTTTAATTTCAACTCAATCATAAGTTGTGACCTATTCACATGGATCTTTAGCATGTTGAATCATTTCCCCTCCGTTTCTTTGTTTCTCTTCTTTACAGGTCGTCTCTGTTGTCTTAGAAAATTATGGAGGCCTCATTCAATCTTCCACTGCTACGGTAAATCAAGAAAACAAGATTTCTTCTATTGATAAAGAACTTTCTCCCGCAGAAGCTGAATCAAGGATTGCTTCTTGGACAAGAATCGTGGATGACAGAGGCAAGGCAATTGTATCTGTGTAAATCCTTCTACTCAAGCTTTAGTTTGGCATGCTTGTTTTCTTTATGTATATCCGGTTATCTTTTACTGATTAAAGAAGGTGCAGGGAGGATGCTAAAAGCCCCAAGTTTTGGTCGAGGGTTTGTCTGCATAATCTGGCAAAGTTAGCAAAGGAAGCTACAACTGTGCGGCGTGTCCTCGAGTCACTCTTCCGCTACTTTGATTTCAATGAAGTTTGGTCCACTGAGCATGGTCTTGCTTTATATGTTTTACAGGACGTTCAGTTGTTGATAGAACGATCTGGTTCGTATTGTCTCCATATGGTTTATTGCTTTTGGAATTTCTTTTCACTACTAATAGCGTGAGTAATTGATGACAGGGCAAAACACACACTTCTTGTTGTCTATCCTGATCAAGCATCTTGATCACAAGAATGTTCTAAAGAAGCCTAGAATGCAACTGGACATAGTTTATGTTGCTACTGCACTTGCCCAACAGACAAAAGTTCTGCCATCCGTGGCAATAATTGGTGCGTTAAGTGATATGATTAGGCATCTGAGGAAGAGCATTCATTGTTCATTAGATGATTCGAATCTTGGGAATGAGATGATCCAATATAATCTCAAGTTCGAAACTGCAGTTGAACAATGCCTTGTGCAATTATCTCAGAAGGTAACTTATATTAGCCCTAGTAAGCTAGACAGTCTTTGTTGAAAGGGCTTGGTAACAGTAAACTGATAATCTCTCTGAAATGTAGGTAGGAGATGCAGGTCCTATCCTTGACATAATGGCTGTCATGTTAGAAAGCATGTCGAATATTACAGTCATGGCAAGAACCCTAATCGCCGCTGTTTTTCGCACAGCACAAATTATCGCAGCTATACCAAATCTATCATATGAAAACAAGGCAAGATGCTTAAACCTTGAAGTTTCTATATCTCTGTTTTTTTTTTCTCCAAACATGTAACCAAACCTGCTTGGGAATAAGAAGATAGATAACATGCAACCTTCTCACAGGCTTTTCCAGATGCACTATTCCATCAACTGCTTCAAGCTATGGTCTGTGTTGACCATGAATCGAGGATGGGGGCCCACCGTATATTTTCTGTTGTTCTGGTCCCATCATCTGTTTGTCCAAATTCAGTTCCAAAGTCTAGAAGGCCTGCTGATATGCAGAGGACATTGTCAAGAACCGTGTCTGTGTTTTCTTCTTCAGCTGCACTATTTAGAAAACTGAAGGTGGACTCAGATGATTCTGTGGATGGTAATGCAAAGATTGAGAGAGTTTCAACACTTAGTAGGTCACAGTCAAAATTCACAAGAGGTGAAAGTTTTGACGACGAGGAGCCGAAGAACAATACTAGCTCAGTATTGAGCCGGTTAAAGTCAAGTTACAACAGAACTCAGAGTGTGAAAAGGAACCCCTCATTAATGATATCAGATCAGAATTCTTCAGGAGGTTCACCAGATAAACCAGTATGTTTCACATTTTTGGGCTTATATATCATTTATCATTTTCTTATAATTGGTTTCAGTGCCTTCTAACTGATACTTTCAGGTGATACCTCTAAGACTAAGCAGCCACCAGATTTGCCTTTTGCTTTCGTCGATTTGGGTGCAGTCCTTGTCTCCTCACAACATGCCACAAAATTATGAGGCCATAGCTAATACATATAGTTTAGTACTTCTATTTGGACGGACTAAGGTATAATAGTACAAAGTACTTACACTGCATTACTATTTCACAATAGAAGTTTCTCATGTTCTTATAAATTTTGTGTAGAACTCCAGCAATGAGGTATTGGTCTGGAGCTTTCAGCTAGCATTTTCTTTGCGGAATCTGTCACTTGGAGGTATAGTCCCCTGCAGATAAAATTTGTAGACCATCGCTTGACAGTCTTTTCGAGTTTAATAAGAAACAAAACAGATTGCTTGTGTACGTTTTGCTTGCAATATTGAGGAATTAAGCATTGTTCTAAAATTAACAATATATACTTACCTCATGTAGATGTTCAAGAAAGTATTGCTCTTCTTCTTGTCTTCACAGAATATTTTTTTTCTGTTGCCAATTTTAGGACCATTGCAGCCATCACGGCGTAGATCCCTCTTTACTCTGGCTACATCTATGATAATTTTCTCAGCGAGAGCCTTCAACATCCCTCCTCTTGTTAATAGCGCCAAAACCGCACTACAAGAAAAAACGGTATTCAAAAGATTAACTAAGTTCTTGCTCTGCCTCTGTTCTATTGTATATAAAGCTTTAATAAAATATATTTCTTGCATATCAGGTAGACCCGTTTCTTCAATTGGTGGAAGATTGCAAGCTAGATGCTGTTTTCTATGGACAGGAAGAGCAACCAGCAAAGAATTATGGATCAAAAGAAGACGATGATGACGCCTTAAATTCACTTGTGGCTATAGAAGAAACTACACAGAATCAACCTCGAGAATATTACGCTACCATGATAATGAAGTTTCTGGGAAAACTATCAGATGTACTCTTCAAAATGCTCATCATTTCTCTTTATAATGATGATGGACTGTACATGAGTTGACTACTTAATTAACTGTGCTTAATTAACTGTGTTGATGGTTGAATTTGCAGCAAGATTCGTCTTCTATAAAAGAGCAGCTAGTTTCAGATTTTATACCTATCGACGGTTGTCCAGTTGGAACGCAGTTGACAGAATCTCCAGTTCAAGTTTACCGTTCTGAAGAAAAAAACAACAAACCTCGAGAAAATGTATGTAATGTATCCATTTTATTGTGCTTTGATTTCTGAAAATGTAAGTTCTTATTAGTTTAACGTGAACATGTTTCCTTTCTACCTTTTTTTTTCCCGCAGGCTGAAACTCAATTGCTTATAACGGAGAATGATGCAATGGCGAGTCCTCCAGAAGATCAGCTTGGTCTTGACACACAACCTAATGCCAAAACTGCGTTTCTTCTGAGCATCGATGAACTTCTAAATGCAGTGAGTTCTCTCTTCTTCTTCTTTTGTTTTCCATGTAGACGCAAACGCATAAAATGTTTTCGAAAACAATGGAGTTATATTATCAGTGAGAGAAAGAGAATCAGACTGAGATGAAAATGCGTGTGCAGGTGTCTCAGACAACAGCACAATTAGGAAGATACTCAGTGTCTGACCCACCAGACATGACATACACAGAAATGGCAGGACATTGCGAGGCTCTTCTCATGGGGAAGCAAGAGAAGATGTCTTTCATGTCTGCAAAAAGCAACAAATTCAGCAACCAAACCAAGGAAACTACTGCTTTGCCTTGTGGTGGGAACCCGTTTGTGGATCAGAGAAACTCGTTGGAGATGATGGGATTAAGTGCACCGGCGGCTTCAAATATGTGCGTCACAGAGTATCAAAACCATCCTCCTTTCTTCAATCCTCCTGCCTCTACTCCTTTCGACAACTTCCTTAAACCCGTTGGTTCCTCCTGATCTTACCATTATACATATTATTTTTATAGAACGCGAATAATTTATCCAGGTAAGTTGTTTGCCTGAATAATACTTCTTTTTCTTTTCTTGGAGTGAATGAAGATTTGTTCCTTCAAGATTTCTTAGATTAGCTTCTACTTTATTGTCAACCATATTTGTAGTTAAAGTCGACCACTACAAAATCTCTATCTTCTTACTCTGTCACTTGATTGATCTAAAACATATGCACATTTAGAGCTTAAGATGTAAAATATTTTCAAGACAACTATTTTATACAAGGTTCAAAAAACCCAACTTTAACGATTTCAACAAAACAATTACAAAGTCATGCAATAACTACAATAGACCTGCAAAGAGTTGTTCTATTAGAGAAAAATTAATGCTGCCATATGTTTCTTCACGTGCAACGGAGAGCGTTACAACTAGTTATAGACATACAACGCAAAAGACCTTAAGCCGCTCTACAACACAAACAGACATGACGGGCAAAAAAGGGACTCGGAAGCGTCTCTAGAGAGTGATGATTTTCCTGTGGAGTTGATGTGCTTCATGACCACCATGGTCATGATCATGGAAGAGAAGGGTTAAGATACCTACCAGACACAGGACCGAACCCACCAGTAGTTTGTCGTATCGCTCCACCCAGTGAAACTTCAGCTGGCTTGCACCATAAAACGATAGAGCCACTAGCGATGTCATCACCAATATGGTGCTGCCCAAAAGATATCAAATCATACCATGTCAAATCATATTTAGTTGCCATAAGATTGAAACAAATGGATATACTGTATGTTTATTGGAGCACAAAACATGAGACAAAAACAGTAGTATTCGTCTCACCTGATCAGCAGAACTATGATGGCGAGAACCATCATCGGCTTAGAATTTCCAACAGCGAGGAAAACCGGGAGAGTCGTGGCACAAGGAGATAATGCAGGAACAAGGACAAGGCCAGCAACAGCCATTTTCTCCATAGGTTGGTTATGAGAATGAGTATGACCACCTTTACCAGCTAAGAAGAGCAAGACATAGCTTCCACCAAGAATCACAAGCAAAAGGGAAGCAAGTTTGTGAACAGTCTCTTCACCCGCGATTGTATTTGCCATTGTGATCGCTGTTATACCAAGAAGGGACGTGGATATGACATGCAGGACTGCTCCAAATGCAGCTGAAAAATTATTGACAAAATAAACAGAAAAGTGTATGTGAGTATATATACAACAAAAACCAAACAGAAATATAAACAGTGAATCATGTACTTGAGTTTGGGAAGGGCAATAGTTCAATGATATTTCTTTAGACAAAAGAAGAATGTGATCAGAACAAAAAACCGGTCAACCTGACTTCAATATATGGTTTTAAAATTCCAAGCCAGTTCTTTGACCCCATGTAAAGTGACAATGGAAGCTATAAACATCAAGACCTTCCCCAAAACAAGGCACATTCTCACTCAGAAAAATGAATGAGGTTGCTTAGGCCACATCAGATGTTCGTCCATCTTTCTTTATACCCAAAGAGTTGAAAATTTCCATCAGGTTATGTCATGTACTTTCTATATATATATGTACATACCTGCGCGACATTATTAATATTATTTATATCTTCATACATTGACACATTGTGAATGGAGAGAATTGATCTATGCTCAGTAATTTATTGAAAGCCTAATCCCAGGTTATCAATTCAAGCTAGTTCCCGCTACTCTCATTTCAGAATGAGACCCATCAGGATCTCACATCAATAAAGGGCTTCAGATTCAGTCAACTCACCATCAATATCCATTAACTAGAGCATTTGAAGCAGCAGTTGAATCATTCATGCCTTGATTCCTAACTATCTAATTTATATAGCTTAACTGGACTCACATCGAAATGTAGAACAATTGGAAATTCCAGAAACATGAAACGCGCATCACTTTCAATTATATATAAAAAAAAAAAATTCTGAAAGAATAACAAATAATCGAAACATACTGACGAAGAGGGTTCTAGAAAGCGTCCATTTCTGCGCGCGTCCAACGATGGAGAAAGGTAACCAGTGCGTCGGAATAAACGAATGAAGGAGCGACACGGTGGCTATGCCTCCGATCGTCGACAGATCCTCCGCGGTAAAAGTGTCCATTCTTCTTCTCTCGGGTAAAAAAAATAAAACCGTAAATCGAAAAAAAAGATCTGCGAATTGCAAGTGGAAAGAACAGTAGCTCGATCTGAAGAGTCTCCTATAAATGAATCAGAACGGGGATTTACATTTGAATGGAATCCTCTCGGGTTTCATGGGGAATACGATCTGAGGAAGACAAACTCGAGAACCAAATCAGTGAGACCGGGTAATCGGATCGTATGACGGGTCAGATCCCGGGTTTCTAATTTTAAAAAGGACTCGATCCAACCGAACCAACCAAAAAACTGATTCGAACCGGAGTGAACCATTCTGATGGGTTCAAATTTTATCATTAAAGATGAAAAATACACACTGATGAGAAATCAATTGGACATGTAGCTAACAATATATAATCAAGGAATCCTTATTCTTCCCACTCTAGAATTATTGCAATAAACCATGCCAGTACATATTTGTGATTAGTGAGCAAACCGTTACTCTTGTATTATTTTAGTGTGTATAAAGGATAAACCAAGACGTATATAAAGGGTTCTTTGATTCTTACAGATCAGTGCCAGGACCCTGTCTACTAACCAACATCCTGATTCAAATATGTTTTCTTTTTCGCTTTTCTTTCTACCAATATACTGGTTTTGAAAGAAGGGAAAACCTCTCTTGGTTCAAATCTGAAAAAACTTATAACCATGTAATCTCAATATAATGTACGAGTCTAATGCATATCTTGTAAAAAAATATTTTATGATAAATTTTGTCAAAATATACAAATACATCAAACATGTAATTGGAGTCTTTATGCTTATAAAATTTTTGGAGGATTTATTTTTTAATGATTCAATAATTTGTATGGTTTAATAGTGTGATGAGTAATCAAAATCTTATGATCAAAATTAATACATAATTCTTTTTCTTTTTGCTTTTAGCCTTATAAATTTCAGGACCTGTTGTCAAATCAGCTTAACATTTATACACAAACTATCGCAACAAATATTTTCCACACGTCAGTCCAGTATCATCGCAGCAATGATTCAGATTTCCTCATACTCTGTGCAACCCAAACCATGTTGTCTTTATGCACAAATCTTCGCAAAAAGTATTTTCCACACGCCAGTCCAAGTGTCATTGCTGCAGTATCTCTCAATATTTGCAAAGTCAGCTCATATATCTCTACTGTTTGGTATTCTTCACTAGACCAGTTTCCAAATAAATCATAAGAAAACCGAATAACTTTGTAGTCTCCTCTATCACGATATCCAATCACATAACAATCCATGGACTTGTAAAAGCTTTTTGGCGTTATCCATTGAAGTCTTCTCTAAAATGGATTCCAAATACCGAACTTGTATCCTAAAACTTGCCTGAATCAAAATCCAATTGTATGAATTTTTTTTGGCAAATCCGATTTCTCCACTTTTTGCGTACTGCTTTGAATCACATTAGTGATTCAATTGGAAGTCTTGCTAAGATTTCATTCAGTATATCAGTAAATAAATATTGATACGCCATAAAAGTAAAATAAAAATTAGCCAGAAACCCTCACTCAAAAGATCCTGGATCAAGAAAACAAGATTGTTTTCGCTCTTGAATGTTGAAAAACAAGAAGGAAATTACACTCTTTCTATAATCGCTGTTTCTCTTGGAAACGAAACAAAGAGATGTCAGATTTTGAAAAAAAAAAAATCGCACAAACGTCAGAGACTTCCTTTTATAGTCAAGCTAACTCTCAAATCATTTGCCGTTGTCAAGCCCAAGAAACTCTCCTAATCCACTTCCTCTCGATCATTTTTACTTCGCTACAACGTACTCTACAGCAACCTCGTAGTTCTTCTCCAGATATTCGGCCACGTGTACACACCTTTTACCCATTCGCAATATCCACCGTCCATCCATTTAACCAGATTCAGGGAAAAAAACGCCGTCGCGTTTCTGTAACGCTGCAACATTATTATTAGCGGTGAAGTGTCCAGTGTAGTCAACAACCAATAAGAACCCATAAAACGAATAGAGGCAGAAGAAGACGAAATCGAGGAAGAGGAAGAATGATGAAGAAGATCCCGGTGCTTCTCATGGGATGTGGAGGCGTGGGCCGTTATCTTCTTCAACACATCGTCTCTTGCCGATCGCTTCACGCCAAAATGGTTCATATTCGTTTCTCCTCACTTACTAGTTTTTCTCGATTCCTCCTCATTAACGAATGAATCCGACACTGATGCTGATAATGTATGGTTTCTGAATATGTTATGGTGAATCACGGCTTCTGTATATTATCATCGTCATCTAGGTTACTTGTCGAGTTGATAAGTTTGTTACATTGGACAAATGTTGAAATAATGCCCTTAAATAATTGATATTCAAGCTCAGGTCAATAAAAAAAAAGTCATGAATTCCTCTCTTCTCCGTTCAACAGGGAGTTCGTTTACGGGTGGTCGGAGTATCTGACAGCAAATCCTTAGTTGTTCCAATTGATGTGCTCAAAGAAGAACTGAATGATGAATACTTGTCGGAAGTTTGCCGTGTCAAATCGACTGGTTCTCCGTTGACGACGCTTGGTGGTTTAGGTAACTCTTTGACCTATCATTCGGTTTTCATCCTGAGTCTGTTTAATAGGCTATAAGACCAATGATTATCTGTTTTCCATCCCATAAAAGGTGGATACCGAGTGGTCAATGATCCCGAGTCAAGAAGCGAAACGAAAGCACTTGAAGAACTTCTGGGCAAATCTACAGGTTTGTACCAAACTTAAAGGTTCAAATACAATTGTCGCCCTTAGCATTTCGAAACTTCCAAAATCTAGTGTTGGGCCTAAATATTAATGCTTGTAGCTTCAAGACATGGTTCTGTGAGTTCTTGTAGATTAAAGTCATGTATTTTCTATAGGCTTAGCTGTTGTGGATTGCTCAGCCAGCATGGAAACGATTGAATTGTTGTTGAAGGCAGTTGACTTGGGTTGCTGTGTTGTCTTGGCAAATAAGAAGCCTCTTACTTCAACAATGGTAACTTCTTGTACTATTAAGCATCAAGTACATGCATCAAACTTTAACTGTAGCCGTTTCTGTTCTTTTGGTTTTATTACGGTGTATCATTAGCACGAACACATTCATTTGGAGACAGCATAGAGTCTTGAATCAGTACTTTATGTGGTTTCGAGCAGAAGAAGTTGCTTCGTAGATCTGAGGTTTTTTTTTTTTAAATTGTTTTAGATCAACCGAATTCTCCGAATTTCTCTTTCTTTAAATCTCTCCTTTTATCTACTGGGCATACCTTAGATAGTAGGGGAGAACTACAAAAGGTTCATCAAGTAGTCAGAAATGACTCATATTTTATCTCGTCTTGTCTTCTACGCAGGAACATTACGATAAATTGGTTTTGCATCTGCGGCGCATCCGCCACGAATCTACTGTACGTGAAACAAAGCTTCTGTATAGACTGACAGTATCAATTCACATTTGTAGTCTTATGAAAATGAAATTAGATGTAAAATGATCTCTTCGTCATATATCTAATTATATTGCTATGACTTAGTCATAAGTGTGGTGTTTTGCTTGACTATATATAAGATATGGTAGGTAGTGATTTTTGTTAACTCTTTTGCGCCTGTCATATGTTTCTTAGGTTGGTGCTGGTCTTCCTGTCATCGCATCATTGAACCGCATAATTTCATCGGGAGATCCTGTTCATAGGATTGTTGGTAGTTTGAGCGGTAATCATATTTCAGATGCAATTCATTCTACTGCGATAGTGTTATAGATGTTGTTCACTGTTCTTATTCCAACTTATGCTTGTATTAATTTATGAATCTTTGTAGCCGTGCTCGATTTATGATAGGTACCTTGGGATATGTAATGAGTGAGCTTGAAGATGGCAAGCCTCTAAGCCAAGTTGTTCAAGCCGCTAAAACACTGGGGTACACTGAACCAGGTATTTCCAGTTTCATTTAATCAATAATGGAATATATCTTTGTTTGTCATTTTTAAGTAGACATCGCTTTATCTGTTTTTCTATACTCCATAATTTCTTTTGCGAATTAAAATATTCTCGAACTTGATTGACCTTTTAGTGCAGCAGAATTAGGTGTAGCCCCCGGAAATCCGTCCATTAATATATAAAAACAAAAATAATGTTTGAATATTCTAACTATTCCAATTATAAGGCACATTGAGGATGGAACAGTGTGAAATGGCATTAGTTTAAAATGATGTTTGATTGATTATGATGTATTGTTTGCTTCACAGATCCACGCGATGATCTCAGTGGCATGGATGTTGCTAGAAAGGTATGGACGGATAAATATAGTGTCACCTGTGAGATGTAGAGTGCATGTATACCTTTGTTAATGTTAGTGATGCTATCAGCCCACAAGGTAGATGGCTTTCTTCATCTATTTCGAGTAATGTACAAAAAGCGGTCATGATTTTGTTTGGTGGTTATGTGAACAATGTTTCCTTTAACTTAATTTCCTGATGATATTGGTAGGCAAATCCTCCAATGTTCTGTTTTCACTAACACAGTGCGAATAATACACTACGCATTGAAATTACCATAGGTTTTTCATTGCAAGCAATTTTTGTTGTTGTTGAAGAGAATATATCCATTTTAGTATGAACTTCTGGGATTCTCAAATATGTCTGTTTCTGTCATGGTAGGCTTTGATTCTTGCTCGGCTCCTTGGGAAGAGACTAATTATGGATAGCATAAAGGTGTGAACCACATTCAAAGCTTTTCATTTCCATCTTCTTAATTCGATGCTGTGATTTAAGTTTGGTAAAGCAACTCTCGTCGAGTCAATTTCCAGGTGAACTGGTTGCTGTTGCAATAAACCGGTGCTCATCTTAAGTTTTTGGCTGGAGAATTGTTGTTCAGTTTTTTAACGAGGAAGCTAGAACTGGGCTTTAGACACACTGATCTTCTCAGTCTTGTTTGAGCTTTGCTTCTGCCTTCTTGATAACAAGACTTCTTTGATCCTTTTTTCTCCTGAAATTTATTTTGTTTCTTTGTAGATAGAGAGCTTGTACCCTGAAGCGATGGGACCTGGACTCATGTCTGTGGAGGATTTCCTCCAAAATGGAATAGTAAAACTTGATGAGAACATTGAGGGGAGAGTTAAAAGAGCTTCATCAAATGGGTGTGTGCTTCGTTATGTCTGTGTGATTGAGGGCTCAAGGTAATAATGGTTACCTTGACTCTTGCTATTTCCCAGCCTCGACTAATATTTTTGGTACCTTAAAGAAATTCTATCTCAAGGCTAATTTGATTGTTAGCAAGAGAGACATCTGTTTCCTAATTATATTGGTCTGCAATTGAGATAACCCATAGAATGCTAGTGTACAATGTCGGAATCGTCTAATTTTGAAATTCACTGTCTCTCTGCAGCGTTCAAGTTGGTATTCGAGAAGTTCCAAAAGATTCACCATTGGGACGACTTAGAGGCAGTGACAATATAGTAAGTTTGTTATAAGATTCTATTTGTTAAACCTCTCTGAAACTGCATCACACGAAGAAAAAATGAACACACATACTTTGGTTTAAACGGTTTAGCAGTACCCTTTTATCGCACACATAATCTCTTAGCTCACAAGAGATTTTCATATATAAAGATTGGTAAATTTGCTCATATTATCTCAAGAACACAAAACACAATATTGTCTTGTCGGTAAACATGATTGAATTGGTTGAAAAAACTGCAGGTAGAGATATATAGCCGTTGCTACGAGAAGCAGCCTTTGGTGATTCAAGGTGCCGGAGCCGGGAACGACACGACTGCAGCCGGTGTTCTTGCCGACATCATCGACTTGCAGGATCTTTTTCCTTGAGAGGTTTTGGTTTTAAATTTTATGTCAAAGTAATAATAATAACGCAAAAGTCCATCGTTTTTTTTTTCAAATATTTTTTTTCCCAGCAATTTGAGATAATTATTAGGCAATAAGAACGTGGCCTCTCCTTACATTACAAAGAAGCTTGGTTTTTTTAGATTTTTTTATGACATTTGAGTGAATAAAAAGAAAAAAAAAATGCAAAACGGGGGTCAGACGGAGAGAACGGTCTCGTTTGATATATCAGTATGATCGATCTGGTTTTTGGGATCAAGAGCCATCTCCCGGAGCCGGAGAAGACTCCCTGTAGCCAGAATCGCCTTAGGGTTTATATCGTGCAGAGATCGGAGATACAAACTCTGACAAGCTTTATTCGCCGCCTCCGATACTTCCCTGTCTTCCACTTTGAGCCCCAAGAGGCAATGCCCTAAGATCCTCAGAATTGGTTGCACAAGCTCCCATGGCAGTGGAATCCTTCCGCTGTCTCTCTCGGATCTTCCTCCCATGGCGACATTCTCTTCCTCTCTCCACGAGTTCTCGCTCAAGGTAGGAATCACAGCTCGTGGTTGCTCCGTCTCTCCGTTTTGCCCCGCCCATTTCTCGCACGACTCGCAGAAATTGAGCTTGGACTCGCGAGGCATCCTCGAGATTTTGCTATAGTAAAGCTCCAACGCGACTCCGACGATCCTCGCGCGGCGTGTGGATCTCACCGTGCCGTGTGGATCGAGCGTTGGGGAGATAACGGCGATGTTGAGGCACGTTGAGTTGTTCTTCGTAGGACCTTTGGATTCGTGGTAAATGCTGGGATGAGAGAGATCGGGAATGTTGACGGTGAGTGCCTGACCGGCGCGTGAGGTTGTCTCGTGCGCGTAGAGAGCGAGTAAGACGGCTTCGAATCCGGCCTGAGGTTGCCGGAGAGGGACGCGGGAGAGGTAGAGACCAGCGATCAAAGGAACGAAACGGAGGACGAGAAGCTGGAGCGACGGTTCCGCGGATTGGAAGGTATCGTAGAGCCAACGGCAGAGGTTATTATCGCCGGCGCCTGAGTCGGGACGTAGGAGAAGAGAGGAAATCGCGGCGGAGACGGCGTCATCGTCGAGGAGGTCAGAGATTGTGGTAGGGATATGTGTTGTTGTGACGATGGAGGCTAAGGATTGTATAGCTGTCTGGCATTTCGCATTGGAATCGGATTGTGCAGAATCGTTAGCCACGGTGGTTTGTGAGTCGCCGGCGATGGCCGGAGAAGGTGGAGACTCGTGGGTGGAGGAAGAATCAGACATTTTTTTGATCGCTTTGTGAGAGAGGAGGAAGCCCAAAATATGGACTTTTGAAAACTTTTGAGAAAATAACGCAGGAAAAATAGGATCAAATATTTGCGCACTCGTAACATGACAATATTGACCAATTTATAAATACGATCTGCATCGTCCGATATTTTTTTTTTCCATCCGACGGTTGTAATACCCCGTACCGGGACCATAACAAAAAAAACACAAAAAGAAATTTGGCAATATCTTTCCAGTCTTTGCTTGGCGGTTGGTTCTTCAATCTTCATCCCATCAGTTTGATCAGAGAAATTAGGGCAACGTCATTTGGGCGAAAATCTCTTCTCTGTTACGAATACCTTGTTTTGATTACTTGAGGTGCGTAACATTTTTTGTTTTTGCTTTCTCGTTGTTCGTTAGCTCGGTTTAGCTAATCTCTTCATTTTTTTTTCGGGTTCGATTGTAATCGATTTACGGATTTTCCTGTGATTGGGAAATTGATGTTTATTCTTTTCTTTTAACCTGGTTCGTTGAATTGAATCGTTTTCTGGGTTTTGTTCAGGCTTAGCTGGATTCGTCTCCGGAGCTGTAGATTTTCAGATCCGGTCAGGGTCGTTCGTGAGAAGCTCCTTGTTTGGGTGTTTTGGGCTGCATCGGACGCTGTCTGTCCTTTGATGGCATTTGAGTGCCAGGAGAGAATTGAAGTTGCGAATGATTCATCGAATATTGGCGAGAGATTATCTGAACAAAGAGCTGAGTCTGATCTTCTGAATTCGGAGCTGAGAATTAGAAATGGGTCTGTCGAGATTCCAAGTGTGAAGCTATGTTTCCAGCAAAAGAAGGGAACTTTGGTGCCCAGTGACTCGAAACAGTTGCTCTCTGACAAGGATTTGTCTACTACTCATCGGTGTTCCATTATTGATTTGCCTCAGGCATTGATATCTGAGATTCTTAATTGCCTTGACCCAAAAGAGTTAGGTCTAGTGTCTTGCGTTTCAACTAGTCTGCATAGTTTAGCATCGGAGCATCATGCGTGGAAGGAATTCTACTGTGAGAGATGGGGACTCCCCGTGGTTTTCGGGGCTAGAAGTTCTGGATTTTCTGATGAGAGATCGTGGAAAGAGCTCTTTGTTGAGAGGGAATTCAGGAGTAAGACCTTCTTAGGACGCTATAATATCGATACCCTTTATGGCCACACTGAAGCAGTTCGGACTGTTTTTCTCTTAGCTTCTGCCAAGCTCATTTTCACTTCTGGATATGATTGCATTGTTCGGATGTGGGACATGGAAGAAGGCTTGTCTATTGCAGCATCTAAACCGCTTGGTTGCACAATAAGGGCAGTTGCCGCTGATACAAAGCTTTTGGTAGCTGGCGGCACTGATGGATTTATACATTGCTGGAAATCGGTGGATGGTCTCCGGAACCTGTTCGACCTCACAAGTTTTCAGAAAGAGAAGACCGAGTTTCGCCTATGGGGACATGAGGGTCCTATTACATCTCTTGCCCTGGACATGGCAAATATCTTTAGCGGTTCATGGGACATGTCTGTTCGTGTATGGGATCGATCTTCAATGAAATGTATCAAAACGTTGAGGCATAGTGATTGGGTTTGGGGGCTTGCGCCTCATGAAGCCAGCATTGCTTGTGCTTCGGGCTCGGATGTATACATTTGGGACATTAGTAGTGAGACTCCACTGGCGATCATCCATGATGTTCATGAGGGTAACACTTACTCTCTGGCAAGAAGCCATAGTGGGGATTTCCTGTTTACTGGTGGAGAAGATGGAGGAATCAAAATGTTTGAGATCAGAACATACGGTATTGAAACAAGGGTTGTACTCATATCTCAATGGATGCCTCACACTGGTCCTGTTTACTCTCTTTCTTTCGAGTTTCCCTGGCTTGTCTCAGCATCTGGTGATGGTAAACTCGCACTTATCGACGTTAGGAAGTTGTTGAAGACTAACCGTCGTGCCTTACCCAAAAGGGGTTCTTCGAGTACTGTGGAACCGCCACAAAGAATGCTGCACGGGTTCGGGTCAAACTTGTTTTCTGTGGACGTGGGTTGTGACCGTATAGTGTGCGGAGGTGAAGAAGGCATAGTCCGGATATGGAACTTCACACAAGCGTTGGAGATAGAGCGAAGAGCTAGAGCTCTCAAGGGAATGAGGCTTGAGAACAGAATGAGACGAAGGAAGATGCAAATGGAGATGAATGCAAAGAGTGGAAGGCCTGACCAATGCTCCATTGCTGCTCATAAGAACCCAATCAGTGGCGATAGGAACCGAGCCTGGCATACAAAACGAAGAGCAAGCGGGAAGTCGAAGGCCTAAGCAATGTGATTCGTTTTCCCTCCAACGCACTCAGTGAAGCAAGTTTTAAAATCTTGGGCACATTTTAGGCTTTGAGCTAACAGACTTGGGTCTTGTGATTGATGGAAACTGAGAAGATTCGGTTTTAGCTCGCTTTTACTATTCATATGTTTCGGAAACCGTTAATTAAAGTTCATTCAGGAAAACTCAAAAGGTCACTGAGTTTTTTTTTTGGGATTTTTAACACAAGAAATAACCCTTTTTGTGTGTGTTTGTCAGAATATTTTTCCTTCGTTTTGTTGTTGACTAATGACTGGTTTAAGGCAGACGGGACCCAGTGAAAATTTGACTTCCTTCCTGTTTCCCTTTGCTCTAATCCACAAGTTTGCCCGTTAGCTTGACACTTGACTTAAAGTTCTGGATATGACACATACATCTATTTTACTATTTGGTGTTTGAAACTTGAAGAATCTGGCTTCTGTTTCACTTCAATAATATTGTTTGAATTAGGTGAATTTCCACAAAAGCTGGGAAATTTCCGCCCTGTCAAAACTCAAAACCCATCCCACATCATGCATAGAACACGTATGGAAATGTTACCCTTAAAAAGAAAAAGATGACAAGTGTTAACCAATCTATTATTTTCATGAGTCAACCAATCTATGTGTCCAAAAACTTAAATGGCTAATAAAGTGGTTAATTTAAAAACAAAAACAGAAGAAGAAGAAGATAGAAACCTGAACACAACCAAGAAACGAGCAAGAGAGACAACAAATGACAATAAGTACGGTTATATATCATGTATAACAATCCGGATGTGAAGAAAAACATATATTAAAACATAATTAAAATTTAACACACAATATTTCAAATAAAACACACTTTAACTACCAATCACAAATTTTAAAATGTTAAAAAAAATTAATATATTAAAGGAAGAAAAAACAGTTCAGAAAATTTGTATATATAAAGAATGAATTAACTCAAATGAAGCAGTGGTATATAATGGATATTTTGTACTACTACAACTTAATCTAAACTTGTACCACTATTATACACATATTGTACCACCCGTTTTCTTTGTAATGCTGTTTTACACATATAAAACATACCTCTGAACTACCCTAATCTTTGTAATGATTTGGTTACATGATATTGTGTAACACATAATACAATCCATAGCACTCTCTTTACAAGGCACCAATCAGAGCCAACATAAAATTATTCAACGTAGACACTTCTACAGTTGCCGCCTCAGTTTTCTTTATGTTTGTGTTTCTTATTTTTTATCAAAAAAAATATTTTTTCTTCTCCCTGACGTGATGCTTTGGTGATACGCTATCCGGCGATGTGATAGTTTGGAGAAAAAGTTTTATTGTTTTTGGGAAGAAGACTTATTTAGGAAGACTCCATATATCAAGATAGACGTCCAATCCATATTGATATCAACCATTCTTTTTTTTTTTCTTGTTTTTTGCTATCTCAAAAACATATTATATGTTCAAATAATTATACGATCACTGAAAACATTTGAATACCTTATCAATTAGATGAATGGAAATGTTCCTAACTATATTGTTCTTGTTAATAATGTTCCTAACAATATTTAAACTGAGTGAGTACTTTATTTGGAATAAATTATAATATATTTTTAATTAAATATTTATGTTAATTCAATGAATTATCGAGTAGTAAATATTTAGGAGAAGAGTATACTCCAGAGTCCAGACTCGAGAGTGGACTGGAAAATGAACTAGGTTTGGGTCTATATTAAGAGAATCCTGTAAAAAATTAGAAACACAACAATGTTGTCATGTCAACAAAGTGTATAAAAGGGAGTTAACAAATGAAATATAGCATGTAAGGGGATTATCACGAGCTTTTAATGCGTTCGTATTTTTATGTTGATGCAGTAGTGGTATAATTAACTGCACGTCACGGAAAAATCAATCGACTAATTTCTTAATTTTTTTTTTTTTAACAAACACTAATTTCGTAAGTTACAAATCTCTTCGTCTCCTTACTAAAATGCATAAAAAGCGAAAGAATATCTGGCTTCGTACTCACTGCACACGATACTGTGACCTCTTCCTCTCCTCTTACATACCTTCCTGGTAAAATTCTCTCTTCATGATCTTGACAATTTTTTTAGTGTAATAAAATATCCACTTTTATCTCCATTGTCTTGCATGTTAATTTTTTTTGGAGAAAGGGTATTCTCTTCTCTTCTCTTGCTTCTTCTGTTTTATTTTCTTGTCTTTTCTTCTTCTGCATTTTAGGTTGTATCGGAATATGTTTAATTTTTTGAAATATGATAGACATTTTTTTTTTCCTTGCAATGGTAATATGCTTTGTGGATCTCTTCTTCAGTTCTTCTCATGTATAAAAATCTTAAATCATTGAGACTCTGTGTTGATCTCTTCTCGTTGTTAAGCTATATGGACTTGAGACTTGATGATTAACTGTATGAGTCCCGAAGTTGACTGTTTGGTTCCTCAAGTTAGCTATAAAACTATGACCTAGCTTGTGTGTGTTTTGCTACTCCAGAAATGGATTCGAGCAAGAGTGCTCTTCTTCCAATTGCTCGGCGTGGGAACGGCTCAAAAGGCCAGAAGATTCAGCTGCGTACTAACCACTTCAGAGTCAACTTCAGCAACGCAAAAAGTCAACATTTTTTTCCAATACAGCGTAAGCTTCCTCTTCTATTCTCGAATATCTTATTCCCCATCACTGCTTACAAATTCTTATTTTTACAAAAATCTTTGGATACAGGTTGCTATCACATACGAAGATGGGAATCCAGTTGTAGCCAAGGGTATCGGCAGAAAGATTCTTGAAAATGTTCAGGACACCTACAAAAGTGATTTGGGTTCCAAATACTTTGCTTACGATGGAGACAAGACTCTGTTCACTGTCGGTCCACTTCCCGCCAACAAACTAGACTTCTCTGTTGTTCTTGAAGACATGTCTTGTAGCAGAGGCAACACAAGGAGCGATGATGCGGACAGGAAGAGATTAAGGCGTCCTAACAAATCCAAGAAATTCAACGTTGCAATTACCTTTGCTAAACAAATCTCAATCCAAGCTATTGATGGTGCTCTTCAAGGAATTGAAACAAATCATCTTCAAGATGCTATAAGAGTGCTAGATGTTATCTTGCGCCAGAACGCAGCTAGACAGTTAAGTGAACTTTTCTTGATATTCCTTTTATCTTGCTTGATTTTTGTCCTTAATCTTCAAGTTGTTACATATCTGTTTTTACGCAGGGGTTGCCTCCTTGTTCGTCAATCCTTCTTCCACAATGACGCAAAGTTCTTTTCGAAAGAGCATGGAGGTTTTTATCTATGCAGAGGATTCCATTCTAGCTTCAGAACTACTCAGGGAGGCTTATCCCTTAATATGGGTAAAATTCTTTTTTTCATTATATGATGTGAATTCCATAATCTTCTTCTTTGTAACATTTTGTTTTGTTTTTCATCAGATGTTTCGTCTACGTTGATAGTAAAACCAGGTCCTGTTGTTGATTTCCTTACTGCAAATCAAGGGAAAAATCGATTCTCTATTGATTGGAAAGAGGTACTTTAGAAGAATTTACAATGGTCTTTAAGCATATCTTTGAGGTGAATTAGTACTTTTCATATTCTGATTATTGTGTCTCTCATTTAGGCCGAACGTACTCTCAAGAATCTTAGAGTTAAAGTCATCACCACAAATCAAGAATACAAGATAACCGGACTAAGTAGACTACCCTGCAAAGATCAAACGTATGTTCTGAATTGATATATTTTAGATCATATATGTTTTAAAATCGCTTTGTTTTAGTTATTCAGTAACCTCCTTTTTTTTTTAACTTAGGTTTATTTGGAAGCAAAAGAAAGGAAACGGGGAAGTTGAGGAGGAGATTAAAGTGTTTGATTACTACAAGAAAAACCATGACATCAGACTTCATGATTCAGGTGACTTACGTTGCATCAATGTTGGTAAGCCGAAGCGTCCTACTTACTTTCCCATGGAGGTTAGTGTTATGCTTCTTTTTTTTGTTTGTTGTTCTCTCACATTTTCATGCTTATTAATGGCTTATGAAGAATATACTTGTTTGGTTTTTTAATACTTTCAGCTCTGTCATCTTGTTTCTCTGCAACGCTATACGAAAGCTCTTACTATTTTCCAGAGGAGTAACCTAGTCAGAGAATCAATACAGAAGCCACTAGATAAGAGGAATATGTTAAACAGAGTAACAAGTCTTTCATTTTCCACGTATCATCTTTTTCTTTTTCTGTTCATTTATGTAATATCATATTTCGTTTTGTAGGCTCTAGAGAACTGTAATTATAATGATGACACACTGTTGCAAGAATGTGGTGTCAGAATTGGCTCTGAATTCACTCAAGTGGAAGGTCACATACTACCAACTCCAAATGTGATTCTTCTTAGCCTCTTCTCTTTCATTTTTGGTTATGCATGGAAGATTTGATGTTATAACATATTATCTCTGATCTTTTTTTTTTTTATTACTCCCAAAACAGCTGAAAGTGGGCAATGGAAAGGACATTATTCCTAGCAATGGGCGTTGGAATTTCAACAATAAGGTCTTCTTGCTTATCCATTGGCTGTTAAGTTTCATAGATGTTTTGAAAAAAAAAAAAATTCAAATAATTTACTCAAAATCTATTCTGCAGGAATTTGTTAAGCCAGTCAAAGTTACTGGATGGGCTGTTGTGAACTTCTCTGTTCAGTGTGACCCGCACAGGATTGTTCGTGACTTGATCAGATGTGGAAAGATGAAAGGAATGGTAAGCTTATATATTCTTTCTTCAAAAGGATCATTGCCTACATTAAAGAACACTAAAAACAATACTCTTTCTGGTTTCTTTTGTCTCAGGACGTAGTTCTTCCACTTGATGTCTTTGAAGAAGGTCATCGGTTTAAGGCTGCACCTGGTTCTGTAAGAGTGGAGAAGATGTTTGAAGTTATGAAACTGAAATTCCGGGACCAGGACTGGGGAAAACCTGAATTCCTTCTTTGCATACTCTCGAAAAACTCTAATGTTTATGGTAACACTAAGCAGTTAACAACATTACTTGAAACATATATGTATATATATATATATAGTATACTTTTGTTTAGTAAACATATATGACTGCAGTCTTTGAATGATTAAAATCTCTTTTAAGGTCCATGGAAAAAGAGAACTCTTATTGAAGATGGAATAAAGAATCAGTGTATTGCTCCTCCCAACATCGTAAAGGATCAGTATCTCACAAATGTTCTCCTCAAAATTAATGCTAAGGTGATGATCTCTTTTGACTCAATATCACAACTTTTACTTTGTGTATGTAGTTTCTGATATATAGTTATCTGCCATTTTTTTTTGTGTAGCTTGGTGGATTAAATTCAGAGTTAGCTATTGAGCGGTCACTAGGAATCCCTGCGGTGATGAGAGTCCCTACCATCATTATTGGGATGGATGTATCTCATGGCTCTCCAGGACAGTCTGATGTCCCATCCATTTCCGCGGTAACATTGATTTTTTTTTTGTTGCATAATTTTAACTGTTAGTTTCTTGTGTTGTATTTTCATGTAAGCTTGATATAATGTCAATAATGTTTGGAATGCATATATAGGTTGTGAGCTCCAGAGAATGGCCCTTAATCTCAAAATACAAGGCTTGTGTGCGTACACAGTCACCTAAAGTCGAAATGATTGACAATCTCTTTAACCGCGTCTCTGATAAAGTTGACGATGGTATTATGAGGTAATTATATTTCTAGTGAATATGAAAAATTACTTCTTTAGATAGGATTGTGAAAACGGATAGTGTGATTAGATGACTCAATTATGTTTTTACAGGGAGCTCTTGGATGATTTTAAATCCTGCTCTGGTATGAAACCCGATCACATTATCGTTTTCAGGTATGCATGATATAATCTAGAGATCTTGTGAAAGTTGTTTAATACGACTTTTGTTAACTCAAGTAGAATAATCAAATAATACATGTAGGGATGGTTTGAGTGAATCTCAGTTTAACCAAGTTCTTAATATTGAACTGGGTCAGATGAAGCAGGTAAGGTTATATTTTGGTTACTAAAACAACATTCAAGCTCTTAATACTTAGCCAATGTTGGACGTTTATGGAGTTTTGTAATTTTGGTTATATCATTAGGCGTGCAAGTTTCTTGAGGAGAATTGGTATCCCAAGTTTACAGTGATCATTGCTCAGAAAAAGCACCACACCAGGTTCTTCCAGGAGAGAAGACCTGCTGATAATGTTCCCCCAGGTGGAAAATCAAAATCCATTTTCGTAACATTGATTTGTTTTTTTTTTATTTTTTTGTTGGTGTGTTATCGAATTGACGTTGAAACCGGTTTCATATAATTTACTTGCAGGAACAATAATCGACAGCAAGATCTGTCACCCACGCAACAACGATTTCTATCTTTGTGCTCATGCTGGAATGCTTGTAAGTGAGATAAGTCTTCTGCTCGGATCAGTTGTGAATCGAATAGAACACTTGAAACATCTTTGTTTTTTTTTCTATGGTTTTCGATGTTATAGGGAACTACGAGGCCAACGCATTACCATGTGCTCTACGATGAGATTGGATTTTCGACAGATGACCTCCAAGAACTTGTCCATTCTCTATCCTATGTGTAATCAGCAGATACTAAACATCTCTATTTCTTTGTGGTTTTACAATGTCTACTGAATTAAGACAACATTCTCTTAACTGTGTGTTTTGATTCTTTGTAGCTACCAGAGGAGCACCACTGCCATCTCAGTCGGTAAATTGATGCATAGCTATGCTGATTTCATTGGTTTTATATAGTTTGTCAGAATGGATAAAATAGATTTTGCTGCTTTCTTTCATGACAAGTTGATTAGCATTTAGCGATAATGTCTAATGATGGAAACAAGCAATGAAGCTATTCATGATGTTTTTCATTATGTGCAATATCTCAAGTTTCTTGTTTCTTTTTTTGTTTTTGTTTTCTGCAGTTGCGTTGATAAGTTATGCTTATTTGGCAGCTGCACAGATTGTGCAGGGGAACTGCAATGAAGTTTGAGGACATGTCTGAGACTTCATCGAGCCATGGTGGGATCACAACATCTGGAGCTGCCCCTGTGCCTCCTATGCCGAAGCTGAACAAGGCTGTTGCTACCTCAATGTTCTTCTGCTGAATCAAGTTTTTTTTTTTCTGCTAAATAACGAACCAAAATTGGTGTTATGATTCTCTTCTTGACTCTGTTTTTTGTGGGCGTTGGTTGGTCCTCGGTTTTATATTTTAATGGAATTTGCTAATTCAAGACTTAAGTTGCATTTTATTGTAGACTAGATTGTTATGAGTTGATACATAACTCTGGTGATGTTATAACTTAAAACCCAACCAAAAAATGAACTTATATACACTGATTCTAATTTCTAGTAACGAAGTTCTAAGAATTGCTGTAAACTCAAAACACAGTGAACAACTACATATATCTTTTGAGTCCGTAAATATCATAATGTTTCAAGTAGAAAGCACTACATGTTCTGGAATTTATGGGATTTGAAACTATTATACCATGTAACAGAAGAAGGATACATATGAAACTATTACTCGAGTGAAAAGTAAAAAGATTTTTACCTACATATCATAGAGTTAGGATCATATTTCCATCAGTTTACAAAACATTGTAAAAATTGGAAGAACAAAAAAAAACAGAAAACCAAGTATATACCCCTCTATGGTTATTAACCTGAGAAAATGCATATCGAGGCTCTAGGTGGTTCGTTGTCTAACATGTCGGCTGCTGGTATCGCCGCCGCCACCACCACCGCCGCCGTCTGATAGTTGGGCCCACACGCTCTGAGACTTGGCTCCTCCGGTACTGTTGCTGCCTTCCTCGTAACCAGCCACCGCCTTCAGAAGCTCCGACTGGAGGGACAGACATTCATCCTTGAGCTGTAGATAAGCGTCTGTCTCCAGGACAGCTGCAATATTGAAAGCCCCACCAAATTCAAATACCACCGAAAATCGATTATACACTTGACATGCATATCAGGGTTGGACATATAAAATCAAAATGTGTTTATAATCCGATTGGTTTTATCATTTTGAAGCAAACAAGATTGTGTATCGAAATGCGTTGCAGAAGCATACCTGCTAGGTTCTCAGCAGAAAATTTTAGGCAAACGCTTTTTAGCTCCCTAGCACTATATCTGTCAGCCAGCACTAAGATCTTGGCGACGGATTTCACTGATACGCCTTTGGACAAGTGAGATTCACACAACAATCTGAGCCTATTCAGGTCGTACTTATCCGATGCTGCTAAAAGCTTTACTATCAATGTCTCGTATATTTCAGGCAGTTTTAAGAGGTCAAATGTATGAGTGTACACAGCCTCCACATCTTCCGGAAGAGAATCTTTATACATGAATTGTAGCAAAGCCTGGAAGGAACAGAGCATAAATACAGGCACGTTTTGAACAAGCAGAAGCAAGTAAAGAATAACCACCAATGATGTACCTTAAAAACCTTAGGTTCCAGATCGTCGATCTTAACCTCTGTATTGCTTGCTTCAAACTCATTGAAAAACTTAGACTTGAAAAATGGAGATCGAGCAGCCAGCACTAATTTATGAGCTTGAATCTTCTCTCCAGCAATGTCAAAAGTCACATCAGAACCTTCCATGCTATCCAGTAAAACTCCAAAATGTGATCCAAGTTCTGATTCAGGGACTTGAACAGAGTGTAACCGTGGGCAGTGTATTTCCGAAACCACAACTCCAACCGTACAGTTGATTTTCAAGCAATCGTCTTTGAGGTAGTCAGATGCTTCAAGCAAGCTACGTTTGAAGAAACGCTTGTATCCCCTAATCAAACCACAAAGAAGAAAGAGAATTTGAGGAGCTTGAGTTAGCAGAGTGTAACCAAAAGATAAATGTAAAGAGAAGATCATACATATCTCTATTAAAAAGGATCAAAGTAAATTGGAAAAATAGAAAACAGCCTCTCCACTGATATTAGGAATTCTATTCCAGTTAAGACTTAAGCAAAGGCTGTGTCTAGATACACTCAGGTAATTCAGTTAACTAAAACACCACATAAATTATCCATTTCTTATTCAATATTTTTCGCTTCATGAACATGCAACCACCCACATCCTTTCAAAAACAAGATTTGGAATGGGAGAAAGAACACACACAACTTATGAGTCGCAGGAATGTTACTACAATGACTATGACTAGCTGAATTCTTCAATTGTGATGCTTTATACCACCAACAGATTCCTCCTAAGCAGTTCACCAAACTTATCCTATAAACGCCACCAAACGAACTTCATACGAATTTCTAAACTATCTCTATAGCCATCGATCGTAATCAAGATAAGCTCGAATTATGAGCAGTGAGCAGAAACCAACTAGGTAGGTGATAATCGTACCACATGCTTCCTCGGTATTTGAGAGTGTAAGGCCCACTGTCAAGAGAACGCTCGAAATGGCTATGAACCTTGTGCTGACCCTTTCCGCTTTGGTCAACAAGAGCGAGCTCGAAAAGAGCCCTGACTTCGGTGCCCTCGCTGGCCAATGCGATGAAGACGGAGACGTATGCAGAGTTATCCTCCGGATTCTTACCGTCCGGGTAGAAGAAGATCCCCCACTGGTAGCCTCCGACCGAGAAGTTATCACTCGCTATGTGCTTCCCCACACCCATCCCCTTCGCTAAGCTGTACCCTTGTATCACGAATTGATGCGACCCGTTCACCGTCTGGGTCACCGACTTCGAGCTCGTCGGCGATGAAACCCGATCCGGATTCGATCCAGGAATTACTGATCCCGACATCGCTTTGAATTTCGCGGCTAATTTAGTGGTGATACAGCAAAGATCCCATGAGGATTACTATCCTGATCAAGAAGAATCGATTTCGAGAAACAAGATTTCTAGGGTTCTGAATTTCAATTTGGATTTATTTCAGGTTTCAGACCGTTTAAAGAAAATCGCGAGAGGGAAGTGAAACAGAACGTCTCCAGTTGTATAACTTACCAATATTATCAGAGACGAGCTAAAAAGGGATGTTTGGTTGTGGGTTTAAACCTAATCTCCTAATTGCAGAAAGTCAGATCTAACCTGATTGCCAAACAAGCCGTGGTCAACTGTGCTCTCACCTTGTTAACTCAAGTGACCTGTGTCGTCTCTCTATCAAACAGCGAAAGAAATGGCTGGTCATGAAGGTCGTTGTGGCGGCGAAGGAAAATCGGAGATGATACCGACGGAGGAAGCTCTGAGGATAGTACTCAGTGTCTCCGAGCGGCTGCCTCCGGTAGTCGTATCGCTGCAGGAAGCGCTTGGGAAGGTGTTGGCGGAGGATATTCGTGCTCCTGATCCTCTTCCTCCATATCCTGCTTCCGTCAAGGTGAATAGCATTCCACTTATAATGAAACTATTTTGGCGATCAAATTGGTTGGTTTACTGTTTATCTTTCTTGTTGATCTTCGTGGATCGTTTGTATCTTTGTGACTGATTGATCTAAACTTGAGGATACAGTTGTGTGCTTGACGCAATTAGCGAACATCATAGCGTCTTAAACTCTATGAATCGCTTGCTTTTGATTTCAATATGTTTAATTCATGGAAATTTGTTAAATAGAAATTGAAAGATGTTAAGCTCGTGATGATACTTGAATAGATTGTCTTATATGTTGTTTAGGATGGATACGCGGTTGTTGCATCAGATGGTCCTGGAGAATACCCGGTGATTACAGAATCAAGAGCTGGGAATGATGGACTGGGTGTGACTGTTACTCCTGGAACTGTGGCTTATGTAACAACTGGTGGTTAGTATATTGCATTCGATGTGATATCTCGTACTCATGATTTGTATCATTTGCTCATATGAGAACTTTATAGTGTTTTAACATTGAAAGTCCAACTGTTTTCTTTATTCACTTCAATTTGATACTATCTGCATGGGTGTGTCAGAAAAGTAGCTTTTTCTTTGATTTCAAACTATTTCTTTCTTTGATGTGTTTCTCTTTAGGACCTATACCTGATGGTGCCGATGCAGTTGTCCAAGTTGAGGACACTAAAGCAATTGGAGACGTCTCAACTGAATCAAAAAGAGTAAAAATACTGATTCAAACCAAGAAAGGCACTGACATCCGTAGAGTGGTATGGTTTCTTATTTCCCGCTTATATAGTCAGTCTTGTAGTTGATATTTTTGGGTTCCTTTATTTATGACTGTTTGCTAAATAGTTGTAGTATCATACTGTCTAACGTACTGCCATTTGTTGATCTAAGTAAACTTTAGGATGCATGTGAGACCAGTATGTAAAATGAATTTAACTGTTGTGTCGTTTGATGGTTAAGTCACTACTTTCTTTTATTGGGATAAGTGGTAAATGATGGCCGGGTTTTGAATATGTACTTGAATTGTTGGACACCTTTCCATCTTTGCTACCGTTTAGGTGTGAACATGCAATGCTTCTTACAGAAAAGGCGCTTCTGGGACATAGAATTGGATAGCTAAAGCATGTTTCCCTATTAAGATAAATCATCAAACCTAAAACGAAAATGATAGTTTTTTTCCAGCTGTTTGGAATCATTTTATGTTGATTGTTTCCACAAGATTCATTCAATTTATATGCAAGGGTTGCGACATTGAGAAAGATGCGACTGTACTAAAAATTGGAGAAAGGATTGGTGCCTCAGAAATTGGCTTGCTAGCAACTGCAGGAGTAACCTCGGTGAAGGTATTGCTGTATTCAGTGTTTAGAGTAGCATATTAGAGGTGTCCAACACGGAAAAGTAAACTTCCATGTAGGTATATCCTATGCCAACAATTGCTGTTCTCTCTACTGGGGATGAACTTGTGGAGCCAACAGCTGGGACTTTAGGTCGTGGTCAGGTATTATGCAGCATGAAGATTTCTGATGCATGTGATATTTATACCCGTGTATTTACTGGGAAAAGATATTGAACCCAACATAATTTTAGTGGCTAAATAATGGGATCTCTGCAGATTAGGGACTCAAATCGAGCAATGTTACTGGCTGCAGTGATGCAGCAGCAATGCAAAGTTGTTGACCTCGGAATCGTTAGAGATGATAGAAAGGAACTTGAGAGAGTTTTGGATGAGGCCATATCCTCTGGAGTCGATATTATTATTACGTCTGGTGGTGTTTCAATGGGAGATAGGGATTTTGTCAAGCCATTGCTCAAAGAGAAAGGGAAAGTTCATTTCAGCAAGGTAAATAAGCAGTATAAGTTTCCTCAATCATCTACGTGAAGTTTATTATTTTCTCTTCTTAAAAGCAAAAGACCTGGCTTCTATGTTTTCTGACGATATATTTTACCCAGTTCTACTGTTTGATTTTTCAACTTGGCTCAGAAAGTTGAAAATGTTTAGTTTAATCTACAGATCGAACTGAGAGGATTTTAAATTAAATATTTTCTTCAGGTATTGATGAAACCTGGGAAACCTTTGACGTTTGCTGAGATCAGTACAAAACCAGCTGAAAGTATGATGGGGAAAACGGTCCTTGCATTTGGGTTACCAGGAAATCCTGTTAGCTGTTTGGTTTGTTTCAATCTCTTTGTTGTGCCTACAATCCGCCAGCTTGCAGGATGGACAAGCCCCCATCCACTGAGGTTACTGAAGTTTACATAACTCTTTTTCCTAAATGAATTCGTTCTAAAATGATCATCACTGAAAGGGTAGATTACCGTCTAATCTTTGTGCAGAGTACGAGCTCGACTTCAGGAGGCGATAAGGTCCGATTCCATTCGTCCGGAGTTTCATCGGGCCATCATCAAATGGAAAGAGAACGATGGATCAGGGACTTCCGGGTGAGGTTTTTCATAACCATGTCTCTTGAGTAAAAACTTTAGCTGGATCTTACTGGATTTTCATGGAAGTTGCATTACGTTTTACTATCTTAATCAGAGTAATAATATATACCTGGATGTCAGATTTATCGCTGAGAGCACGGGACATCAGATGAGCAGTCGGCTTTTAAGTATGAGGTCGGCTAATGCTTTGTTAGAGTTGCCTGCTACGGGCAATGTGCTTTCTGCTGGAACTTCTATATCAGCTGTAATCGTCTCCGATATTAGTGGCTTCTCTATGGATAAGAAAACCTCATTATCAGAACCAGAATTTCTTCGGAAAGAAAAGAAGTACGATGAAGTACCTGGGCCTGAGTATAAAGTTGCTATTCTTACTGTCAGTGATACTGTCTCAGCTGGGGCTGGACCTGATCGAAGGTATGATTACTCTTAACCTTTTTTGATTGTCCTGTTACAAATCTTGATGAGTTGAGTTAAAGATGTTGGAACAGATACGTTTTTTTTTTTTTAATTTGCGTCTCTAAAAGAATGCTCACTTTTAGAAGATGAAACGGAAATAGCAACGCTGTGGTTAACTTTGTAATAGAATACATTGATTTTTCTTAAACATATTTGTCCTACATGTCTTACCTTCTGGTGATTTCGACAGTAGCTTGTTGATGGATGTTTTTGGTAGAGGTTTCTGTTTGTCTATACATGTTTAAATGACATGTTACTTGGTGACTATTTGATAAGAAATAAGCTAGAACATGAAATTTGTACTCAAAGTGTAAAACGTTTAGATTCAGCTTATTGGGTTTCTCTTTCAATTTGGCTTAATCGACGCATATATTAGTAATGCAGAGTCGATAATCTCCTCAGCCAGAGTTTAATGACAGTGAGTGAAAACTCTGGAACAGTGAGTTTTTCCAAGAGTTAATTTTCTTCGGAAAAAAATGTGCATCTCGATACACCTCACCAGTTCGTTATTCTGGTGAGGTCACTTATTCGATGCAATAGTTACACAGCAAAGTAATATTGCTCCTTGTCATAGTGAGACAAGAAGCAAGCAACATAGTGCTTTGCTACATCTTTAGGTAAAATCTGATCCTGATGCCATTCGTCACTTTAAATACTCATACCCTTTCCTAATAGTTTTTTTTTTCCTATTTTTCTACTTCAGAGAAAGTGTGATGGCAAGTATACTTTTTTTTTTTAATTCACTTCAATTTTTTTTCGTGGTCTTTCTGATTTTCTTGTGCTAGTGCAGTGGACCCAGAGCCGTATCAGTGATTGATTCCTCGTCTGAAAAACTGGGAGGAGCGAAGGTAGTTGCAATAGCTGTTGTTCCCGATGAAGTGGAAAGAATCAAAGACATTCTTCAGAAATGGAGCGATGTTGATGAAATAGATCTCATTCTTACACTTGGTATATAAACATTTAGTTACTTTTCGTAAAATTGGTCTATTGTTTGAGTCATATTTTGATGTACTTCTTGCAACTAGGTGGTACTGGCTTCACTCCAAGAGATGTAACACCTGAAGCAACGAAAGAAGTGATCGAGAGAGAAACACCTGGTCTTCTCTTTGTTATGATGCAAGAGAGCTTAAAGGTAAAGACTTACCCTACCTCTAGGGATGTTCAATCTGGATAAACTGAACCGATACATTATGAAAACCCAATTGAGAGTTAATATGGTTGGAATCCTATACACGGAAAACCGAATCTGATCGGGACCAAACTGAAACTGTACTGAAACAATCCATAACATATTTGGTTTTGGTTACTATTTTCCCACACCGAAAACTAAAAACCCAATTTGAACATGGTTGCTTTTCTCCATCATGGAAAAGAATGGCGGTGAGTAGTTATCTGATTCTCTGTCCTTTTCCTCTGTGAGCAGATCACGCCATTTGCAATGCTCTCACGCTCTGCAGCAGGAATTAGAGGCTCAACACTGGTACAAATCTCTAAAGTTCACATTGGTATTATCTCGAAGTTGTCATCACACTCACGTTTCTAGGTTTTTTGATCTCTCAGATAATCAACATGCCGGGGAACCCAAACGCAGTGGCCGAGTGTATGGAGGCCCTGTTACCAGCGTTGAAGCACGCTCTGAAGCAGATCAAAGGAGACAAGAGAGAGAAACATCCAAAGCACATACCTCATGCAGAAGCCACCGCACCGACTGATACATGGGACCGAAGCTATAAGTCGGCCTATGAGGGAGAAGAGACGAGAGAGGCTGGTTGTTCATGTACTCACTGAATCTTCCCAACTTCTCCGCTCAGTGAAATTCAAGTGACTGTGTAAAACTTTTGATAAATTTTGTAACATGAAACCCAAGTATATGGTGGGAAGAGCATTGTTGTAGCTTTGTAATAAGGGGTCTACTTTGTGTAAAAAATGCATTGCTCCTAATGTGGAAAACAAAAATTGTGTCAGAAATATCTGCAACTTACTTCTACAGTAATACCATGGTTATTTTGCAAATAGCTTCTCAGATTAGTACTGTAAATACCTCAAAAATACACATACTCATATACACGTATAATTAATACTACTAGCTGTTATATTTCAGTCTGGATGATTGTAAATTTTCAATTTAGTTTTGGTTTAGAAATGTTCTTGGGATTTTAATTTTGGGTATGTCTTACAAAAATTCTTCTATACTTGTGAGTGTCCATCTTCCCCGGACAGTGAACAGAAATAATAGGAGCAGTTTGAAAGAGAAAGTATAAAAATGGGTCAGCTCGCTCTTCAGCGACTCCCGCCGTTGGCTTCGCTTCCAAGACGCCCTCCTTCTCTTCCACCACCGTCTTCGGCTTCTCCGTCCCTCCCTTGCGCAACCGCCTCTCGCCGCCCCAGATTCTACGTCGCCAGGTTTTTCTTCTATTTCCCTCGGATTTTTTTTTTTTTTTTTCTGTTTGTCTTCTTCTGTTGATGTGTTTGCGTCTCTACTTATTTCGGTTTGTGGATTCACAACTCAATCAAGGAATCATGAATTCTCAAATTCAATTAAGGAATTATGTTACCATAGGTTGTTTCTTGTCATCCATTTGTATCAGCATCCAAAAATTTCCTGATGTTACACGTTTGATGAATTTTCCCATCTTGTTTGTGACGAAATAGAGCAATGTCATCGCACATTGTTGGGTATCCCCGTATTGGGCCGAAGAGAGAGCTTAAGTTTGCATTGGAGTCCTTCTGGGATGGGAAAACCGGTGCTGAGGAATTGCAGAATGTTGCTGCTAACCTGAGAAACTCCATATGGAAACACATGGCTGATGCAGGAATCAAATACATTCCCAGCAACACCTTCTCATACTATGATCAGATGTTGGATACCACAGCGATGCTTGGTGCTGTTCCCCCTAGGTATGGTTGGGAAAGTGGTGAGATCGGTTTTGATATTTACTTCTCCATGGCACGCGGAAATGCTTCTGTTCCTGCTATGGAAATGACCAAGTGGTTTGATACAAACTAGTAAGTAACGAATCCTCTTTCTTTCCCTGTTTTTAAAATGTTTTTCTCAGTTATAATGCTGATAGATGCTCTAACAGCCATTACATTGTTCCTGAGTTGGGTCCTGATGTCAAATTCTCCTATGCATCTCACAAGGCTGTGGATGAATTTAAGGAGGCAAAAGCAGTAAGTGTGGCTGGAACTTTATCACCTATTTTTCCCGGAATAGCTTTTTTTTTTGTCCCCCAAGTGTCTTATTCACAGCTGTGCTTTTGGCTGTTCATGTCACAGCTTGGCATTGACACAGTTCCTGTGCTCATTGGGCCCATCACCTACTTGCTCCTGTCAAAACCTGCAAAGGGTGTTGAAAAATCATTCTCCCTTCTCTCTCTGATCGACAAGATTCTTCCTGTCTACAAGTAAGGATATTTCGAGGCCATCTGCTAGGTTTTTGAAAGTTAGCTAGGTCAAAATGAACTCAAAAGAAATCAGTTTCATTTGGATAGTGCTTGAAACCTTAACTGGTTTCTGTGGCATTTGTTTTGTCAGAGAAGTTTTGGCTGATCTCAAATCTGCTGGTGCACGATGGATTCAGTTCGATGAGCCTATACTTGTGATGGATCTTGACACCAGCCAGTTGCAGGCATTTTACGATGCCTACTCACACATGGAGTCATCTTTGGCAGGCTTGAATGTTCTTATTGCCACATACTTTGCCGATGTTCCCGCTGAAGCGTACAATACATTAACGTCTTTGAAATGTGTAACTGGGTTTGGATTTGACCTCGTTCGTGGTTTGGAGACTATTGATTTAATCAAGGTAAATTTTCCTCGTGGAAAGCTACTATTTGCTGGAGTTGTGGATGGGAGGAACATTTGGGCGAATGATCTTTCTGCTTCAATCAAGACACTACAGACTCTTGAAGACATTGTTGGAAAAGGTGTCAGTAAAATGATTGCTTTCACTGATTTTTCCTACTGAGCTTCAGAATGATGTAAACCCTCCTCTTCTCTTTGCAGAAAAACTCGTGGTTTCTACTTCTTGCTCTCTACTCCATACGGCCGTGGACTTGGTGAATGAAGTTAAACTTGATAAAGAGCTAAAATCATGGCTTGCATTTGCTGCACAAAAGGTCGTTGAAGTGAATGCACTTGCCAAAGCGTTCTCTGGAGCTAAGGATGAGGTACATCTTTGTTTATTACATTAGGCACAACTTTTGAGGAATATTATCTTTGAACTTGCTGTAAGCTCTGCGTTTCTAATTCTAGAGGGTCTTTGAGTTATAATTTTTTCCCACGGTTGAAGTTATCGGCTTAAAACGTATGTTTGTATGACTGGAACTACATCGATGCCCAATGAATTTATATCCCATATACTGGACTTTGACCCGATCTCATGGATCATTGCTGTAACTAAGTTTTTATTTGATACAGAAGTAGTAAACTGTGAGCTTTGTATTGTCTTGGTCCCTTTGTAGGCATTGTTTGCTTCTAATTCCATGCGTCAAGCTTCTAGAAGATCATCTCCAAGGGTGACAAATGCAGCTGTACAACAGGATGTAAGGGGTTTTCCAAAAAAATTCTCCATCACATTTTGTAACCTGGACTTATATCTTTATTACTTTCTTTCTCAGGTTGCTGCACTAAAGAAATCTGATCACCGCCGTTCTACAGAAGTAAGTGTTAGGCTACAAGCCCAGCAGAAGAAGTTAAACCTTCCTGCTCTTCCAACAACTACAATTGGATCTTTTCCTCAGACGACGGATCTCAGACGGATACGCAGGGAATGCAAGGCCAAAAAGTAGTCCTATCTAATGCGATGATGTATCTGAAAAATTCTAACATGTCATTATTCTAATACTCATGCAACCGCTGCATTTGCAGGATATCAGAAGTTGAATATGTCCAGGCTATCAAAGAGGAATTTGAAAAGGTTGTCAAGCTTCAAGAGGAGCTTGGGATTGATGTATTGGTGCATGGGGAGGCAGAGGTGGAAATATACTGAAACTTAGGTTTATTATTCGAACTATTCCGTTGTTTACCCCCTTGATATGCCGTAGTCTTGCAGAGAAACGATATGGTGGAATTTTTTGGTGAGCAGCTGTCTGGATTTGCGTTCACAGCGAATGGGTGGGTCCAATCATATGGGTCCCGCTGTGTCAAGCCACCTATCATTTATGGTGATGTCACCCGACCAAAGGCAATGACTGTCTTCTGGTCGTCAATGGCACAGAAAATGACTCAACGTCCTATGAAAGGGATGCTCACTGGCCCTGTTACAATTCTCAATTGGTCCTTTGTTAGAAATGACCAGCCCAGGTGTGACAACTAAGCCTAGCTAGTTCTCATTCACTCTATATGGTGTTCCGTTTCACCATTATTGTTGTTTATAGGCATGAGACATGTTTCCAAATAGCACTTGCCATCAAAGATGAGGTTGAGGACCTTGAGAAGGCTGGCATCACTGTTATTCAGATTGATGAAGCTGCATTAAGAGAAGGATTGCCTCTCAGGAGATCCGAGCAAAACTTTTATCTAGACTGGGCCGTCCACGCATTCAGAATCACAAACTGCAATGTACAAGACACTACTCAGGTCATATTCGTCTCACTTTATTGCTCGCTTCCACTCAAAAGAATTATTTTACCAATATGTTGAGGGTCATGTTGTTTCCGCCATTTTCGTAGACAATGAAAAACGACAAAATGGAACTTGATATCAAGATGAAGGATGTGAAACAATGACTGATTTATGGAAGAGAACTAATTTATTCATGCTCGCCTTGTACTTCATGCAGATTCACACCCACATGTGCTACTCAAATTTCAATGATATCATCCACTCAATCATAAATATGGATGCTGATGTGATCACTATTGAGAACTCACGGTCCGATGAGAAGCTCTTATCAGTCTTCCATGAAGGAGTGAAATACGGTGCCGGAATCGGTCCAGGGGTTTATGACATTCACTCTCCTCGTATCCCATCTGCTGAAGAAATAGCTGAGCGTATCAACAAGATGCTAGCAGTTCTGGACAGCAAAGTCCTTTGGGTGAACCCTGACTGTGGCCTAAAGACGCGGAAGTACTCTGAAGTTAAATCGGCACTTAGCAACATGGTTGCTGCTGCCAAGCTAATCCGCGCTCAGCTAAATAAGCCATAAAGCCTTTCCTCAAGTAAGTTTGCTCATAGTACCACTTTCTTCTCCCTCTAAAATCTAAATATTTTATTTATAACAGTTGGTTAGGTTATTAATAGAATTTCTTTATCAGTGCCTGGAAAGAACTTTGCCACGACGGATGCATCAAGCCTCATCGCTTTTCATCATATTTTGTAGAATTTCTCCACTTTTAGGCTTTTAGCAGTTCGTGTAGGTTGGTACTTATTCTATATTTCTGATTGTTTTCATCAATTCTAGTAAAAGTTTCTGTCTCAGGAAATTCATTATACTAAAGACTAATTAAATAATCTGTAAAATGGAGCGTTTCTCATTTTATCGTTACACATTTGTACAGACATGTAGAAGGGGAATTAGCAAATATTATTTATTTTCTGCATGAGCAAAGGTTATACATCATGAGACGCAAATGTAAGGGTCACTCATTCCTCAAGTTTCCACACAAGGGTTGAACGTACTGCATTTCTAGCATACAGTAGGATTAGCAAAACCAATGAAATCGAAGCAGCCAAATTGCAAAGTAACTGCCTTTTGTTCTTAGCTTCCTTAACCACATTTCCAGTTGCCTCTTTGTACTTCTCGAACCATTTCGCTCCAACTTTGTCTTTGTCCTCATCCTTGGAACTCAAAGGTCCTTTAGGCTCGCCAATCGATTCCTTTTTGCCAGTCTGTACTTCCCTTGCTTTTTGATGTGCATCATGTTTCAGCTGTTCGGTTTTACCACCGCTCGGCTTCTCAACCGTTGCTTTTGAACCCTGGCCATGTTTTTTCTCATGTTGGTCATGTGGTTTCGTGATCACCGGTGGTTTTACGGGTGATGGTGGCTTAGTTTGAGGGATTTCTGTCTTGACTTTGGGATGTCGAATGTAGAGTTTGTTATCCTTGAACATAGCTGAAACCGAGTCGATGTCAGCTGTCAAAGGAACGGGAATTTCCTGGTGGAAGCGAATCCATTTGTTTCCACCAGTTGGTCGTTCTCCAGTTAGTCTTAGCTTCCTTGTTGCGGTGACCGCCACCTTTAGCTGTTCTTTCTTGAATCCTAACCATAGAAGACGATGCTTATGAGCTTAGTTGCTTTTACCAAACCATTTCTCTCTCTATTCCTTATGTTTGATGTAGAAAAAGGAAAACGAATAAACAAGATTGAGAAGAAGAAGAAGAAAGCGAACCTGGAAGATCAGCGACAAGGACCTCAGCGTCTGGTTCAGAGGTCCATCTAGTTGCAGGCTCAAATTGTTGGTAAACCCGTTCCGTTCCAAAGTTAGCCATTCTCTCTCACTTTCTCTTTTCTATGTGGTTGCTCTGTTTTTCTTTGGCTTATAAGTAAATGTTTTTATGTTGTGAGAAAGCAGAGAAAGATCTCTATGATTTTATAGGCAAAGAAGATTATTAGACAACAAAGAGTTTTGTGATTTGGTTTTAGTTTGAAGGAACGAAGGCTTAATTCTTTGGGTTTTCCACTTCCTCTTTTGTCTTCTTTGAGTTTTCTTTGTCTTGAAGATTTTGATGATTCTTTGGATTTGGTTTAAAATTAAGTATCCCTTTTCATTTGTAAATTAGAGAGTATTAAGGTGTGGAATAATTAAATTTATTATACTATTTACTATTCTAATATGAGAAGACGTTGTCTTATACACATGCAATGTTGGATGATGATGAATCCAAACACCAACACCACCATAGTCATGGTCACAATTTTCTGAAATTATTATCTACAGAAGGAATCTTTTTTTTTATTTGGTTAAACTATGTATAAATATAATTTTGATATGAAAAGTGATAAAGATTTTTATAATAACAAAAACAGAAGTTAAAAAGGTTCTCTCAGTTTATACATGGTGCAGCTTACTACAGAAACCGGTTTATTATAATCCCAAACATTGTTATGCAATCATAACATTGTTGCAAGCACTTAAAAGTTAATACCAACAAAAACAGAGCAATTATAATCACATATCAATACACACAAACACAAGCTATCAAAAGTTCTTCCTCTGCTGGACTTTCCATTCCAAGTATTTCTCGACGACATCGAGTCCACAAAACTCCTTCACAACAGGCATTGTCGCTGGAACAGGCAAATCAAAGGTCAGATCAATCCCTTGTTGGTTATTACTCCATGTCTGAATCTGTTTCTTGGCTTCTTTAACAGCTGCTCTGGCCGCGCAGTGAACCGAAGCCGCCAAAAGCAATGGCGGTTCACCCGAAGCTGTATCAAAGCCAAAAAACAAAAGTTTGAAAAAAGACTTTGGAGTTTTCATCTTTTGGATTTCACTAAGAACATAAAGAGAAGTCAAGTCACCTTTGGATGAAAGAACACGGTTCTTGTGGTGTCCACTGTTGAGAATCTCGACATTAAACTGTCTTGGGATTGTGTCGACCGTTGGGATCTTGTAAGTCCACGTGCTGTCTGTTACTATGAGACCGTCTGAGTTCATTAGGTACTCTTCAAGCATGAAGAACCCAAGTCCTTGAACAAATGCTCCTTCAATCTATGGTTTACCATGAAACAGAACAAAACAACATTACAAATCCAGATCCACAACAGAAACAGACACACATAGAGTAGTTTCACGGGTTTAACCTGTCCTAAATCCACAGCCGGATTGAGACTTTTCCCACAATCATAGATAATATCTGTGCGCAAAACTGTTGTTTCTCCCGTCAAAACGTTAACTTCAACCTGTTGATTACAACCAAAGAAGAGAAACTTTTTCATAAAAATGCAAGTAAGCTAAGAGGAGATATTCTTCAATGTTTGGAGCTTTACCTCGCTCGCTGCAACTCCATAGTTAAGGTATCCGCCAGTGGAGACATCCGGCGAGTATAAGCTACTAACCGACAGGTTTACCGATTGTTGATAAGCCTACACCAGAAAATTCAAGAATAAAAACCGTTCTCAGTCCACTCATAATAACCAGAGAACAAGAAAATGATGAATGTTTGTCAAGAGTATGGACCTGACTGATGATGTTATCCCAAGTCACAGGTCCTCCTGTTTTCTCCACCAAAGAGTTATTGACTGGTAAAAGCCTTTTGACTAACCCATCGCAGCAAGCCCTAACCGCTTCGCTGCTGGCCTCAGAGCTTGTGCTACCACCAGTTACTGAGCCTTGTACCAAACTCAATGTGTCGGATTGTATGACCCTGATCTTCTTGAGAAGCTCATCGCTTGTAGTACCGCACTGGATCAGTCCAAGTGAAAATGCAGCCATCTGTTTCACCTTTGTCCATAGCCCTTGTCCTATCTCAATCCCTGGAACCTCAACCACTACTGACCCGTCGCTCAATATACTTACTCTTCCCGGTGTTGATCTCATAGCCACTCCATAAATCGCAGGCACACGCGAGATCCCTCTCTTTCTCCACATGTTTGTTGCGTTAAACTCCTCAACCACCTTCCTCCTCTCGTTAAACCTCGAGAACTCAGCGAGTTTGTCCCAAAGCAGTGGTAACGTGTACTCGGGAGACTCACCAGCTTTGGCACTGTGAAACAACCTTAAGCTCTCATATGTATGGAGATTAACCTTCCTGATCTCATCCACGTCAATGGAGAGATATGAGGCTACTTTCTCGATGATGGCTTCTCCTATATACGATCCTTGTACATCCCCTGGAGCTCTAACCGCGGTTCTGCTCACGGTGTTTGTTTTGCATACTTTCACGTCGAAAGAGAGAGCACCCCAATCATACTTCATCATTGCTCCTTGTATCGCTGATGGCATAAGCGGGCTTATATCTTCACTTATCCCTGCATCAAGTAGCAATTCTAAATCCAAAGCAGTAATCTTTCCATTGGATTTGAATCCAACACTGTACGTTATTTTCATCGGATGTCTTCCTCCGGTAGTTATCATATCCGTTTTCCTGTTCACATATGTCCTCACTGGACGCTGCATTTTGGATGCTGCTAGTGCACAAGCTGCAGCAACCTACAAGACGTTGTTGCATAGTAAGCAAAAATGTTAAAACTAAAAACATCAAATACTCAAGTAACACACTCGAGAGTGCTTTCAAAAATGCGAACTCACGGGCATTGATTTCATGACTTTCCCACCGAATCCACCTCCAACTCTTCGAGTAATGACGCGGACATTATGCTCAGGAACTCCAAGACATCCAGCGATGGTTTGATGTACATACTCGGGAGCTTGAGTCGAGCTATAAACCACCATACAGTTGTCTTCATCCGGCACTGCAAGAGCCGTTTGTGTCTCCATATAGAAAAAGTATTGTGACCCGAAACTTATCTACATAAAAAACCGCAATCACAAAAGATTAGTATGATGATTAGTAGATAAGAGCAGGGCTTGAGAGGCATAAAGGAACCACCTTTGATCCAAGAATCTTATGTTCAGCTTCAGCCATTCCCTTAGAGATATCACCGACCGATTTACAACGTAGAGGTGGAGGGACCGTGAAAAAGCTTGATTTTTCGACTGCTTCTTCTAAGGTAAGTATAGGCGGCTCCAAATTCTCAGTGTCATAATCAATCACAACAAGATTTGCTGCAACATCTGCATGCTTTTGACTATCTGCAACCTGCAGGTAAAACCACATTATATCTAAGTAACATAAATGCTTCATAGAAAAAAAGAGAATTCTTCACCAGACTTACCAAGAAAGCGATTATCTGACCCGCACAGTTAGTTATTTCTTCAGCGAACAAAAGATCCGAGTTAAAGAATTTGGTACCGATATTTCGCCCGCCTTTGGGGATATCTTTGTAGGTAATTATACCAAGAACTCCTTCTGGAACTCTGTTTTCCTTGAACCTTATACTCTTGATCCGAGCCAGAGGCATTGTACTGTAGATGATTGCTCCGTATAGACAATTATCCGGAGAAGGAATGTCGTCTACATACACAGCCTCACCAGATGCTTGGAGACAAGCTCCAGACTTTACAATGCCTTTCCCGACCGGACTATATTCTTGATTTTCAACTATCTGTTGTGAAGATGACAACATAGCTTCAGGTCTTTTCAAAGACTCAACTTTCTGATCAAAGCCAATCTCTTTGCATCCTCCATTGACCCACCCGTTTGTAGCTTTAGCGTTTGTTTGAGTTAAAGAACCAAAGAACTCGAAGAGAAAAGCAACAGCCAAGCTTGATCTATATCCGGCATGAGAAGTACCCTTATCAGGTACTATCTCATCTTTAAGCAAGCCAATAGCTTCCATCAAAACCTCATCAGATATCACTTTTCCTGCAAGAAAGTCTTCGACTTTCCTCGCCCTGTGTGCGTGTTTTGTCCCATAAGCACCAAAAGCTAACAGGCAATCATGTACAACGATGTTCCTATCACTTAAGGAAACTTCAGCTGAGAAAGCAGCATTCATAAATGCCAATGCATTCCCTAGAGGACGTGGCGCTGCTCTGTAAGTCTCAAAGAGAAGATGAGTATCCGAAGAAGAAGAACCATTCTTCTTCATCATGGGCCGCCAAGAAGGGATCTCGACGCTCAAAAGAAGAGATTTGGTTTCAAGAGGAGGCTGTTGAAGAAACTCTTCCAAAGTAAACTGTTCTTGACCCGAGCCGCCACTACTCATGATCTTCACGTTAGCTCGAGCAGCAACAAGTATGGTCGTGAGATCTGACGGAAACTGTTTCCTCTGCGCCATCATGATGTTTCCTCCTATCGTTCCCGTGTTCCTCACGAATCTACTAGCAATTTTCTCCATATGAGCCGCGATTTTCGCAAGCATAGAAACATCTCCTTTCTCTCTTAGAAACTCAATAGCTTTCGAGATAGTAACAGCAGCTCCTAACTCAATTCCTTTATCATCTCTTCTCACCACAATGAGCTCAGGAATCTTTCTTATATCGAAAAATCTTTCGTATCTTCTCTCCTTTTCTTCTTTGTAATAACCGGTACTCGTGTTACCCGCAACTAACTTAACCGCCACTCCATTTTCAACCTCTAGTAACCCTTGAAGCTCCGAGACACTAACCGGGCTAGACCATCTGTACTTTCTTGGATCAAGATTCATATCAATCTTGATTTCCTTCTTCAAGAACTCCGGAAATGTAGAGACTTGAGATGATATATTATGATCATAACAAGGCAATCTTGCTAAAACCCCATCTCTGTTTTCTCCCTTCTTGCAAAAGGAGTTGTATCCAAGATCTTCGATATCCACATCCGATGCAAAACTCTTACAAGCGTCAACGAGCGGTCTGTATCCGGTACACCGGCATAGATTCCCGGACACAGCCTTCTCGGCTTCTGCAGCGGTTAGGTTAGAGAAACCGTTGCTGAGAGGTGGTAGAGACTTATCAGCGTTTAACAGAGCGGAAAACATGGAAACGCTCATCCCTGGTGTGCAGAAACCGCACTGTGTGGCGTGAAAACCGGCGATGCGCTCGTGGACCGCGTGGAACCCGACTCTGCTGTTCCCAAGGCCTTCTGAGGTGGTGATGGAGCAGCCATCGATGCTGCAGAGTAGCGTGAGACACGAGCTGACTGTGAAGTCCTCGACTTTTTCGAGCAATGGATCATACTTTGAAAGAAGAACTACACAAGCGCCACAACCACCTGCGTCCAGAGAAGATGTATGTTTACTTAGAACACAAAAGCCAACCGCAAAAGAGACCACAAAGAGGATTTATAAGGAAGTCTTTTCCAAATAGAAGCACAACCTTTTAGAGGTGTTATTTTATTCATGGAATTATCAAAGAGACCATAACTATAAACGCAAACCATTGAAAATCTTTTTATTTTTCATTTGTTATGGGATCTGATACTGAGGATTAAAATATTGTTGAACTGTTCGTATATTGAAAGATTGAAATGAATTCATATTAAATTTTATGTGTAAACTATATAAAAATTTTGAAATTAAAAAACTAATACAAGGTATAGTGACAATGATTTTGTTGTATTCACACATGAATTCACTCGATTATTAAATATGTGAAGTAAAATCTGCTTTTAACTGAAAAAAGTAACGCCAAAATGAGACAGATGTTAGACCAAAAAAAAAAAAAAATCAAATCAAACAGATAAACTGGCGTTTGCAATTTACACTATTTGACTATTTGTGGAATATTTTTACATATACAAGAGCCGAGCCAATTATCTGTTTGATTTTTCGGGCGTTACTTTTGCAATTAATCTTTAATCAGAAAGTCCTAATCAGAATCTTAAATCAGAGTCCTCTGAAATCTAAATGCCTTTTTAACCAAAAAAAAAAACATAGTCTTAATCGAATTAGTCTCTAATCTTCCAAGTTTTACTCTTCAATTTAATCTTTCAAGTAATCGGACATAGAATCCGAGGCAAAAACACAAAACATCAAGCTTCCAAGCTTCCTACATAGACTGCAGATTTAATCAGACTTCTTGGAGTTTGTTAGCAGGGAATCTCTCTAAAACTTTCGTTATCTCAAAAACATGAAGTCAGAGAGTTAACTTTGATTATAGGACAACTGTGAAAAATGTTTTATTTTCTGAATTTTTGTTACATAGAAATGCATGCGCAGAAATTAGTGATCAAAATCGAATCAGAAAAATACTCAATCTAATCTTTACAATATCATCTACTCTGTAGTTTAATCTCTCAAGTCTCAAGTAAGCACCGCACATAGATAGAATCCGAGGCAAGAACACAAAAACATCCAAAAGAGCTAAATCTTCCTACATAGACTGCAGATTTAATCAGATTTTCTAGGAATTTTTTCCTTCTTCTTGGGACTTATGTGGTTATTTCCAAAAATCTTGTTCTCCGACCAAAAAAAAAAAAGACTCGAGAACATGAAGATAAGGAGAGTTAACTTTGATAAAGTGTATCATCGTACCTTCGCCACAACCAAGTTTGACGCTCTTGAAACGAGTCTTGTTGCGCAAGAAATCGACGAGAGTGGTTGAAGGATCAAGGGAAGAGAGCTCGAGCTCGAATCTTTCTCCATTAATGGCGAAAACCAGAGAGGTCTTGCTCTTCATCGCTTCTTCTTTTTCTTCACACCTTTTCTCACCCACTGATTTGCTCTCGGTTTGATTCTCACTGCTTTCAGAACAAACCAAATTTTATTTATACGACATAAGTTTTCTCCCGGTTTAGTGTTGACGTTGAATTTTTTTCCGGTTGGTAAGTGACTGTAGTCTGTACAAGAATACGCGATAGGATTCGTGTAATCGTGTCCATCAATACATTTTTATATTTAAATAATCTCCTGACCAAAGTATCTTTGTCTTTATATTTATATACTATATATTGTTTTGTATAAAAATATTGGTACCGCTAACGTATTGGGATAAATTACTGAACGATAATGCTAATAACTACATTAAATATATGAAAATAGGGTTCGCCATCATTTGTTTGGTTTGATTAAGGAACCTTTAGACTAATCAAACTTGTTTGCCCCAAAAAAGAAGAATAATAATCATATTTTTACCTGTATTTTCTTATCGTTTACAAATTGTATACATACTTTACTATATTTGAATCTCCAATATCTTGATCTGAATGATACAGTATGGACTTATGGTTATATGTTATAACATTACTAAGATTTAAGTGCCACTTGACAAATTAAAAATAAATAAATAAGTGCGGCCGTGCGGGCCAACTAAACTTGCTACCTTTTCTCTATAATTAGAAAAGTTTAACGTGACACAAAATAGATAAATAACTGGGAAAAATAAAGATAACTGAGACATAAATGCCACTAGACTATATCATTTGAAAATGTTTTTCTTTTTTTCTTCTAAGTTAGAGATTTAAACGATAATCTAAACAATAACGCCGCTCTTGTGAAAGAAATTGGGTGATCAAGGATCAGTAGAAATCAAGGGAAACTCCTAGAAGGCTTGAACGTATGAATCCAAGAGCTGAATTATTAAGGTGCAGTACAGGGTGGCGCATCAGACGGTGTGGTTTTTGGGAAAGGCGACCCCACGAATATCTTCCCGAATCATGACTTTTTAACAACACAAAGTGCTTCTGAAATTGAAGTGTCCCACTGCTACTATTATATTGCCACTGGATATAATAACATATTATCATAATAGGTCAGTCTCTAAGTGTGGAACACTGTTGAATTATGGAACCTAATCTCTGTCACTCTGTGTGACATATCACGTTGATATTGACTTGGAGAAATAGGTGGGACAGGCAAAAACACTCATCAGGATGCACCTTCTTTTTTTTGAGAAAATGTTTCCATGAGTGCACCCCAAAAAAAAAAAAAAAAAATGATTCAAGAAGACCAAGGAAGCATTATTACACTCATCAGGGTGACACTTTGCTATCATAGAAAATGATTCAAGACTAAGGTCCTATAATGAGTTAGTTTTATTACCACGCCGAGCCTAAACTCAATATTTAGCTCACTCATATCTATGTTTACATTCTTGTGGAACGTATTTAATACGTTTTATTCGGATAATATGACCTGATTACTTTACCCAAGACTTTCAACCTTTTCCATTTCTCTACTTTTGAATATTGAACATTCAAGTGCACACAATCCCTTTCAAACATTAGATAATGAATTTTTCAACTTTGTTGAAAATGTATGGTGCATGCATTTAAAAATATGTCGAAAAAGAAAAAGAGATAAAACCCACGATTATTGATTCGCGAAAAATCTTATATGGATATTTAAATCTCTTGGAAAAAATTAATATTTTGTGTTTTTTTCAAGAATATAATTTTTGGATATTATTAAAAAAATTATTTTTTCAACTTTGTTGAAATGTTTCATATTTAAATATGTGAGAAAGACAAAAGCCCACCATGATTTGTTCATGGAAATCTTGTACGAGTCAACGAGTGTCTAAAATTTCTTGGAAATTAAAGAATTTTACAGATATCATTTTTTGACTACATTAATACGAAAACAGTACATATAGGATTTTTTAAAAGTCCACCCAAAAGACTATTCCTTCACCCAAGTAAGTAAACCACTTTTAATCTGTTCTGCACATGTTAATGTTTTCAACAGAATCTTCTTTGCCACCTAATTGATGATGTCTTATAATTATTTTTCAGTCAACTATTTGACAATTCGTATCAGATAATAAACACAAGAAACACCACAAAAAGACATATCATAACCTTTAGATATTGGTCAACTGTCGCATTGTATTTTGATGCGACGACTCTGGTGGAAAAGTAGTCAGAGCAGCCGAAATAGAATTCAGGGTTAGCATTTAGCACTCTAGCAGTAGTAATATGGTCTAGAAGGGACCAAAACTATACACAATTAAACGATAGAGTCGTGCTAACCAAAGCCATGCATGAGATTTTTTTAACTACAAGCGAGAAAAAAAATTTGACTCCTTAAAACTCTTCTTAATGCAGCTTATCCCATAAATAATTGGCAAAAAGAATAAAAAATGAAAGATATGCGCTTGGAAAGAATTGAATTCAGTTAAACTTCAAACCAAACATTCTTTCACCTATTCACAAACCATTTGGACTAACTTAAACTTTAAAAAATTGATCCCAAAAAAAATATTTAACTGAAGCACATGCTTCATTATACAGATGTTACACTTGAATTATTGATGCATCGGAGACATGTCTTCATTCAAGATCGAAGAAAATTAAACGCAAAAAACGCTTATTTATAGACATCAGGTTTTTAAGATCCCAATTAGCAATTAGGTACAAGTTTCATTAACCTAATGATCAGCCCATTAGAGATTATGTATAGGTTAGGCCCATCAGAAATTATTTACGCCCACTAAAGGATTAAGGATTCAATATCCAACAAAACTCTGGGCTGACAATCGGAGGTCTTGTTGCAGCATACGATTGGATTGGCTTCGGTTTTCATCAGTCACACTACGAGCTATTACTGAGGATCCTAAGTATTAAAGTTTATTTGTCATTCTTAAGTCTTAAACCTAAGACACGTTAATTTTAACCAGTAGTCCAAATTTTTTTTTGTACAATAGGAATCAAAATTAAAATGAGAAATTAAAGGGCATAAGTTCATACTTGAGGAAAATTGGTTTCAGAACCGGTTCTGACGTTATATCCCCAAATAAACATTTTTCAATGCAATAACTATTGATACAACTTCAAAACTTTGATTGATATGATTTTTGATACTCTGTTTTATATTTACTCAGTCTTCTAAACATTGAAATTATTTGTTATATCTTTCATTAGAAGACAAAAACTCTTTTTGCAAGAAGAAGACAAAAACTTTATTTTAAACACCAAAAACCCAATGATTCCCTCTCACCAAGACAAATAACCAATCAATAAAATGACAATAAAATGACTAATAACATCATGCACAAGTGTTGATTGGAAAAATGAAAATTAGAAACTTCGTTATATCATCCTAAAAAGAAAGTCAACAATCTCTAAGAAAAAAAAAATCACATTCAAAACATCATATTATCTTGGAATAAAGAAAAAAAAAAGAGGGAGAAATTGTAGGCGTTAGATGGGATCTGGAAAGCAAAATGTGACCGTTTGGAGTGTAACGTGCTTTACCTGGGACCTCCAAGCATCTTAACACGATTTCCTATAATGATTGACGCAAATAGTCGTTAGTCTATAGCAAATTATATCTTTTATCGTTTTATTTTTATCTTTCTTATACAATATATCATATCATTAGTTCTCTGTTTTGTCCGTTGCAGTAACTAATCAATACCATGTTATTATGTATTTGTGTGATTGGATAACCAATATAGTTGGTCGATTAAAAGTCATAGTATGTAGATACAGTCGTACAAATATAAGGAAAACAAATGCTTTTTATGTGTTATTATTTAGTTCATTTACTATAATTTACTTTCATTTTTTTTTACAGCTTGCAGTATATTTTCTCTGTTTCATTATAGTTGATTTTCTATGTTTTTTTTCTTGTTTCATTGATTTCTTATATCTAATTAATGCATATCTCTTCTTTAGATTGAATGATTAATATTAATGCATGTTGTTTTATTCCATTAATATACAATTAGAAAAGAAAAAGTAATAATAAAAATAATGAAATCAGTTGTAAAAGTAACTTAATTAACAAAATAAACAGTAAAGAATTGAGTATTTATATCTTTCTTAATCTGTGTATAAATATTCAGAAAATTAACTATAATGAAACAAGAGGAGTATTATAGCTCATGTTTTATAATGTTCGTCTTGTGATCTTTAATATTTATTATTTATGATCTTTTTTTATAGTTTTTTGCAATTCACGTGATAAGAAAACCCGCATGGTAAGATTTTTTTTATCGGAAATATTTTCAGCCTTACGACATTTGGGTAACATTTTGATATTAAGTCATAGCATAGTTTTGGTCAGAAAAAAGAAAGTCATGGCATAATTGGCATTATATAGTGGTTGTCAATACGAAAATGATGATATGTGACTTGACTTCATTGTCGTCCCACTTTCCTTGCCGAGTTTTAAGACAGACAATTATATCTAGAGATTTCTTAACAAAATTGAGAATATCTTAATTTGTGGATAGTTTTTGGGGATTAGACATAAGTTTTATCCGTAACATGAACATGTGTTTTTTTTAACAAAAACTTTAGGTTTGTGAAAATTAATTCTTATGGAGAAAGAATCTTAAAAAGGAAAAAAAAACAAGAAGGGAGAAATTACGTGGAAAAAAGTAGAGCAACTTTTCAGTGTTTTTATAAACAAGAGACTAGCACGAAGAAGCAGAGCACACTTCTCAAGATCTCACTCTCTCACTCTATCTCGCGTCTATCGTCTCCTAGAGAGGAGAGATTATTCAACAGTTTCAAAACCCAAAGATACTAATCAGAATACAAAGAAAAGTATTAAAACCCCTATTTTGTTCTATCATTTCCTAGACTGTAAGTTTCTTGTTTCGTCTCCTCCAATCGTAAGTTTTATTCCTTTCTTCTTGATTTCAAATACCTTCGCCTGTTTTTGTACCAACACCGAAAAGATTCTTCAGTGGTTTTTAACAACTCATTTAAGTTTCTTCTTGTTTTCTTTATCAGTGTCAATTAAGATCTGACTTTCCAAAAGCTGCCAGTATCTTAAACTTACAAAAGTTTGAATTTTTCAGCTCTTTCGGGTAATATACCTTCTTGAACACAACTAAGTTTTCGGATTTGCGAAGTGTTTCAGTTTTAAAACCAGCTTTGCCTCACTATTCTTCAGATTCTTGTGCTTTTGATATACAATGGAACAGTTCCTCTGAATCTAAGAGCTTAGATCTGATAATTTGCAGTTGAGTGAAAGAAAATGGTGATTCCGAGTAAGGCGTTATGCCTTCTGGTGCTGTGCTTTACCATGGCTGCTACTGCTGCTGGTGGGGGTTCTTTCAAGTACAAGGACCCAAAGCAGCCTATGGGTGCAAGAATCAGAGATTTGATGAACCGTATGACCCTCCAAGAGAAGATCGGTCAGATGGTTCAGATCGAACGCAGCGTCGCAACACCTGAAGTCATGAAGAAATACTTCATCGGTAAGAAGAACAATCCGTGGAGAAGAAGAATATCATCTGTTAAGTGTTCGATGTATTGTCTAACTGAGTGTGACTTTGTTGGGCTTAATGTATGTGTAGGGAGTGTGTTGAGTGGTGGAGGAAGTGTGCCTGCGCCAAAGGCAACTCCTGAAAATTGGGTGAACATGGTCAATGAGATTCAAAAGGCGGCTCTTTCGACCCGCCTTGGAATCCCGATGATCTATGGGATCGATGCTGTTCACGGTCACAACAATGTGTATGGCGCTACCATTTTCCCGCACAATGTTGGCCTTGGAGTTACCAGGCAAGTAGTCCTAGAAGGCCCCTTGTTAACTTCTTATGACAAAGTTGAAATGAATATCTTCTTGTTGAAATTAGTATGGCTATCAAATTAACAACAAGTTGATGTTTTTGTAATCTCTTAGGGATCCTAAGCTTCTAAAGAGGATTGGAGAAGCAACCGCTCTTGAAGTTAGAGCGACTGGAATCCCATATGCCTTTGCTCCATGCATTGCAGTAAGTATATTGAAGCTAACAGTTTGAACAGAAAACTGATCAAGGAACGTGTATGCTTAATATTTTCTGCAATGGGGATATGCTTTGACAGGTTTGTAGAGATCCAAGATGGGGAAGATGCTACGAGAGCTACAGTGAGGATTACAGAATCGTTCAACAGATGACTGAGATTATACCCGGTTTGCAAGGTGACCTTCCTACCAAGCGAAGAGGTGTTCCCTTTGTCGGTGGAAAGTAAGTATCTTTGCCTGTAATAAATAATCTCTGATATGAATTTCGATATTAACTATGAAAAGTGAAAGAAAAAAACTATAAGAAACTGCAATTAAGGCATGTACTCTTGCTATTCTTTGCGGTAAGGCTTTCTTTGTCGAGTAGATTTGGTTAGGATTTGAGTTGCTTTCTGTATGTTTTGAGTCTTGATGATCAAAGTGGGGAAAAGTCTCGGGTCATGATCACGCGTGCTTTCATTTATGTGGTCCTTGCGTGTTAAAAACCTTCTGGATAAGAGATGAACCAATATGGCGATTGTCAAATTACAAGTGCAAAGCCTGCCTGGCAATCTATGATTGGCCAACCCATGTGCTATGTTTGAACTTTATTAGGTTTAGAGTTCAGACAAGTCCTTCATCTGAACAAACCCTGTCCCACTTATTTATATCTTTCACACATTTGTGGGAGATAAAATGAGCATATGTCTCTGAAAACTTTAGTATATTGTTTTTGCTAAATTCATTATAACAATGAATAAATTGATGCATTAGTGTATGACATGAACACAAATTCCATTTGTTTATCGAAATGAGCTTATGACTGTTACAGAACAAAAGTCGCGGCTTGTGCCAAGCATTTTGTGGGAGATGGAGGTACAGTGAGAGGGATAGACGAGAACAACACCGTGATTGACTCGAAGGGGCTGTACGGAATTCACATGCCTGGATATTACAACGCTGTGAACAAGGGTGTTGCAACGGTTATGGTGTCCTACTCTGCTTGGAACGGTTTGAGAATGCATGCTAACAAGGAACTTGTCACGGGTTTCCTCAAGAACAAGCTTAAGTTCAGAGTAAGAAATGATACATGTGGATGCATTTTGATCTTGTGTCTGCTTTGGTCCTAAAAGCTCTTCTTTTTGTGTCTCTGCAGGGCTTCGTCATCTCAGATTGGCAAGGGATTGATAGGATCACAACTCCCCCACATCTGAACTATTCATACTCTGTTTACGCAGGGATAAACGCAGGAATTGACATGGTTGGTCTCGAAAGCAAAACGAACCCACCTTTATTTGGTGTACTCTCCTCGGTTAATTGATTATTTTGCGGCTTTATATTGCAGATTATGGTACCGTACAACTACACGGAGTTCATTGACGAGATCAACAGTCAGATACAGAAAAAGTTGATTCCAATGAGCAGGATCGATGATGCTGTGAAGAGAATCTTAAGAGTCAAATTCACAATGGGACTCTTTGAGGAGCCACTGGCTGATCTCAGCTTTGCCAACCACCTTGGTAGCAAGGTCTGTTGTTATATCCACTGTTACTCATCATTCCAATCGTTATAAAATTATCAGTAAGAAACTGAACAAAACATTTATGCAATTTTGACAGGAACACAGGGAACTAGCTCGTGAAGCCGTGAGGAAATCTCTAGTGCTGCTCAAGAATGGTAAGAAAGGCGATAAGCCGTTGCTTCCTCTGCCTAAAAAGACAGGAAAGATCCTTGTGGCGGGAGGACACGCTGATAACTTGGGATATCAATGTGGTGGCTGGACCATCACCTGGCAAGGCCTTAACGGCAACGACCTCACCGTCGGTATGTTCACTTAGAAAACTTCATGTTACAAAATTTGGACGTAAATTTATCCTGAGTTTGGTTTTATAATGGACAGGTACAACGATCCTCGCGGCTGTGAAGAATACAGTGGCTCCAACCACACAAGTCGTCTACAATGAGAACCCTGATGCAAACTTCGTCAAGTCTGGTAAATTTGACTACGCCATTGTGGTCGTCGGTGAACCTCCTTATGCTGAAATGTTTGGAGACAGCACAAACCTGACCATAAGTGAACCTGGTCCGAGCACGATAGGGAACGTTTGCGGGTCAGTGAAGTGTGTGGTGGTTGTGGTCTCTGGCCGTCCAGTGGTGATGCAGCCTTATGTCTCGACCATCGATGCTCTCGTGGCAGCTTGGCTTCCGGGAACAGAAGGCCAAGGAGTAGCTGATGCTCTGTTTGGTGATTATGGGTTCACCGGAAAGTTGGCCCGGACTTGGTTTAAGTCGGTGAAGCAGCTGCCGATGAATGTTGGCGATCTGCACTACGACCCGCTGTACCCGTTCGGTTTCGGGTTGACCACAAAACCATACAAATCATCGTAGACGTTTTCTTTGGTTCGGAGGCAATAAGTTTAGTTATTGAGCAACAAGGAAAAGAAAGATATTAAAAAGAACCTAAGGAAATAATTTCGATGAACAATTTTTTGGGGTTTAAGGTTGAGATTGTCTGTCTGCGAAACTAGTTATAATTTATAAGTAGCAGATGATTTGAACTAGCTTTTGTTATTCGTCATTATGAATCTGTATTTTGCTTCATAAGATAAAGAACGATTTGGACAAGGAACATGATTATATGATGGGACTATGAGAATATGCCACATGCAAACATGCAGTATTCAAGATCAAGGTCAACGACAAATTATAATAGTTTAGAGCGTTTAGAAAGCAGAGAAAGAAAGAAATCGCACAAAGAAAAGAAAATTTTAACATACTCTATATGTTAATATCATAATATGTATATGGAAAATATAAAAAAATGATTATTCTTCTTAACTATTTGAGAAACAAAGTTATTAAAAGTAATATTTTTAGTATGTTATCTTGCCAAATTATATTTCGGTTTCCGTAACGATTTTATCTCATTATATTCTTATATAAAAAGGAAAAGAGAATCTAATTTATCTTTTGGTGTTCTTAGTCACGGAAATGTTTGTGTCCACATACATATAATCATCTCACAAGCGTAAGTACAATACAAATACAAGAATATAGAAAGAAAAAAAAAAAAAAATTCAACCTCTTATTGCACTTGTCTCACTCCAAACAACAAAATCTGAACCTCTTTATTGATGTTCCTATCTCATTAGGAACATTGTAATATTCATAATCCTCATAAGTGTCTTCGTCGTCACATCGTTTTCTTGTCTTGTCCTTCTCAAACGGACAGTCTTCAGCTATTTTATTGTTAGTAGCCTTACTAGCCTAGTAGGTGTCGAGAGTGAAGGAGAGGCAAAGATGGGGAGTTCGAGTTACTTTCTGTATACGTTAGGGCTTCTCCTGCTCTGCTGTGTGGTGACAGCTAATAAAGAACCACTTGCGAACGCCAAGTATAAGGACCCAACAGAGCCATTGGGAGTCCGAATCAAGAATCTGATGAGCCATATGACTCTTGAAGAGAAAATCGGGCAGATGGTTCAAGTAGAACGCGCCAATGCTACTAGCGAAGTCATTAAAAATTACTTCATCGGTATGATTCTGGACCTTCAAAACGTTCCTGAGATCTATAGGGCTATTAAATTGTCTCAGACTATAATTTTGATGATATTTGACAAAATATAAAATATACAGTAGTAGGAATTTTTAAAATATAACAAAAAAAAATAACATGATTATGTGTCGGCTGAATTTGTATATGTTTTTAAAATCATTCGTGCATGGCTAGGATATATTTTTTATTTCAAAATATTCAAGATGAAATTTACAAGATGAAATTTATGCATTAAAAACGATAATTAGGTCTCTAAGAGTCAACCTAGCTTCGGTTAATCATTATAGTGAACCAGATAATAATTGTAGTTGTTTTTAAAAAAAATTGAATCAAAAAATTTGCTGTTAAAAAAAGTGGGAAGATCAAAGTTTGCTGTTAAAAAAAAAAAACAGAAAGCCGGGACTGGTCTCAGAATTATATGCGCAGGGAGTGTGTTGAGTGGTGGAGGAAGTGTGCCTGCGCCAAAGGCAACTCCTGAAGCTTGGGTGAACATGGTGAATGAGATTCAAAAGGCGGCTCTTTCGACCCGCTTAGGGATTCCCATGATCTACGGGATCGATGCTGTTCATGGTCACAACAACGCCTACAACGCCACCATTTTCCCGCATAACATAGGCCTCGGAGTCACCAGGCAAGTTCTTGTAGAGAATCTCATTCCAAATGAATCCGTTTCTAAACTAGACCCCATCGACATTGTTTTCAAACTGTTGTATTCATCTCTGTTAGGGACCCTGGCCTTGTGAAGAGGATTGGTGAAGCAACTGCGCTTGAAGTTAGAGCGACAGGAATCCAATATGTCTTTGCTCCATGTATCGCAGTAAGTAACATCTGGTCTGAACCAAAGCGGGAAACATAGTTGTTGTGATTAATCAACTTTGAACAGGTGTGTAGAGACCCTAGATGGGGAAGATGCTATGAGAACTACAGTGAAGATCCCAGAATAGTTCAACAGATGACTGAGATCATACCTGGTTTGCAAGGTGACCTTCCCAGAGGTCAAAAGGGTCTTCCTTTCGTCGCTGGAAAGTAAATTTACTATGATGAATCAAAGTATGGCTAAGAAAGCAAAAGATTCATGGAGTTAAACCAATAGAAAACTTGGTAAACTTACAGGACCAAAGTTGCAGCCTGTGCTAAACACTTTGTTGGAGATGGAGGTACGTTGACAGGGATGAACGCGAACAACACGGTTATTAGTTCAAAGGGATTGCTTGGCATTCACATGCCGGCTTATTATGATGCGGTAAACAAGGGCGTTGCAACAGTTATGGTGTCCTACTCGTCCTTGAACGGGTTGAAAATGCACGCCAACAAGAACCTTATCACGGGTTTCCTCAAGAACAAGCTGAAGTTCAGGGTAACTTCAATCATAGAAGAATCCTGCTTAAGCAAAGCATCTAGAAGCATCCCATATGAGATAGATTTTGAATCTCTTTGCAGGGCATTGTCATCTCGGATTTTCTAGGTGTTGATCAGATCACCACACCTATTCATGCTAACTATTCACACTCTGTTTATGCCGCTATCACTGCTGGACTCGATATGGTCAGTCTCAAAACGGTTCCTAGTTTCAAAGATATATAAGCACGCTTGATGTGATTAAAATCATCCGATGCAGATCATGGGTTCATCAAACTTGACCGAGTTAATCGACGAGTTAACTAGTCAGGTGAAGAGAAAACTCATCCCGATGAGCAGAATCGACGATGCTGTGAAGAGAATCTTGACAGTCAAATTTACAATGGGGCTCTTTGAGGATCCCATGGCTGATCGTAGCTTGGCTAACCAGCTCGGTAGTAAGGTCTGTAAAATTGCAGGGACAAGATAAAAACATCAGCTTTCATATAGAGATCCCAAACTCAACATTGGATGTCCCTTTCCTTTAACAGGAACACAGGGAACTGGCAAGGGAAGCAGTGAGGAAATCACTGGGTTGTTGAAGAATGGTGAAAATGCAGATAAACCATTACTTCCTCTGCCAAAGAAGAGCAACAAGATCCTTGTCGCAGGCACACACGCTGATAACTTGGGATACCAATGTGGAGGCTGGACAATCACTTGGCAAGGCCTCAAAGGCAACAATCTCACCATTGGTACACACACAACTTTCCTCTATCTATTCTAGTGATTCATCATCATCATCATCATCATTATCATCATATAGAACACAGAAGACTTTCTAAGACCATTCCAGATTCACTATTTATGTCATTTTCAGTTTGTTCTGATTCCAATATGCAACAACAAATGTCAAAGCAAAGCAAACCAATAAAATCCGGAACTCCAGAAGAGAGCATTACCAATCTGAAATTGAATTTTGCAGGTACAACGATCCTCGCCGCGGTGAACAACACGGTGGATCCGACGACGCAAATCGTCTACAATCAGAATCCAGACACCAACTTCGTCAAGTCCGGCGGCTTCGATTACGCAATCGTAGTCGTCGGAGAGACACCGTACGCGGAGGGATACGGAGACAGCAGGAACTTAACCATAGCCGAACCGGGTCCAAGCACAATCGGAAACGTGTGCGGATCGGTGAAATGTGTAGTGGTGGTTGTGTCGGGGAGGCCGGTGGTGATGCAGCCATACATCGCGAACATCGACGCTTTGGTGGCGGCGTGGCTTCCCGGAACGGAAGGTCAGGGAGTAGCTGATGTTTTGTTCGGAGATTATGGATTCACCGGGAAGTTGGCTCGGACGTGGTTCAGGACAGTGGATCAGTTGCCGATGAACGTGGGCGACCCGCATTACGACCCGTTGTACCCGTTTGGATCCGGGTTGATCACTAACCCAAATAAACAGCCTTTGATCTCATAATTGCTTAGAAAAACAACGCGAAACGATGAAACTGCATCAAACTTGGGCCTTTATAATGAGCGGCTTATGATAAAATGGACTTCGTTTTTCAGATATTTAAATAAACGCGTGTGTATTTATCCCATGGATGGAAGTTTTCGGATGTTGATTGTTTGATAAAAGAAAAATTATAATTAAAATTTTGATAGCCTATGTGATTACGTTGTAAACTAGTAACGTGTTTATGTTCTTAATGAATTTGAACTGTTGTGGGGTTCGTCTCCTCTGAAAATTTCGACATATATATAAAACTCCACAAGACTGGCCTTAATTAGCCTGTCAAGGATTGGGTCGATGAAGTATGAATGAATATTTCGTATGTTTGCAAACTTTGAAGAACCATGATTAAGTAACTAAAAGTAGCATTACTACTGCATGCTCAGTTGAATATATGAAAATAACTGAAATTATATAGTATTGAAAGCAGGGATAGAGTATTTTTATTTTATTTTATAATAGTATATCTTAATTAGGCTTCGAAACGGTGTCCGATGTTGGTGAAGACTTGGTTTATATCGTTAGCAGCCCTGTCCATCCAACCGTTAGGACCTTCGACATCATGGCTAGGCAGATCCGGATCAGTGAAATTGAGCTGGTAGGCAACGGTCACTAGGGTTCGAGCTGCACCAGCGGGACAAACCACGTATCCGACAGAATCCAAAACCAGGTCGTTCTTCTTGGTCCATTTTTTAATGGTCTTGTTAAGCCTTTCGGTGGTTATCGGAGAGGTAACAAGCATTGCCCCAGATGCGTCCTTGAAACATTCCCTAAGAAACCTCTTACGATCAGGATCATCTTCATGGACGTAGAGGCCAACGTAGTTTTCTGTATCATGAAACGGGACGTGGAAGATGTTTGCCCCCAAACGAGGATGCTGGATCGACTGGATGTACTCGAACACCACACCATAGGGAGCATTCACCAATTCAGACTTGACAGCAGTCAAGTAGTTAAGGTCACCTTCCTCCTCGTCATGATCACCTGCGGATGTCCCAAAAGAAACGCCCAACCTTTCACCAATCCTCTTCCTGCTGTTAGTTTGTGGTGTAGCCCAAGAGATTCCCAAGCACAAAATGCGAGTCATCCTCTGAGCCAACACAGTAAACCGTTTATCTTGGTCTTTCATGTCTGTCCATATATCATATATAGCCCATGCATTAGTTTTATCCATATATATATATTTACCTAGGCGTGTTATAGACAAGTTTATGTAATCAAGATTTTTTTTTTTGTTTTTTGATAAAGATGTAATCAAGACAAGTTTATGTAATCAAGAACATAAGTAAGAAAAAATAAAGATCTCACAACATTAGTTTTATGTACCTGCGGTGGCATAGCTATAGATGGATGGGCGGCGGCACTCTCTAGCCAACGTCTGAAACCACCGGAGAGACCCGAAGCCTCGACCGTTCTCATCAAGCAGCTCGAGGTAGTCGTCGTCGCTGGCCACTTGGCGGTATAGTGCTATATCGACCCACGTCACCGTCGAGGCTCCCGGAACGGTATTAGAGTTTTGCACAAGGCACGCTCGTATGAAAGGCAACTGCTGGTTGTCATTGGTGGGGAAGTCATACACCAGCCAATCACCATTATTGAGATGGACAGCCGTTCTAGTGAATTTGGTCTGTCTTATCTTCACCAGAGGAGTCAGCACTTGGAAGTTGGCTTCCATCTAATATTTCAAATCAATACAAACAAAAAAAGTTAGGCCTTTGGACCATAAATATTTTTTTTCATTTTCTTCTACAAATCATATGAGTCAGCGTTTGCATATATCTCCATTCTATTTTATTTGTTACGCAAAAACAAAAAATTACCAATATGGTTGCATGTTCTGTCTCGTATCCTATGGGCGCATGAACCTGGTTACGCTGCGGTGTATAAGGGAGCTCGTCGGCGATGATACAGGGGAAAAAGTTCCTCCATTTGACCTAATTAAGACACACACACATGTACAATATTGAAAATGATCGTGATCAAAAGCATGACCTGGATCAGTGGATTGTATATAAACTAAATATTATCACTGTTAATGGAGTAATATATTACGTACCGAGTGCATGAGGTGTTGGACGAGCGTTAAAGGCTCGATGATGACATTACCGATGGTTTTAGAACCTTCTGTCACAATGTCCTCATCAACATCACCGTTGGGACGACGGGATAACCCCGAGAATCTCATTGCAAACGCTTCCTTGTTAAGCCCCTGAGTCTGATTATTATTCTGATCACCACCTTGGATGTTTTCCCACAACCCTCCCTCACCGTTTAAAATCTCTAAGATTGTTTCCATCACCGTTATGGCTAAGACTGTCTCCATCGTCATCATTTTTTCTTTTCTCTCTCTGTCTCTCTTTTTTGCTCTTGTTCTTGTAACAAAGTTTGTAACGATTAGTGTGATTGTGAGTAATTAACGAGTAGTCATATATATAGGTTGTATATGGTGAGTGGGTAAAGTATTTGTTTTCAAAATATAGACGTATACTAGCATTGGATCCTACCTAAGTTAATGTATATATGTTTGAAATAAAACAAAACTTCATCGATATATAAATTTGGATATTTCGTGCTGAATTCAACTTACTTTTTAGACTCAGCACATGGATCGATTCATTATTATTCGATAACCACTATGATCATTTTTTTTCCTCTTCTTCTTTTTAACTGCCCGACGATGTCCTAGCGCACACCCAAAACCGGGATCTCGAGTGGGCCCTTCAGACAAGCAATTTTAAATCGGAGATTAACAATTTGATAATTTTAACTAAAAACAATAGCAACTTATATAAAAAAAAACATGTGTTTCGTAAACTCCATTTTATCCGCGTTTACTGACTATAATGCATGCATATTTCCCGCCTCATATTAGGTCCTCCATTAATGAAAAAATGGTGTATATTAAATGTTGTGCATCAGTAAATAAAATGTAAATATTATTAAAACAAAATGGATGAGCGAAACGTTATTTAAATAAATTTGTGTTAGTCGATAAAACGCTAACTTAATAATTCTTGTGGTTTTTCTTTCAAAGAAACTAATACTTGTAGTTTTAAGTGTGATTCATAAAACATGACAAAAAAATGCATACAAGCCACACAAACAGAGTCGATCCTGAGATTTCGAAATCAAAGAAAAAACTTTAGCCTCTTAATCAATTTATATAAAAACAGTAAATAAAAAATCATTTTAGAATTAAAGAAATCAGAGAGATAAATTACGATTGATGAAACAAAAATTAGAAGGAAAGATGTTGAAATCGAATAACACTGAACAAGATCAGAGATGAAAAAGTGAGGATGAATGAGGAAGACGTAAGTCAATTACGGTAATTAGATTTGTTTCTTCTTTTTTATCTTTACTAATTATTATCTAATTAATCTATTTTATTTTAATAAAACAAATTTTAATTAAAGAATTAAAAAAAAAGTGACAAAAGACAAAACGAAAAAGAAAAAAAGTACGAAACGTTGATTTACAGAATCAAACTTGAAACTAAGCCAAAACATAATAGGCCCAAACATAATATCATTCTAAACCATTTGTTGGCCCAAAATTTGTTTTATTTTTACAAACCCTAAACACATACTTTATGGGCTTTTACCCAGACCGAGCTCTAAACACATAGACCACACTTTACAATATGCATTTTCTAATGATCACAGTCTAACAATGATTTATTTTACTATATATATGTATTTATCTGAAAAATTAGAAATTTAAAATTAAATTTTATAATAATAATAATTTATCTAAAACAAAGATTTTGACATAAAAACAAGTATAAAATGATGGTTATGTCAGCTAATGAACGTTTTACGGCTAAAAAGCCTTAAGGTTCTTACATTGGGAGCTCAAGAATCGTGGACAGTCATCCAAATTCTCCCTCGTCTTTTATAGACATAAGTGCGAGACGCTGCAGCTGGCACGGTTGTGGTTCAGATGAGATACGTACGTGTCCGAGGTGGGGGTATGCATCAATGGACTTCTTTATAATCATGCTTTTCCTAGTGATTTCATAGTGAGCTTTGATGTGCGGTCAATAACATTTGAAACAATAAGAAAACCCGATGGTGCCTCTGATGTATATAACAAAGACGTGACATATGCCTTGATAAACTACCAAGGAAAGTTTAGCTTGGATTTGTTCTCGCACAAGCACTTTATGGGTTCTTGAAGATGCCCAAAACCATTGAATGGTCCTCATTGAGCTTCTTAAGCCCTGCATTTGAGGATCAAATGATTCCCTCCTCCAAACACTATTTTATTGGTGTCACTGATGCAAATGAAGTTGTTTATATGCCTAAAAGAAAAAAAGCAAACGTTTTCTGATTTCTACTTTCATCTCGAAACCAAGAGGAGAAGACAAGTCGCATACCAAGGAATTAAGCATAAGAAGTGTTACTACCACTCTTGTAGTCCTCGCATCCAAAAGAAGATGTATACTATGAGTCTATGACTACTTTCCCAATCATATCTAGAATTTTATGTCTCTGGAAAGCCTTATTTTAGCTCGTTCTTAATATTTTTTTCCAACAATTTATCTATGATTTTTTTTGGGTTAAAATACAAAATATTTAGATTTCAAAATTGATAATCCTTAGTTATCCATAAATTTTATTTTTAGTTTCGAACCTATAAAAATTCAAAATTGATCAATATTATCCATAATCTATACTTTTAATGAATGAGAGAATTCGAAAAAAAAAATTATATATCTAGTATACATATATTGAAAATATACACAATTAAATCTGAAATTTACGTGACATTATCTCAATCACTGGCTCACTCGTCAAGCTCTAAAGCTTTGAAATATTTACCATCTAAAAGATACGTTCCGATGGAGAGTCGAACTGCCCACAAGTCCTTAGGTTTTCTCGACACGATTCTGCCAAAAATAAAAACAATGCGATTAAAATCATACAACTGATTGTCTTTCATCTAAAAAAATGGAAGAAACTTTCACACCCATTTGCAAGCAAATTTAGAAACCGTAAAAGTTTGGCTCTATGTGTTTTGCCAACAAATTGAACATAGATAAGTTACTTTTATTATCCGTGTAAATTATGCAGAGGTCACAAAATTGTTTAAGCCAAAATTTAATTAATAAAGTAATATGAGAAATCTCTTCAGAGATCAAATGTTTGAGTTGTGTTAAATTGTTAATGAATAAATATGACTGTAATTTAATATGATGCAATAATGCATTTTCAGAGTCTAAAGGTGTGCCAGTTATCCAAAGTTACGGAATTCACATGATGCGAATAAATATATGGTATCAGTTCTGATCAAATTTAACCTCAGTAAAACTAAAAAAAAAAAAATGCAATGGTTGTAACAACACAAAAGACATGGTTTTCTATGAATCGATTAATGATTAGTCTGAGTTTTGTTCGAAAATTTACACAGTTATAGAAGAAAAAAGGAATGTGGAAGCAGAAGAAGAAGACCTTCCAACATCGCCAGGCTTGACCAAACCAGCGTTAGCCCTAAGACAAGGCATTGAAGCGGCTGTTTTTATCACTTTAGGTGCTTCCACGATGATGATTGGCGATCCGACTTGAAGCTTTGATTTTGGTCGTGGAGGCTCTTTTCCGGTTTCACAGCATCTCACGGTAACTCGTGGCATGTAGGATCCACTGTTCCATACCCCTGATTGCATCTTGGAGAATCTTGTTGAAGGAGCAAAGGATAAAGCCATGGAAGAAGAAGCAAATGAGATTTTTTGTGTTGTATGAGTGGATAAGTGGACTTTTGTCCTGAGGTAATTGCTTGTAAGCCAACGGTCTCAGTAGTTTGTACCAATTTTCGGTTTTGTCTTGGTTTACACTTCGGTTTATTTAGCTCCATTAGTCTAAATCCAGATTTGTTTTTATTCTCAACTTGAGAAGTAAACATGGCTGAATGAATTGGAGCCTGTATCATCTTCGAGTTTATGTTCTATTAAAAATAAACATGAAGAATATACATAACATATTACATAATTTAAGGAAGACAGACGAATAAATTCACCCGAAATTAATATGGTTCAAGAGGTCGGGAGATAAAAGATTAAAATAAACAAACAAAAACTTTATAAATCTATACAAAAAGAAAAAGAAAAAAAATCTAGGACCTGGTCCTTTAGTATCTCTGATTTGGTTATGAAGACTACAGTACACTCTCATTTCTTAGTGTAGGAAAGATATGGATCCTGTGCCAGTGTTAGAACATCAGGCCTATCTGCTTGGTTATATGTTAGACACCGTCGAATCAAATCCTGCAGAAAAAAATGCAACAGTGAGTGACCATGGGGATACATTTTTACTACCATTTGGTTCTACTACTTAAACCAGGTTTAAGGACAGGCACAGCTAATTTACCTTTGCTTCATTCGATATGGCAGGTTTTGCTGGGAACTCCACCTTTTTGGCTTTAATGATTGTGTCTTCTCGTAGTATCCGCTCTTGGCTTTGGTCATGTCCAAAGGGTCGCTTTCTAAATAGCATTTGGTAAAACAGTATACCAACCGACCATACATCAACCTGAATTTTGAACAAAATTTAGGGCCACAAAACTTTTAACACATTCTGATTAAGACATCATTCACCAATCGCTAACCTTTGATGAGATCATAGGAGTTCTGCTAAGCTCAAAACATTCTGGGGGCAAGTACCTGAAATCCAGAATTTTCAACCTTTGTTAGCTATTACGTCAGGAAGAATTGAGAGTGTTTAACAAAAAAAAACATGTCAATGGTACTAAAACTAGATTGCTCACCAGTATGTTCCAGCTCCCTGGGATGTAAGCTCCATTCCTTGAGAGCCAGCATTGTCTTCCACTATCTTGCTAAGACCAAAATCAGTCACTTTTGCTACTCCAAACTCATCAAACAGAACATTCCCGGGCTTCAGATCATAGTGGATTATCTTCTGTGATCTTTTGTTCAGATATACAAGGCCTTGAACTATTTGTACAATGATAATCCTTGCTTCTTTTTCAGGAAGATTAGGTGTTGCCTTTAAAACCGCATCAAGGTCTTTTCCTGCATTAGAAACTCAAACTTACGAATGAGAACTGCAAACCACAGACAATCCTTTGCATATCTAGAGAGAGAGCAGAGAATTCTGATTTACCGCTACAATATTCCAGAACAGTGCAGAATGTATCCAGGTCAATTCTAAACTTATCCCAAAGCCGGACAATGTGGTGATGCACAAGGTCTTTGTGGATATCATATTCCCTCATGGCATGTCGGATGTAACTTTGCTTCTTTTCTTCACTCCACTGAGCATTTAAACCATGAAGCTTGCATGCAACATATCTATGATCCACCAAATCATATGCCTGCTTAAACTCCATAACATCAAATTACTGCAAATAATTTCTCACCCGTAAAAGAATGTAGTATCTATCAATGTTCTGACCTTATAGACTTCACTAAATCCGCCTTTACCAAGAAGATTTAGAAGAGCATATCGGCAATTCAAAACTGGGAAATTGTTGAAACGAGAACCATCTTCATCCCGTATGCGCTTCATCTCCTTCATAAGCTGCCCCTTCTCCAATTCATACCTCTCTCTCTCACGCAGAACTACTTCCTCCTCCTGAGAGGTAAAATCAATAAATGTATGATAAGGAACCAGAAACCAATCAACGTAGAGAAAATAAGAGACTGAGATGATGCAGAAGGAGGAACATACCCGCTTGATACTAGCAAGGCGAGACTTGTAAATCTCATCGGGGATGATATCATCCTCCTGTGCTCCTGATTCTGTTTCAGTCCCATCACTCTTATCTACAAGCAAATGGAAAAACGAAGGGTGCTAAACATCATTACAATTTGCATAAGGAAAAAAGGACAGCATACAATACAAGAGATCGTGGAATGACTGACAAAGTAAGAAAGTTTGGGGAAACATACCACCATTCTGTCGTTTCTTAAGGAACTTTCTCTGTCTCTCGATAACCTCCTTGGTTTCCAGCAATTGTCTCTTTTCATTCACATTTATAGCAAAATTAAAGCAGGTAGTGCAGGAATTACCGATATTGTTTAATAAAATTATGTCGCTACACAGCTTAACTTACGAGTTGAGCATTCAGATCTTTCAACATTTGTCCATCCTCCCATGTCTCAGCTATGATGGTTCCCGTCCTGAAATCACCAAAATAGCCACACAGCTGATAGACTGAACTTAAAATCACAAATTTTCAAGAAAATAACCTCGTAACCTAGCAAAGAAGATTCTAAGCTACGGGTTGCAAAGAAATGCGAGAGTAAGCTCTATGCGAGATGGTTTGATGTTTTACTAAAACGCGATATTTTATTTGCTATACATGTTTTATTATACTTAATGATCACAGATATGAAGGATATATTGGACATACACTAAACCATAAGAACTTATATGAAAACATTATGGCAGACCTGAGTACACCAACGCTGCCTAATCGCAAAGAATCATGTCTGACTTTCGTTCTTGCTTCTTGTCTCTCAGTTTTGGAAACAGATATGAGAAGGTCAGATATTACTTTCGTTGTCTGCATCAATAAAAAGAAAGGTTATCCGCATGTTTTGCAATGTAAAAAATATGAAAATTACAGAGACGAAGCGAGAGAATATTGATAGTTTCTTCACCAAGAATATTCCTAGAGGATGTGCAAATTTTTCTGCCAGTTAAGGCACCAAAATGACATGAGAATACCCAGTTTGTTTTCAAAAAGTAACCATGTCACAGAAACAAAAGATTTTCTCACCTTTTGCTTCCCTTGTTGTTCCTGATCTTTTAGATCTTTTACCTCCTGCATAAATTATAATCAAGATTAGCAGGGAATGGAAATAGCATAACCAGAATTGGCTAAATCTACAAGGCATTCACACAATACATTTTCAAGCTTCCGGAAAAGATCGTGATACTCAGAAGAATCTCGTCGAGATTTACATAATTCCTCCTCCAGCATAGTGATTTTTGCACGTAAAGACGACACATCTTCCTGATTTATAAACAAGGAACAAAATAGTGAGAAAAGAAAGATTTCCATTCTTGAGGATAATCATATATAAATATCACGTTCAATTATTCTAACAAACTTATAAGATGCAGATAAGTCGTAGATGATGAGACGATTGCATATTCTCTGAGGCAGGATATATTACAGAGTAAAGAAAATAATAGGAGAAACTTACATTCTGGAGAGAGCATTCACCATTCCTGAGCTGTCCATCAGGCCTAAAATCCTGAAGAATAAAAGCAGAATTATCATCAATACACTATGTCTGGTTGCCATGATCAATGCAAATCTAGATAAATGATTCTCTTAAACAAAGTGGGAAATGGTTCTTTCTTAACCAGCTAATTTTTTTCCAAAAAGGCCAACAGATGGTTTTACTTCAGTTAGAACATAACGCTCATGTCCACATTTTTGTCATGAAATTAAGTCTAAAATATATAAATTCTCCATGACGAGAAGAGCGGTTGCATGTAAGATCATATGAAGTCAATAACATTAACCTTTTGATCAGAGACATCCAGTTGACACTTTGGAGCTGAGACCGGTGCAGGCAAAGATTGAGCTTTTGTCACATCATTATTAGTTTTAGAACCACGCCCTCTGCCTGTTGATGAACCCCGACCTCGACCTTGTTTCTTCTTATTTACATCAAGGCCTGTCTTGGTCTCCGCATCATTTTTCCTCCCATCGTAAGCAGCCTCTTGAGGCTTCAATTCAACAATATTCTTCATTAAAAGGAGAAATAACTTGTATCCAAATAAGTTGTTTCAATATCACATAGAAACCTTATATAACATACACCAGACTTTTATCAAAAAATATGAAACAGATAAGGGACGAAAAGAGAAATCCTTACTAAAGAATCACTACCTCAGCATAATCAACAACACTGGAGTTGCTAAACTCTTGAAGTTTCTGGCGCTTTTTGGTATTGGCTCGGATTAGGAAATCTCCTGTATTCTGAGACAGTAACAGCGAGAATAAGATATACCTACGAGGAACTGTGTTTCGTGTTCAAGAAAGGATATAATTTGCATCTACCCACATTGCGATAACCTCAATAAAGAAATGAGAGCATGACCTTTTATCAATTTTTGTTATGCACAAACCAATCAATACAAGAAGCTAGATAAATAGGACATTAGCAACAAGGGTGATTAAACACTGTCAACAAAATGATAGGCATTAAATCTCAATTATTATTTACAAAAAAAAAAAATTCGAAGGTACCTCATCGTCGGAATCACTGATAGAGGCCTCTGACAATCCTGCCGGTGCGGAAGCTACGACTTTGACAGCGGCGGAAGAAGATGACCAGCCGGAGAGCTGCTGCTGTTGCTGTTGTTGTTGTTGTTGTGGCTGTAGCTTCGCCGAGGAGGCGGTTTTGCCGGTCAAGCGGGCCTCGAGCTTGGCGATTTTGTCGGGTAAAGAGTGATCAGACTGATTGGAAGAATTCGAAGAGAAATGCATCACCATGTCATCCGACATTGCCAACACTTGAGCAGACTCCAACGCACTAATCTACAGATCAGCCAGAGCAGAGTAAACACCCCAAAATTCGAAAAAATTAGGGTTTTTTAAGCACAATTACCGAATTGAAGACTAGAATCTGGATGTGAATGAGAAACTCATTTATGGGTTTTTTTTCTGCTTTCTGCAATCCACGTAGGTGTATTTCTCTTTGAAGAGGAATAATAAAACGTAGAGAGAAAGATAGGAGAGAAGAGAAGTAAGGGGTTGTGTTTCGGTGAAAAGGAAAAATTGAGGAACCCTAAGGAATTAGGAGGGAAAGAGAGGAATTGGGTCAACACCTCACAAGCTCTTTTTACGACTGGTAATTATCTGGTTTTATCAGATTTAGCCTCAACATTTATGCTTAGTTAAATATATATTTCTTTTTTTCAGCAAAATTAAATATGTTTTCTAAATGTTAAAAATACTATATTGACCACCATATACTGTATATCGTTTTAACTTTTTATAAAATTAATGATATAGAAAGAAATGAATTTAACAATAAAGAAGAAATAAATGAATATAACTTATACGACCAAGTTGAGATTAGAGCAAATATTTAGATTCATCTAACAACAATAGTGTATTTTAGTAATGTTGTAAACAAGATCAGCTAAATATTTCCTTATTTGGTCAAAAAAAAAATTTCTTGGTTAGTAAAAAGTTTAAAACTCATTCAAACAGGGGTGAAAAAGACACAAAAAGAAAAAAAAAAGCAATCAAGTAATAATAATTTTAGAAAAGAGGACACATATAACTTGTAAAGCCTCTGAAGCAGACAGAGTCTCTCCTTCTTCTTAAACGTGACTAACCTAGAGACCGTATCAGAATCCCTTACCCATTTCTGTGACTGACTCCGTTGCTCCGCGCCGCGTGCTCTCTCTCTCAGGTTCCTCCCAAGCAACCTCCTCTTTGCACCAATTTTGCTTTCACGTCCTTTGTGAGTTTTCGTTCAATCCTTTTTCGATTTTTTTTTTTATTGATCTCAAAGGAAATCGTATTCGGAGGAATAGAGTAAAGAGATTTATAAATCTAGATTTTCTGCTGTGGAGCCTTGACCTAGAAATATTTGGGGTATAATCATATTGAATTTCATTCGGAGTCGAAATTTGTTCTTATCTCTTAGATGTTGAAATATTACCTATGTTCTCGTTGCGTTGCGATTATTAATCTGATGTAGAAGCCTTAATTTCGAGTAGACGCATAGTTTACACACCTTCAAAAAAAAAATCTACTTTTTCGGTTCTGCTATCTCTGTTGCAGATGTTTGGTTTTTGAGTTCTTATTTTATTTTAATGTTATTTTTTTCTTAGTAGCAATCATGGCTGATGAAAATAATGAGATGAAGGAAGAGGTGAAGGATGAGCAAGAAGTAAGTTGGGCTTTTGTTTTTAGGGGTTAAGGGATCCTCTTTCTGAAATATTAAGTTACCATATAGTTTTGGGGATAAATCATGATTGAATGGTTTTTGTGGTCATCCTTAGCTCGCACCCTTTGATCCAACCAAGAAGAAGAAGAAGAAGAAAGTTGTCCTTCAGGATCCTATCGAGGACTCAACAGAGTCTCAAGCGGAGAAATCTGACTCATTGCCTGGTATGTTGAAGAGAGAGAGACTATTTGCTGTCGAACTTCTTTATTTCTCTCTAATGGTATATCTGTTACTTCATTTATTTTCCTACAGCTAGTGATGGTCTTGAGAGTTCTTTTGCTGGACTGAAGAAAAAGAAAAAGAAGCCAGTGAGTGTTTAACGTTTTGTGTCTTCTAAGTTTTATTAACTCTTTAAACTTGTGTTTTAATGATTATGTGTCTCACTTTGTTTTTGTTTAATGGTTAGGTTGAATCAAGCTCATTGAATGACGAAAGTCTCGATGCTCCCGAAGATTTGGATGGTATTGTCTTAGTTACCTTTTGACTAGTTAACCGTTTCTCGCGGCTGGACTTTTATCCTCTTTGAATCTTACAGAGAATATATTGCAGAGCATGCTAATGACGACGGAGAAGGAGAGGGAATAGATCTGCAGCAGCAGCGTTACCCCTGGGAGGGAAGTGATAGAGATTACATGTATGACGAGGTGAGTATATCTTATATGTTTTTTGCATTAAACTATAGTTCATAGACGACGTTCTTTGGTTAGGACGACATTCTCTCCTTAAGTCAGTGTATCCTTTTAAAAAAATCCCACTACTTGGTTTTTGCTGACGGGAGTTGTATTTGCAGCTTCTTGGTCGAGTCTTTAACATACTCCGTGAAAATAATCCGGAGCTTGCTGGAGATAGGCGTCGTACAGTTATGAGGCCTCCTCAAGTTCTTCGTGAGGGGACAAAGAAGACTGTGTTTGTCAACTTTATGGACCTTTGCAAGACGTATGAACAAAGCCCCTTTATCTTCCTCTTCAAACTTATTCGATACTTCTAATATGTGATAAATTTGATGACTGTCTGGAGTTGCATGTTTCGTCTGTGTTAAATAAAAAAACCAGGATGCATCGTCAACCAGATCATGTTATGAATTTCTTGCTTGCTGAGTTGGGTACTAGTGGTTCCCTTGATGGGCAGCAAAGGCTGGTTGTTAAGGGGAGGTTTGCACCCAAGAACTTTGAAGGGATTTTGCGGCGATATGTCAGTAAGTATCTCTCTCTTTAGTCTCGGAATTCGAATTGCCATAGAAGAATATCAATTTGGAGTTCTTAGAGTGATTCCTTACGTGTATTATTCTCAGATGAGTACGTCATTTGCTTTGGTTGCAAGAGCCCAGACACAATTCTTTCAAAGGAGAACCGTCTCTTCTTTCTCAGATGCGAAAAGGTAAAACTTTATTTATGTAGTCTTTATGTTGAGACAACTTAAAAGAACCTTACATATGGCATTATCTTCCACTCATGTTTTTCTCAAGCCAAAACTCTGTCGTGTAATTCTTTTAAAACTACTGTTAGATGGGGGCCAGTGATAATTGAATTAGTTACCACCATATTGGTTTATGCTTAGTCTTGTAATTGATACTGAAAAAATCTAATCTTGGATCAGCTGATCAGGAGGCATACTTTTCTTAGTGATTCAAATTTCTCTCACGTAATTGAAGAGTCATGTCATGCGAGGCTGGTGATGATGTTGATATCGTTGCCTACATTGACCTGATCAATTAAACGAGTTGATTATGTTTAAGTCTCTGTGTTTCTATTTGCAAATATGATGAACGATATTTGTTTTGCAGTGTGGATCTGGACGATCTGTGGCGCAGATCAAAGCTGGTTTTGTTGCCCGTGTTGGCCGCAGGAAGACTTGAGAAAATGGTCGGTGAAGTCAGTGGTCTTTTGTTTTGGGAAACTGAAGAGTTATGGAGTTGAGATACTTGTGTTGTTTTATTTCTGTTTTGGAATATGATAAAGAATCTCCAGATTATTACTTCAACTCAAAGATGGAATAGGATCAAAACCTTTTACATGTGTTAGATTCATGTTGTTAACTTTAAAGGTCGAATCAGTAAATCCATGGAGTTTTTTTGGTGTCAATTTTCTTGTCCATGGAAAAGCTTGTTCTTTGACCAAAAAAAGGAAAAGCTTGTTCTTCTTCGAGTTCTTAAAGCAGAAATCAATATCCACGTCGTCAATATAAAAAATGGGCTTAAAAAGAAAAAGAAAAAGTCCATGCTTGGGCAACTTCGGTCAACGCGGCTAATTTTGATTATTGTTCTCTCCTTATACGACTAAACCAAAGGAAACCGAACCGGATTTGACCCGACCGTCTTCGTCCTTTCCTCCTGATCAAGAAAACTCGGCGCCTACAAAAAAATCTGAGAAGACGAGATCCTTGTTCATTTGATCCTTCTTACAAAATCCTCAACTAATACGAAACCCCTGAATTCTCCGTAACTTCTTGCAAGGAAAATTCTAATGGATCAATCGTCTTCACCGTCTCCTTCCGAGGAAAGCTTGAAGCTTGAACTTGATGACCTGCAGAAACAGCTGAACAAAAAGCTGAGATTCGAGGCATCCGTTCGGTCTATTCATTCTCTTCTTCGTGATCGCTACACTTCCTCCTCTCCTTCTCTCCGTAAACAGGTTAGTTTTATCGTTAGAATCCGTACCAAACAGATAGTAAAATTGCTCGGAATCTTAGGGTTATCTCCTGGTCGTGGTGAATTTCTGGCTGTTTGAATGTTTGACTGATTCGTGCTCAATTCTTATGTTTTATGGTGGTTTTTACTTGGAGGATTGAATTAGGAATCAAACATCTTTCTTTCTTGTTTTCTATTACAATTGTGGAGAAAGTTAATCTTCATGTCAATTGATCCGATATGAGTTTCAACGGACACTTGTTATTCTTCAATTTCTATGTTAATAATCGAATGTGTGTGTTGTTTAGTTAGCCTCTCTTACACAATTTTGGTTTGCTTGCCATTGCAGTTTTATATAGTTGTATCTCGTGTGGCAACGGTTCTTAAGACAAGATATACAGCTACTGGGTTTTGGGTTGCGGGACTGAGCCTTTTCGAGGAGGCTGAGAGACTTGTCTCTGATGCTTCTGAGAAGAGACACTTGAAATCTTGCGTTGCTCAAGCCAAGGAGCAGTTAAGCGAAGTAGATAATCAGCCAACCGAGAGCTCACAAGGTTATCTTTTCGAGGGACATCTAACGGTTGATCGTGAGCCGCCACAGCCTCAGTGGCTAGTGCAGCAGAATCTCATGTCCGCTTTCGCTTCCATCGTTGCTGGTGAATCCTCTAATGGCCCTCCTTCTGAAAACATTCTTGGAGAAACGGCCAACTTGATGCAAGAACTCATCAACGGTTTTGACGGTATCATCCCAGAGGTAGTTCTTATATCTTTTGGCATTGCCTAACCTTTTCTTCCTTAAACTAGTTTCAGACGATCTAGTTGTTGTGTGATCACACATTGCTGATAAAACGAGAGGCTTCACTTATATGTTTTTTTTTTCGCATATTTTGGTTTGTCCACTTGATTCCAATATGGCTGGCTAGGCTACTTTTCTCTTTCTTCTGTATCAAGAGTGTTTATCCCCAACCTCTGATATGAAAGTGGTAGCTTCTTTTTGCTTAGCATTGCGATTAAAAATGATATATATGATGTGTTCTGTGCAGATACTAGAAGATGGTGGACCACCAAGAGCTCCACCGGCGAGTAAAGAAGTTGTCGAGAAACTTCCAGTGATTGTTTTCAGTGAGGAATTGCTTAAAAAGTTAGGAGCAGAGGTAGAATGTTGCATCTGCAAAGAGAATTTGGTGATCGGCGACAAAATGCAGGAGTTACCATGCAAGCACACATTCCACCCTCCTTGCTTAAAGCCTTGGCTGGTAAACACAAAAACCCAATATTTATGCATACATAGTTATAAAAAGTATAGCATGCTTTATAGCTTTACGAGTAAGTAAGAACAAAAAGCTTATGATCAAATTGTTGTGGCAGGACGAGCATAACTCTTGCCCTATATGCCGCCATGAATTACCAACAGACGATCAGAAATATGAGAGTTGGAAAGAGAATGAGAAAGAGGCAGAGGAAGAGCGGAAAGGCGCAGAGAATGCTGTTCGCGGAGGTGAATATATGTATGTGTAGATTTTAATGAATTTATGTCACACTCCATTGTTTTCACTTTTACATCTCCCATTGTTATTCGCCAGTTATAATATGAAAGCTTATATACCAACGACAGAGTTCATTAATAATATTACACACAAATTGTATTCTGGAAGAGATAACAAGTTCAATAACATAACATACATCAAGAGTTATAAGTTAAAATAAGACAATAGTTTGTTCTTCCGTAGATGAGAAAATGATAAACATGTCGGACCACTCCAGACATAAACAAATCTTCGGTTTGTTAGACAAACCTGTACAGACACTACAATACAACACACAGCAGCATATATATGATACACTGTCATAACGTTTCACTTAGTTTGCTTTTGAAAATGATATGTTCGTTAAGCTTATTGTAGCCTTGGAGGTTGATCTTCTCTGCTAAGCAGTTGAATATTCCTCCTTAACAGAGGCATTGTCTGTTGGGACATCTGTCTTCTTGATGTCAGAAGCAGGGTAAGGGTTTCTGTTGACCAATCTGCAAATAAAGATTGCGAATGTTGCTGTTGGATGCAATCTCAAGGTAAAAACTATACAAGTCCCTCTCAGGTATATAAGCAACTTCTGAAACTGATCAGATTTTGAGTTTCCAGAGAAATGGAGAAAGGATCAAGTGTAGTTAGTAAGGATGAATACCTGTCCCGTCTTTTCTCAAGGAATCGTTGAAGCGAATGCCTCCTTGCAATTGGTAGATCTGAAATCGGCAAACAGATTAATGGAAAACAAATGAGAATTATCCATTTTCAATGTTTGAAGATTATGGCAAATACTTACCAGCCGCAGATCTACAAAACGAAATTGGGTGAATGGGAAATGACTGTCCAGCTGGTGAAGCTCCAGTAGATGTGCTGGAGAAAGAAGGAGCTCTGTTCAGTGCTGGAGAAGGAGCAGGGCTGATTCTTGTAGAGTTCTTTGTCTCAATGGATTTGGCAGTAGCAGAAGCAATACGGAGGATTTCTTGAATCTGTAAGCATTGGATCACGGTGAGGATAGGAAATCTGAGCATCTGTCAAAGAAGCAGAATATGCTCTAAAGGACCAACCTTTTCTGCTGGAATGCCATCAAACACACTAACACTCCCACCAAAGAAAATAGTAAGTTGAGATGGAAGGATCGCTGAAGCATCTGGCTCAGAGGACGGGACCTCCTTGGACCTTTAGTAGCGGAAATTCCATTAAAATTGTTACCGCACTTATAAAGATGGACTATTGATGCAACATTGGCAATAATCAAATAGCTAGGAATAAACCCTCCACCTACTAACAATGGCACTAGACAAGCATTTATAGAGGCAAGAGATGGTTATAATGAATGTTTATGCACTCTCTCATGTTCGAAAGGAAACTCCCAATAATCATATATTCACATTTACACGGAAATTCATGTACGCATGAAGAAATTTGAAGCACAAGATTGATACTCATAAGAAGTGGAAACCAATTTTCCAGCCAATAACAAATTGATCCCTCGGAGGAAGATGACTTTCCATAAATAGCAACTAAAATCCTTAGAATACATGCATCCCAATGTGAACAGATCGAAATGCTGATTCATAAAAAAATCTTGGCATCCCCACTCAATTTCCAGAACTAGACTCAAATGAAAAAGGGAGGCACAAATGAAAACATGCAAATCAACAGCAATTTCAAAGACAATTCATACCTAGCTTCGCCACTCGATTTCTCAGCTGAAAATCCACCTTCTCCGGCGACAGATCCGGCGTTGTCACCTTGAACGGTGCCGTTACCGGCGATTACAACCCCGCGGTGCTCGTCGCCGCCTTCACCGGAGACAACACCACCACATCCACCTTCTACGGAAACGCGTGGTTCATCTTCAACCTTAACCATGGTTAGTCTCTCGGAATTCGTAGATCCGTGTCGGAATTTGATATTTATCGTGCTTTGTTCGCTTTCTGTCTGAACGTCGTTCTTACTGGAACCACCGAGATTATCCTCCTCCGAAGCTTTTAATTTCGTGACACGTAGCTACCGATGTTGATTTTTTGTTTGACTTTGCGTAAATAAAAGGCATGGCAATTTAAAAACGTGCGCGAATACGATACGCTGTCGTTTTTAGGCCTTTTGGTCTCATGTGGGATATTTTTAAACAAGAACCGGAAACGTGTCTAATTCAGAGTCTCAGACTGAGACAGAGGACAGAAATCTCATTCTCCTAGCCTGCTACTTCTATAGTTACAAATTTAGTATTGGTGAAATTATCATCAGAATAGATGTGGTTGTTTAACCTTTAGATTCTCTCTGATTCACTTAACTTTCAACGTTTATCACTCTGTCTAACAAAAAAATGAATAATGTTTTCACAAATTCTGGAAATTGGTTTTGATTTCACGGCTCAGTATTCGGTTTTCCAAAAAGGAATAGATATGACGTTCTTCGAAAATCATGCAATTGTTTAATTAGTTTCCTTACTTACTTCCCACTAGGCCTTGATCATTTGGGCTCAAAATTTAATGTTGGGCTTACTCTTGAATTGTTGATAGTCAATGACCCAATCTATCATCACTTCTCAAATCAAATAAGTAAGTGTGCAAGTATTTACACACGACATTCGACAAAAATCTGGAAAATGAGAGGGTACTTTTGTCTTTGGGCTTTTCTTTTAGGGTTCTGAAGATCTGTGTTTTTGCTCCTTTTGCTCTCCTTCATTTCTACTCTTCTAAGCACACTCAATATTTCGAGTTCCTTTCGGCTTCTTCTTCTTCTTCGTTCGAACGACTCATCATCTATTGATCCGAGATTGGACTCGAGAGATCTCCAACACTGAAGAACCCTCCGTCTTCTCCTGATCTTCCCAATGCCGGTATGATTCTCCGTCGTCTCTTTCATTTCTTTTGCTATCACAGTGCTCTTGACTCGCCAAATTAACTTAGTTATTGGTATTTAGATCGACAAGATCTTCAAAGATGATGCTAGTGAAGAGAAGGGAGAACGTGCGAGGATGGTGAGTTCTTTTTATTGTCCCTTATATCAATGAATTAGGGTTTTTCAGATTCACTGTATTGTTTAGTCTGATTTGCTTTTTTTGCTTCTTCTAGGCATCATTTATTGGTGCAATGGCTGTTGCTGATCTGGTTAAGTCTACCTTAGGACCTAAGGGAATGGTAAACTTCCGATCCCCAATACTTAAAAAAAGCTCCCTTAACTTTGAGTTTTCACTCTATTGATTTTGGTTGAATCTTATTACTCGTCAGGATAAAATCTTACAATCTACTGGTAGAGGTCATGCAGTCAGTGTTACCAATGATGGTGCTACTATTCTCAAGTCACTACATATTGACAACCCCGCAGCTAAAGTTCTTGTTGGTATGCATTCCTGCAACATTTCTGGGTTGAAGTTTTAAGTTTCGTTTTTTGTGGGGTCTTTCTCACTTCTTGTACCTGATTTAATGCCCTTCAGACATCTCGAAAGTTCAAGATGATGAGGTTGGTGATGGAACTACTTCTGTTGTTGTCTTGGCGGGGGAGCTTCTTAGAGAAGCAGAAAAGCTTGTTACGTCGAAGATCCACCCGATGACGATCATAGCAGGTAAACTTCTAAATCGTTTGAACTGTATAGATGACAACGTTGTATCAGCTTCTTCCGATATGACAATGATGTCTAATTTTTTCATATTTTTGTCTCGTAGGTTACAGAATGGCTGCAGAATGTGCCCGTGATGCTTTACTGAAAAGAGTAATTGATAATAAGGAGAACGCAGGTAAATTGGCATTCTCTTGTTTGTTTGATTTCTTCAATGTTGAGTTACAGCAGTGTTTTCCTCCACATTTGTTACTTTGGAAATCCCACTGTTATTTACAGTATTTTGTTGTGTCATTGCAGAGAAGTTCAAGTCAGACTTGATGAAGATTGCGATGACTACGTTATGCTCCAAAATTCTCTCGCAAGACAAGGAACACTTTGCAGAAATGGCCGTAGATGCTGTTTTCAGGCTAAAGGTCCCATCTCTGCCTCCTTTCGAAATTTATTTAGCGAAGTGTTCTTTCCTTCACTTTCTTTGGAAATGTATGTTATTTCATGAATGAAGTGCTTTCATTGACGAATGTCATGAAAATAGGCTGCTGCTCTCATTTCACTATTAATTTCTTTCCCATAGATGCCTGGTTTCGGTTTGGAGTGTTATATGATTTGTCTCTGATATTCTGGTGTTGTCGTTCAAACAGGGAAGCACAAACTTGGAATCTATTCAGATCATCAAAAAACCTGGAGGGTCCCTGAGGGATTCCTTTTTGGATGAAGGGTAAGACAAAGCATAGTCTTACTTTGGAATGTTGATAGGCATCATGTCTTCTTGGTATTTTGGGTTCCTCTTTTTTTTGTTCATCCAATTATTTTGTTTTATGACATCTCAACTTAAATATATGCCTTTAGGTTTATTCTTGACAAGAAGATAGGAATTGGGCAGCCAAAACGCATAGAGAATGCAAAGATCTTGGTAGCAAATACTGCAATGGATACTGATAAAGTGAAAATTTACGGTGCACGTGTACGTGTGGATTCCATGACCAAGGTTGCTGAGATTGAAGGTGCTGAGAAGGAGAAGATGAAAGACAAGGTGAAGAAGATCCTAGACCACGGGATCAACTGCTTTGTTAACAGGCAGCTTATCTACAATTTCCCCGAGGAACTCTTTGCGGATGCTGGTGTACTTGCTATTGAGCATGCAGACTTCGAGGGAATAGAGCGTCTTGGTCTGGTTACAGGTGGTGAAATCGCTTCGACCTTTGACAACCCAGAGTCTGTTAAGCTTGGGCATTGCAAGCTCATCGAAGAAATCATGATTGGAGAAGACAAGCTGATCCATTTCTCCGGTGTTGAGATGGGTCAGGCTTGTTCAATTGTCTTAAGGGGTGCTAGGTACTTTCACTCCCATACCTTTAAGACTTTGTGTAGACTTATCCTGTTTTTTATTCTCTCGTGACAATTTTGTTGTGTGGTTTCTTTGTTCTTGCAGTCACCATGTTCTGGACGAGGCTGAAAGATCACTCCATGATGCCTTATGTGTACTCTCCCAAACAATCAACGACACTAGAGTGTTGCTTGGAGGCGGATGGCCCGAGATGGTGATGGCAAAGGAAGTAGATGATCTTGCCCGTAAAACTGCTGGCAAAAAGTCTCATGCCATTGAAGCTTTTTCACGGGCTCTAGTAGCAATACCGACAACAATCGCTGACAATGCTGGTTTAGACAGTGCAGAATTGGTGGCTCAGCTTCGTGCAGAACACCACAGTGAAAGCAGTAACGCCGGGATCGATGTCATCACTGGAGCTGTAAGTAAACTCCAAACAAAACAAAACAAAAAAACTATGATTGGGTATGGATTGTAATGGTAAGATGATAATGATTGATTGATTGATTCTTATCCAGGTAGGAGATATGGAGGAGAGAGGAATCTATGAAGCATTCAAAGTGAAGCAAGCGGTGCTACTTTCTGCTACAGAAGCAGCAGAGATGATACTGCGAGTGGATGAGATCATTACATGTGCTCCTAGGAGGAGAGAGGACAGGATGTGAAACTGAATACATGCACGTGGTGGGAGCGAGAATACATGATTACACGATCACACCCTCCCCTGTGACGTCGATGTCCAATGTCATTAGTTTTGTGTCTTCGATTTGGATCAGAAAACAACCTTTAGTGTTTAATGTTTTGCTCCCTAAACTAATCACTCTCGTTTTTTGAAGTCTTTTTTCGAATATTGTTTTTGATTATAAGCTCAGAGGTTTTGACGAAATGTAAGCTCCAAGGAGTTTATCTTGTCGTCTATTTACTTTCATCCTTTATTTCTTCTCGATCTCTAAGCCACCTGCATCCGCCCGGTTTGATCTGAATTTCACTAATATTAATTGGTTATCTTAATTATTGTATCTGTTTCGGTGGTTACATAAAATTATTCAAAAATGTTAGATAAATGAATTTCTTTTTCATATTTTCACAACTCTTTGTTTCAAAAATTATTCACATAATTGTTTACTTTTACAATAATTAAAGTTTACATGTTTGTAAAATGTATGCCATTTGTACACCATGAATGTTAAAATCAGTAAAAATACAATTTGAAGAAAAGAACAACATACAATATATGTATATATATATATATATATACATATATTGAATGATCCTATCTATTTGTAAAATATCATCTTATGTAGAGATCAGTCGTCACCTAAACTACAACGTTGTGGTGGTTTGGCGTTGTAAAGTTTGGTCAACCGACCAAAACACGTTATAAAGGAGAGCATATCCTAACATGGGACCTCATAATCGCGAGCTTTATTTACTTTATAAATTGTCTTACCAGAAAATTATGTTTTTTTCGATTTTGCAGCTTTATAGATGATTTGAATCGCAAAACTGTTCATGATTTTATAGCTTTCGATTGTCTTTACCATAACAGTTAAAAGAATTATCAAAAAGGGGACCAATATAATGGAAGTGCATAACAATATTGATCCGACATGAATTTATAGGTTTAAACTTAATGGCTTCACAAAAGTGTTCGAATCGGATTTTTCAAGATTATATCACAACTTTTTATTCAAGAAAATTTCTTTTTATCATCGTCCCTGGAGTTCATTTGAGTTGAGATCAAGGCATATTCCCTAGCATAGCAAGCATTATAAAATCTTGCTGGTACATCGTTTATTATTTGTTTCCTTAATCTCCGGATGACAACAGTTTTTTGTGGACTAGCACTTCATTAATTTTGAATCGTTATTGTTATGAAGCCAATCAATAAAATAATTTTGTAGGATACAAAATAAAATATATGGATTTTATGATAAAAAAAATAGATTCATTTAGTTAATGATTAATTCTTCTACTAACCACAAGACTCGAGAAGAGCATAACGAGAGAGCCCAAAAAAAAAGATGTAGTACTATTTTGTGCCGAAGACATGGCTCAGTTACATAAGCTACCGTGGATAAATTTGACTATTGTTAGTAAAATAAATTACTTGAATGGATAATTTAGGTACTCATCACATACCCGATCCATTTTAATCCATTTTATACCGTTGGAATATATTACATTGTTCCAAACGGAGAACTATAGTCTGTTACGATGGATATATGCATGAAACTCAGGGGCAGGTTAGCGTCTGATCGGGTCAAGGAGAAACCTGAAATGAACAGCTTTTAGTTACAAGAAGAAAAGCAATACGAATCGATTGGATCTTCTATTGATGTATGATATTTTAACTAGTCGATAGTTCTTTAGGAAAAAGTATAGCGTAAGCGCAAGTATTAAATAATAATTAAGAACATGGTCGGTCAATAATCACGTAGGTTCAATAGAAAATTGTCCTTGCGTATGGGTCAAAAGCCAGAAATGATGCCATATGCTATCAAGTTATCATAGTATAATATAAACTTTCAAAGCATAGATTAGGAAATGTGACAGTATTTATCTCTTTTTTGGGTCATCGAATGGTCATCTTCCATTAAAATCAAGATAACAAAATATAAAATAATGTTTCTCTTTTGGGTGCTTTGGTAAAGATTAAGAAAAAGAAAGGAAAAGAAAAGAAGAGAAACCCTGACTTAGTTGAGACCAGATGAGTAATGACACGAACGGCACAAATGTGCTACGCTCACGTCAGTTACTTGATTCTTATCGTCATATAGACTGTAGTCTTTTTTAACTTTTACTAAATTATGCTAATTTCCCACGTCATTTATTTGTTTCTTATCGTCATTAGACTTTTACTTTTAGCAATTTGCAATTTTGTCCCCTCACTCCGTCACTCGTTACGCACACGGCACATCTGTGAGAATCTTTTCTTTTTAACTTTCGAAAATCAACCCCTATATATTTTTTAATACTCATGTTTTGACACGAATCTTTTGGTGTTCTTCAGTATTTTGAAATTATTAATTTTGATTGATTTCTTGGGAAGTACAACTCCGAAAGCAGCAATGATAATTAAGCATATCTACTCCTTAAAACAGTATGATTAAAGCGAATATTCCCAATATAAAAAATACTAAGAAAATCATCCGGTCGACGTATCATTTCATTCTTTAGTCTAAAAACAAAAGTTTGAAGCATACATCATCACATTTGAAAACTTGACACCTATTGTGTAAAAAAAATTTCAAAAAAACTTCCTATCAACTTGCATATTAAACCATAAAATAAGGCTAATAAGCAAAATATATTTAATTAATTAACTATAAAAAGAATTAAAGGACATAAATAAAGAAAGGCACCACCACTAACAAAAAAAAAGTAAGCATCAGCAAAGCAAACAGCTTTATTCCTCTATTAAAAACGCATCTCATTCTCCATTCTTCCTTCCCCTTCTCTCTTCTCTCCTCTCTCATTCTCTTTCTCTCACTCAGCAACTAACAATGAGCTTCTTTATCGAAGATTCTGGTCTCATCGTCACTCAGCTTCTCTACAAAATGGCGGTTTTAATCACCGTCTTGAGATGGATTCTCGCCTGGATCTTACGCTACCGATCCAGATCTAGATCCGCCTCCTCTTCTACTACTTCTTCTTCTTCCTCTGCTCCTTCGATCTCTTCACAGGCCATCAAGGAGAGCCTCTCCGTGACGACGTTCCGTGACGCGGCGGAGCGATCTCCTGAATTGGTCAGCGACACGTGTGCGGTGTGTCTAGGGGATCTAGAAGACGGAGATGAGGTCAGAGAACTCAGGAACTGCAGCCACGTGTTCCACCGCGAGTGCATCGACCGGTGGCTAGACTACGAGTGCTGCGGCGGAGATGATAACGACGGCGAGGAAGATAATCACCGCACGTGTCCACTCTGTAGAACTCCGCTTCTTGCTGCTAATACGACGTCGTGTGGGGATTGGCCCGCCAAAAACGAACCCAGCTGGGCCGTTGAACGGCTTCTCTACCTCTTTGGAGACGATCTTCTCGTTTGATTTTTCATTTCTAGTTTTAATTTTTTTTTTCTTTTCAATTTTTATTTGATTTTAGCGGGGTCAATAGAAATTACGTTGGTCAAATTTTTGTAAATTGGGAATTCAAAGAGTAGAAAAAGGATATATAATAATAATATCAATTTTTAAACTTCTTGTGTATCATCATCATCAAATCTCTGAGGTCACTAACGTGTAATCTAACATTAATTTGGTATGTATGCGTTCATAAAATGTTCTTACAAAACTAAATACTAGCTAATTCTTAAAACTTCATTCACTGATTACTTGATTAGATACCGTACTGTATTTGGCTCGCAGCGATTTGAGATATTGTATCAGTTTAAAAACTTTCTTGTGTATCAGCAAATGTTACTCTTTCTCATACGTTCAACATCTTGGGTTAACGAATTGAAATGTAACTTTAATTTGGTGTGTTTGTGTTCATATAACGTTTTCACGACCATCGCACGTAGATATGATACATTTACTGAGTTAATGTATTTGTCTCACATAGAATTGACATTTTGTATCCTAAGTTCTTGCAAATTGTTTTGCCAAGTTTTACACTGAAAAATATATTTTTAATGATTTTAACCTCTAATGGGTTCAAAGAAAAAATGGGTTTGTTAAATTACTTATTAACTTATGAGGTACATGAGCTATGCTTATGAAAGTTTGTGATACATTTGCAAAGGACGATTATAAGGAGAGGGGATGAAGCAAAGTGAAGCACAGTCGTTTTAATGAGTAGAACGACTGTAGGGTCCACTTCTCATTTACTCTTTCTTCTTTTTTTTCCTGTGTGAGGAGAAATAAAAGATAAAGAGGAAAGGAGGACTAATAAAGGAGTGTGTTTTGTTCCTATCAATATCATCTTCAATGGCGGCACAGAAACAGATGCTCGATCAGGTTGATGGAACCGCCGATTCACTGATGGAATCCATGGGCGAGGTTCAAACGACGATGGCTCAGCTTCACTCTTCTGTTGGTGTATTGATCGATTCCATGGCGGAGATACTAAAATCCATGGCGGAGATGAAATCAGCAGTTCTTCAACACACTTCTCCGGCACCGACGAATGAGTCACAACTTACGGTGGAAAAGGACCTCCCCGCCGCTCCAGAGAAACAATCAATCGCGGTGGATAAACCTGTCGAAGAGAAACAGCCTCGCCGGATTTACGTGAAGAAGGTCAAGGCCAAGATGCCAGTTTTCGAAGGTCTCAAAGTAAACCTCTGGATTCTCCAAGCGGAAAGATACTTTGAGTTTGGAGATTTCACTGAGGCCGAGAAGGTCCGAATCGTTTACATGAGCGTCGAAGGGCAAGCGCTGAACTGGTTCGTCGTATCGGATCGTTCTCGACCTTTCACAGATTGGGAAGATGTCAAGTCTCGGCTTTTAGATCGATTCGGGCATTTGGAATCTGCAATGAGTCGTTTGCTGGCTCTTAAACAGGTGGGATCTGTTAGAGAGTATCTTGGCCAGTTCGAGGAACTCGCGACGCAGTTACCGGCGAAGGTTACACCGGATTTCTTCTTCGAAGGCGTTTTCGTCAATGGGCTCAGGGAAGAGATTAAGGATATGCTTCCACTGTTTCAACCAAAAGGGTTAGACAATATCATCTCAATGGCTCGTAGATTGGAGAATAGTCGTTGTTTTGGCCGATTGATGACTCCACCACTCGACGATCCATCGCCAGCTGATGATAGGAACTAGGAAGTAACACACCAATTAAACTCTCTACCCATTTTGGTTCTCGAGGCGTGTTTTGCTGTGAATAGGTAAGCTCCGTTAGATTCTAAACTCGTTTCTAGCAATCAAACATTTTTCTATTCTGGTTTGTTTTTTGGGATTGTTTTTTCTGTTGCTCGACGATAGTTTTCGTGGATTCATGCTTATTGCAACCTACTAAATCCGGGTTTTTAATCTATCTCCAATGGCTCCATCAATCGTTACAATTTATGTTCTTTTCCTTTGTAGATCTATTTGGGGGTATCTGATTGAAATTGGAAATATTTTGACATCTTTACTATGATATGCAATATGAGAAATCCCAAAGTTAGGACTTGTGATCATATATTAATTTGGATATTCGGGTCATACGAATGAATTGGTTAAAAGAAAGGGAAAGAAAGGTTGTAAATTTTCTTCAAATATTCTCTAAGAAAGACCCAAAACATGGTCTCCATCTCACACACTCCATACCTTTCTTCTTTCCCCTCCCTCTTATTATATTAGCATCAATGAATGAATAATCACTATGCAAAGAGAATATCATGTGAAATATTTTAACATGTTTGTGTTTGACACAAAAACATAAGTTGAAGCCCTTGCTTGGATGGTTGAAATTGAGGTTTAGCTCCAATGGAATCAAGTTCCTTATTGAACAACCCATCACAAATACCTTTCCTTTCCCCTCTTTCTTCCATATACTCATCTTCCCCGAACTCCTACATCTATATCTCTGTCTATATTTGTATATATAGACACACTTTCAAAACACATATTCACATTAGACCCCACATTCTGAATCAACCCAAAATCCCACACCAAGGAGATGGGTCGTCATGATACAAACCAAAAATTCATTTTCTTCTGCCTATCCATATTGTTATTTCACAATGTTTTGAAGAATGTGGATGGTTTGGCATGTAACTGGGGGACACAAGCGAGCCATCCTATGCCACCGAACATTGTGGTGAAGCTCCTAAGAGACAATCGGTTCAACAAGGTTAAGCTATTTGAAGCTGACCCTGGTGCACTAAGAGCCCTTGGGAAATCCGGTATTCAGGTCATGGTCGGTATCCCCAACGATCTCCTGGCAACTATGGCCTCCACTGTTACCGCCGCTGAGCTCTGGGTTCAACAAAACGTCTCTCAGTACATCTCCAAATTTGGAACCGACATAAGGTAAATTGTATTGCACTTCAATAGTAAATAGCGCAAAAACCTGCTCAAGTTTCTAAAGCTTGTATTTTTCAGCTACAAACAAGCTTTAAAGTTTCTAAAGATTTGATTTTTGAAGCTTACAAAACATGTCTCAGCTTTTAAAGATTGGATTTTAAAACCAAAAACATGCTTTGAAAGCTTGGATTACGCTATAAAAAACTAAAAACTTGCTTAAGTTTCTCAAGATTGGATTTCTGAGCTAGAAGAAACATGCTTAAAGTTTCTAAAAGATTGGATTTTTAATTTCAGATATGTAGCCGTGGGGAATGAGCCATTCTTAAAGACTTACAAGGACAGATTCGTCCGTTCAACATACCCGGCGCTGCAGAACGTTCAAGCGGCTCTGGTGAAAGCCGGTCTCGGCCGGCAAGTCAAAGTCACGGTGCCTCTTAACGCCGACGTCTACGAATCCGGCGACGGTCTTCCTTCCTCCGGCGATTTTCGATCAGACATCAAAACTCTAATGGTCTCCATCGTTCGATTCCTCGCTGATTCCGTCTCGCCCATTACTTTCAACATCTACCCTTTCCTCTCTCTAAACGCCGATCCAAACTTCCCCCGCGAATACGCCTTCTTCCCAGGCGGCGGCGGAGGAGCTAAGCCCGTCGTCGACGGATCCATCTCTTACACGAACGTCTTCGACGCGAATTTCGACACTCTGGTCTCGGCGCTGGAGAAAAACGGGTTCGATCCGAACAAGGTAGAGATCATCGTCGGAGAAGTCGGATGGCCAACGGACGGCGACTCAAACGCGAATCCGGCGATGGCTCAGAGATTCAACCAGGGACTATTAAACCGTATCATTCAGGGACAAGGAACGCCTCGTCGGAAAACGGCGCCGGAGGTTTTCATATTCTCGCTAGTGGACGAAGACATAAAGAGCATCGATCCCGGGAAATTCGAGAGACATTGGGGAATATTCTCTTATGACGGCGCCGTTAAGTATCCTCTCACGCTAGGTAACGGCCGTCAGTTAGTTCCCGCGAAAGGTGTTCGTTACCAGGCACGTGAGTGGTGCGTGCTTTCTCCTCAGGCGGCCGGGAACGGTGCCACGTGGAAACAGTCGGCTGATTACGCTTGCCAGCTGGCAGATTGCACTTCTCTAGGGCCAGGATCCTCTTGCGCCGCGCTGGACGCCGTCGCGAACGCGTCTTACGCGTTTAATATGTATTTTCAGAAAATGGATCATCGTCGTGGCTCGTGCGTTTTCAACAATCTTGGGGTTGTTACCAAGATTGATCCTTCAAGTGGCTCGTGTAGGTTCCCGATTGAAATCGACACGAGCAGGCATGAGAAGTTGCGCCCGCCGCCGGGGAGTTCCGGTGCGTCTGAAGTAAAGTGGAGGACGGTGGCAGCTGCGGCGATGGCGGTTGGGTGTGTGGTGTTTAATTGATCCTTTTCGTTTGTACATTCTTTTTCTTACATCTGTAAATACGACGGTCGATATATTGTACATAAAACCTTTTTCTCTCGCTTAGTATGTTTTAGCTATGATAAGTCAATGATGATTTGATTTCTGGCACATTCGTATGGCGTGTTGCAAATGTAATAACATGGCAAGAGTTCAATGGTTTCACTAGGCTGATTAGCACATCAAAGGCGACCACTTTTGTAAATTTACGTCAAAAAAAAAAAACAAATTAACTTGTGAGTTTCTACATATTTGGTCACAAACACTAGTTGGTGTGAGAAGTATGAGTTTGTGTGCTACTTGAAAATGGAGAGAAAACCTGAGTTTCACACATAACATGATATAGCAAAACTGGTTATTATGTCATTCTTCTGTAGAATTAATTGAACTTAACTTATTCAACAGAGTTGTTGCAACTAACAAAAACATCAATTTAAAGTTACAAACCAAGTGATGTAAAGATGGATTACATGCGAGAATAAGTTTTTTTTTGGGTTAAAGCAAGCCGCAATATTTTCTTACCAAATTCAATCGACTCCAGTTCAAAACTAAACATGAATGACCGAACACAAAACCCAATTTGTGGGTGTGACTTCAACCTCTAATTTGTTTACCCATATCTCAAAAGCTAATACATACAGTGTGTAAATATGTATATAAATTAGTTAGGGGCTTAATAATTAAATTAGGGGGTTATGCCAGATATGAAATTAACTAGTAGTTGACTCGACTATGTTAGGTTTTAAAAAGTGAAATAAATTTAATAAAACTTTGAAAACTTTAGAGCAAAATGGGTCCATAGCTCAGTGGTAGAGCAATTGACTGCAGATCAATAGGTCACCGGTTCGAACCCGGTTGGGCCCTATTTATTCACTTTTTTGCCTTTTGAATTACCTTTTTTATAAAAGCTCTAATGGATAATCCATTAGCATTTAGCATGTATTTGACAACTAACTTTCTTTGGGATGGGCATTTTTTGTTGTTGTTGGACAACCTTTATCCGATAAGAATAACCCAAATTACTCAAATGTAGTCAACGATCTCATATAGTTTTAAGAAAATATTCCTACACTTGCTCGATCATATAAAAGAAAACCAAACAAAATAAAAAATATGAGAGAAAGAAATGGAAAAAGTGAGGGTTAATTATCCCATCGAAGCCACTCAAGTCTCGATCTACTCTATGAGAAAAACGGTAGACCGCTAAACTAACTCACCAGACACTCACCTCATCAGCTAAAACCAACTTCTCCATTCCCTTTATAAACCATTGCTAATTTTAGTCATTTTGATATTATCAACTTTCCATCATAAACTAACCAAAGAAAACAAGCATAAAGTCATTTCTTTTTTATAGAAGAAATGGGTATTATGGATATGGCTTTGTTTGGTGTACTTTTAGTTAATGCCCTTCTTCTGGTTGATGCCTCCAGAAATATGCCATTTGCTTACCAAAGTCAATTGCAAAGACATTGTAGCACAACAAAGTACACTTCACTTTGTGTCCAAACCTTACAAGAGTTTGGACATGGATCTCTTCAAGGTCTCGACTTTGTGTCTTTCCTTGTCAACAGAACTATCTCTGACTCCGATCTGCTAATTCCTCCCCTCTCCTCTTCGATGGGTTCCTCCAAACTTGTTTCTCTGGAAGATTCCACATATAATTTGCCTTCGGCTTCGATCTCAGGTACACAAGCACAACATATTAATTTAGCACCGTTTCTTCACGATTATAATCAACACCTATAGTTTTTTTTTTATATATAAAAGAGAGAACCTTATCAAAATACATGATTCTTTACTGCCATACATTTTCAATCTCAACTCTCTTTCATTTTTATAGTTCACTACTTTCAATCATCGATTTATGAGTTTTTTAGATATTATATGATAGAAAATTATGGGCATGCCCATCAGGCCATCATCTACTCGGTTACTAAAACAAACAAACAAAAAAATTCATAAATTAAAGTAGTATTTAATTTATTATCTCTACTTCACCTAATGTTTATCTTTTATCTCTATCAAGTGCACCTAATAATTTTGACAAATCATGCAAGTACAAGTCTCAGTACATAATAGCCAAAATTGTTTATCGATTTAATCCAAAAAACTTCAAGCAAAAAAATACAAAACTTAAAGGTGATGATAGTGACTGGGATCAATAACGTTACAGATTTATGTGAACGGCTCATGAAGATGTCTACAAGACGACTTGGGCAAGCCATGGAAGCTCTCAACGGCTCATCCAGAAAGCGTCACAACAAACACGACGTCAAAACATGGCTCTCCGCCGCCATGACTTTCCAACAATCATGCAAAGACTCCATCCTCGATTCCCGTGAAACCTCTTCCTCCTCCTCCGTGACCGTTAGCCACATAACACAGAAAATGGATCACCTCTCTCGGCTCGTCAGCAACTCCTTAGCCCTCCTCGACACACTCATGGAGAATCCAAAGCCAAATTCAAAGCCAACCGTTCTTCCCCGGTGGGTCTCCGCCGGAGAACGCAGACTTCTAGCAGGCCGCACGTCTAGAAGAAGAGCACACGTGGTAGTCGCCAAAGACGGATCCGGAGATTACCGGACCGTGATGGAGGCTGTCACAGCTGCCAACGGAAATGGCAGGTTCGTAATTTACGTGAAAAGAGGGATTTACAAAGAGAAAGTACGTATCGAGAAAGATGAGATCACTCTGATCGGTGAAGGCAAAGACCGGACGGTTATTGTCGGCGATGACAGTGTCGCCGGAGGAACTTCCGTGCCAGAAACCGCTACAATGAGTAAGTACATACATTCATTCATATTACATACATAAGTGGGACAAATACATTATATGTTACACATTTGTAACAAAAAGAAAAGTTGGTTAGGTGATAATAAGAAGCTATGCATATTTTTTGCAGCGGTTACGGGTGACGAATTCATCGGACGAGATATCGGAATCAAGAACACGGCAGGGCCAAGAGGAAAACAAGCCATAGCATTAAGCATCACATCAGACCGGTCGGTGTTATATAGATGTAGCATCTCTGGTTATCAAGACACACTCTACGCAGCTGCTCTGCGTCAGTTCTATAGAGAATGCGATATTTATGGAACCATAGATTTCATTTTCGGAAACGCGGCTGCGGTTTTCCAAAGCTGCAACATATTCTTGCGTCGCCCTAGTGATATCAGGGCCTATAATGTGATTCTTGCAAACGGGAGGACGGACCAGCGTCAAAATACCGGATTTGCCCTTCATAGTTGTAGGATCCATACGGATTTGGAATTTTCGGCCGTGAAAGATATGTATAGCTCCTACTTAGGAAGGCCGTGGAAGATGTATTCGAGGTCTATAGTGATGGAAACGTATATCGGCGATGCGATCGCGGAGGAAGGATGGGCCGGGTGGTTAAACTCCGGTGAGGAAGTACTAAAGACATTGTACTTTGGGGAGTTCAAGAATTATGGTCCTAAAGCTAGAGTTTCCAAGAGAGTGACGTGGCAAGGGTTTCACTTGATTGGGTTCGAAGAGGCAAGTTATTTTAGCGTTGGTAAATTTCTTGATGGAGTTTCTTGGTTGCCCTCTACGGGAATTAGTTTCGCTTCGGGTATTTAGCTATACGACTAAGATACATATATCGAATGTAAATTCAGTTTTATATGGTCAACAAAATGCGATGGTCATGTGACATTTGAAATTAACCCGGTCACTATAAGTCTACAACTGAGTAGATGATATTATCGATAAGTGGTTTTGGAGGAAAACAAAAAACTTTCAATCATAGATATACGAGTTTCTAGATACTATATGTTAGAACAACCATCTAGTGTTTTAATGTTTTTGATAAGTGGTTTTGGAGGAAAAACAATTGTTTTGACTTTTTCAAATTTCTCCTATATTTTTACTCTATAATTTTGGATGGTATTACGTATTAGGTTGTCTTCGATATTACTGACATGTATAAATAAGATTGAAAATAGTCTAACTATTTTATTAAATTCCAATGATAGTACAAATATCCTACAAAATGTCTTATTTGAGATTAATGGAGGAATTAATTAAAAGTACAACAACAAAGTTTTAAACCAGTAACAAAACGTTCGGGCACGCATAGACCTATAGTCCCCGGTGGAAAATCAGGCGGTCCACATTTAATTTTGCACTCCTCGTCAGTATTGCACCCACCTCTGAATTTACACTCCATAGGCTGGGCTTTTTCTGTCTTCAATACTATAAATTGCATAAAAATCAAGAAGGCTCATTAGTTTACTATACTTTTTTTTCTACGAAATTATGTATTGATCGGTAAAGCACTGTCTACCAATTTGTATGTGGATGTTTTTTCTTTTTATAAAAGATAAATATTTATTAAAAACGTGTGTAGCAGAATATTTAAATAAAAAACCAATATATAAATAACGTAAACAAGAGAAAACTATCAGAGTGTATATAGTGACTGTATAGTAACACGTGTACATACGTATAGCTAAACTTGTATATAACACACATCTATACAGAGAATTACAATTAATGAGAATACAGTTTATTTACTCGTCTTCTCTATTATGGTATCAGAGCTTAACTAACTTTCGCTCATCTAATTTTCTTTCATTTTGATCATTTTCGCTTCAATTTCGTCTTGATTCGTCGGAATTCTTCCGATTAATCTTCTTCTCCGATCAATCCTTGTTGTTTTGCCGGTTTATTTTCCAAATTCTGTTCAGAAATGGCGAAGAAATCAACTCGGAATTGTCGGAATCAATCTCCTAGTCCCGGAGATGCTTCATCAACTCGGAATCGTCGGAATCAATCTCCTGGTCCCGGAGATGCTTCATCGGAACACCGTCGCTCATCCTTTACTCCTGAGGATCATGAGCAAACTCCGATTGCTCCGATTCGTCGTGCTTCTGGTCCCGAAGTGCGAAACAAAGCTTATGTTCCTCCTGGATCTGAATCGATTGACAGCATCCATAGTCCATACTTTCTTCATTCAGGAGATCATCCTGGTATGTCCATTGTCTCTGAAATCTTGAATGGAGATAATTACAATACATGGATTATTGCGATGACTGTTAGTATCGAAGCTAAGAACAAAATTAGGTTTGTGAATGGCTCCTTACTTAGACCAGATGAGACAGATCCATTATTTGCTATTTGGTGTCGTTGCAATAGTATGGTCAAAGCTTGGATTCTCAATGTGGTTTCGAAGCAGATATATGCTAGTATTCTATATTTCCAAGATGCTCATGCGATATGGACGGATTTGGCTAAACGATTTCACAAGACAAATCTATCTCTGATCTATCGCCTGGAATCAGATATTGTTCTTCTTAAACAAGGTTCTATGGACTTAGCATCATATTATACGGCCAAAGTCACCTTGTGGGAACAACTAGCAAGCACCAGACCACAGATTGTAGCTGACGACTATGATAATCCAAAGGTTAAGCTGTTGTTAGCTGATCAAGAAACGAGCAAGATTGTTCAGTTTTTAATGGGACTGAATGATGAATTTGCATCAGTTAGGAGTATTATCTTGAACACTAAACCAAGACCAAGCCTATCCGATATCTACAACATGTTAGATGAAGATGAAAGTCAGAGGATGAAATCTAAGGCTGCTCATAATCCTTCTACATTCAGTGTTCAAACTTCTGATGCTTCTCAGATGGCTATGGCAGTTACCAGTAATGGATATCAGAAGAATGTGGGAAAACCTCGTGCTGTTTGCTCTCATTGCAACAAACTAGGCCATACTGTGGATCGTTGCTACAAAGTTCATGGATTTCCTCCTGGCTGGAAACCAAAGTGGGATTCTAAATCAAAGCCCAACACACAGTTTCCTCCTAATGCTTCTGCAAATATGACTGTGACGGATTCTCCTATTTCTACTTCTGATATGGGTAATGATTTGTCTAAGGATCAGCTTCAACAAATCATTTCTTTCTTCAGCTCCAAACTTCAACCACAGAACAATATAACTCGTTCAAATGAAGCTTCTACTTCGGATGATTCTGGATCTCAACCAACAATTTGCCATGTCTCTGGTAACTTCTATCCTCCCATTTTTTGTTCAACTACTGGTACGAATCAGTCTTACTACTATTCAAATTCCCATGATGTGGCTGTTATGAATGATTGGGTAATAGATACGGGAGCTACACATCACGTGTCTCCTGATTTATCTCTATTTACTCAATTTCATTCTCTAGATAACACACATGTTGACTTGCCTAATGGAGTGGCAGTTAATATCATTGGATTGGGAACAATAGTATTGAACAAAAATGTGGAATTAAAGAATGTTCTCTACATTCCTCACTTCAGATTTCATCTGCTCAGTGTCAGTGCTTTGACGAACAGTTTACCCTGTGGAATTTGGTTTGACAGTAAGATTTGTGAAATTCAGGATCTTACAAGGGAAAAGACGATTGGGAGAGGTAGACAGCGCAGCAATCTGTATATTCTTGATATTGGCTCTCTCACCACTGTTCCTGCCATATCAGTTTGTACTACATCATCTACTAGTCCAGAAGTTTGGCACCAGCGTTTAGGGCACCCATGTCATCAGAGATTAGAAGTGTTGGCAGATACTCTTTTTACATCTTCTTCAAAGAATAAAGCTCATAGTCAGAGCCATTGTAAAGCTTGTCATTTGGCAAAGCAGAAACAATTATCCTTTGTATCTCGCAACAACATTTCAAATAAACCCTTTGATTTGGTGCACATTGATACATGGGGTCCATTTGCTGAAGCTTCTTATGATGGTTATAAATATTTTTTGACCATTGTAGATGATCATTCTAGAGCAACCTGGATTTATCTAATGAAGAACAAATCAGAGGCAATCACAGTCTTTTCAGATTTTGTTGCAATGATTGAGAAACAATATCAAGTCGGCATCAAAGGAGTGAGATCTGACAATGCTCCTGAGTTCAATTTCACACAGTTTTTTAAAGATAAAGGGATTGTGGCTTATCATTCATGTCCAGAGACACCACAACAGAATTCAGTAGTTGAAAGGAAGCACCAACATATTTTGAATGTTGCAAGAGCTCTCATGTTTCAATCAAACATACCATTGATCTATTGGAGTGATTGTGTTTTAACTGCTGTTTTTTTAATCAACAGAACTCCTTCTCCGGTTATTTCTCAGAAGACTCCGTATGAACTTCTAAAACATAAACCTCCAGACTATGATTCTCTCAAAGTTTTTGGATGTTTATGCTACAGTTCTACTTCTTCAAAACAAAGACACAAATTCGCTCCAAGGGCTAAAGCTTGTGCTTTTCTGGGTTATCCTAATGGATATAAAGGATACAAACTATTGGATCTGGAGACTCATACGGTTTTCATCTCTAGAAATGTCATTTTCCATGAAGATCTTTTTCCTTTTGCTGCATTTGATCATAAGGATATTGATCATTTGTTTGGTGATCCGGTGAAGATAGGACAATCTGATGGTCAAAACAAAGCAACCGTTGAGTTATCTGATGTGATTTCTGGTACTGAGGCCGTGACTGCAACTGCCGATAATGAAGTCATTCTGGATAAAGGAAAAAATGTGGTTACCTCTTCACGGAAGATTAAACCTCCAAGTCACCTTCAAGACTATCATTGTTACTCCATCCGTGGTACCACTCCTTATCCTATCACTGACATTTTGACTGATAAGTATCTTTCGTTATCTTATCAGATATATGTTAATGCAATCACCAAGGAGCATGAACCCACTTGTTATAGTGAAGCCAAGAAATATGACGTGTGGGATAGTCCCATGAAAGAAGAATTGAACAATATAGAAGTAACAGGCACTTGGTATGTAACTACTTTACCCTCTGATAAAGAAGCTATTGGCTGTAAATGGATTTACAAAGTCAAATATTTAGCTGATGGCACAGTAGAGAGATACAGAGCCCGCTTAGTTGCCAAAGGCTTCACACAGAAAGAGGGACTAGATTACATTGACACATATTCTCCAGTTGCTAAGTTGTCTTCTGTGATGCTGTTGTTGGGTATTGCTGCTGTTCTCGGTTGGTCTTTGCATCAACTTGATATTTCGAATGCATTTCTCAATGGAGATTTGACTGAAGAGATATATATGAAGTTACCACCAGGATACGCAACACTTAAGGGGGAGAAATTGCCTGATAATGCTGTTCTTCGCTTGATGAAATCTATCTATGGTCTTAAACAAGCATCAAGACAATGGTTCCTTAAGTTTGCTAATACATTGAAATCTATGGGTTTTATGAAGACTGGACATGATCACACCTTGTTCACTAAAACCTATGGAGAGATTTTTGTGGCGGTTTTGGTATATGTAGACGATATTGTGGTGGCCAGTAATAATGATGAAGCTGCAGAATTGGTCAAAACACAACTAAAGTCTCATTTTAAGCTGCGTGATTTAGGTCCTCTCAAATATTTTCTGGGCTTAAAAATTGCTAGATCCAAGGAAGGGATCTCAGTTTGTCAAAGGAAGTATGCATTGGAGTTATTGGCAGCAACAAACATGTTGGGATGTAAACCTTCTTCAATTCCCATGGAACCAAATCAGAGACTAGCTAAAGACGAAGGAGAAGTCTTTGAAGATGTTGAATTGTATCGATGTTTGATAGGTAAATTGATATATCTCACTATCACTCGTCCAGATCTCTGTTTTGCTGTTCAGAAGTTGGCCAAATATACATCTGCACCACGTGTTCCTCACTATCAAGCGTTGATGAAGGTCTTACGGTATGTGAAAGGAACAGTTGCACAAGGTTTATTCTTTTCTGCATCTTCTTCTCTGCAATTGAAAGGGTTTGCTGATGCTGATTGGGGATCATGTCCCGATACTCGACGTTCAGTCAGTGGTTATTGCATATTTCTTGGAGATTCCCTTATATCCTGGAAATCCAAGAAACAGAAGATTGTTTCGGCTTCTACAGCTGAGGCAGAATATCGAAGTCTTGCTCTTGCCACAAAGGAGATGGTTTGGTTGCGCAATTTACTTGGAGATTTTCACATTGATCAATCCAAACCATCGGTCATGTTCTGTGACAATACCGCAGCTATCAACATTGCTCACAACCCCGTCTTCCATGAACGGACGAAACACGTGGAGATGGATTGTCACCAGACTCGTGATCGGATAGATGAAGGTATTCTCAAGCTTCTTCATGTTCGTACTGATGCGCAGATTGCAGATATTATGACAAAGCCACTATATCCTTCTCAGTTTCAGAACTTGAAGAACAAGATGAGTTTGTCGAACATCTTTTCACCATCCTCATCTTAGGGGGAGTATCAGAGTGTATATAGTGACTGTATAGTAACACGTGTACATACGTATAGCTAAACTTGTATATAACACACATCTGTACAGAGAATTACAATTAATGAGAATACAGTTTATTTACTCGTCTTCTCTATTAAAAACCAATATTTACTCTTTGATTGGGACGTAAATACGAGAGAACATGCTATGAGAAGAGCTGCAAGTTGAAATTTTGACAAAGCCATTTCGTTAGAATGAGTATTTTGATAATTGTTTCTTTCTTGTACAAGTATATTAGATAAAAAAAAAAGAAGAGTATGCCTATATATATTGTATATATGGAAGAGTCAATAATATCGAAATGGCTTTTTGTTTTTCCTTAACAGGTTGAGAGTTTGGTAAAAATTATAAAGATAAAAAAAAAATTCCCATAAAAAATTATATGTGGTCAACTCTTGACCATGGGTTTGTACTTGAATTAGTCTTTTTATCAACAAATTCAATTTCCTTTGAAGAAACTTATTTAAATTTAAATTTGTAAATAATTATTCATGTCATTAACATTTACTGTATAAAAAGATCTATACATATGTCATTATTTCTATAAGTATGTCAGTATATGTATTGATTAATTTGATTTAATTACCTTCAATTTATGATTATTTTATTTGAGAGTATATATAATGATTAAACTGATTAAGTAATGGCTAACGGGTCAAGTTAGTTGGGCTTTAAGAACCGAGATGAGCAAAGCCCAAGAAGAAAAGCTGTCCAACGCAATCGAGACTTGTTGAGGAAGCCTTTGCCCATCATCTTGTTAAATGGTTGTGGCGCTTCTTTCAATTATTTTTCAGATTTCGCCATTTCCCTCCTCTCGCTAGTCGCAAATTCTCTTTTGCTCTCTCGCTTTCACTGGTGCCACGAATCTGTTCTGATAGAGAGCGATGACGACGATGGAGCAGCGTAGAAACCAGAATGCTGTTCAACAACAAGACGTCGAAGAGATCCAGCACGGCCCTTTTCCCGTCGAACAGCTTCAGGTACAGTTTCTCCAGAGCTTTTTCTTTCGTTTGTAGTGGAAATTTACTCTCTTTTTGCGTAATCTCCACCAGATCTTGCGCTAATCGAAATGGGCTCTGGTTAGTTTCTCTAAAGAATTCTGCTTTTTTCTCCACTCTTTGTTCGTTCTCGCGATGAATGTGAGCTAAATTTGGGTTTCGCTAAGGTCTGTAGAGTGAAACATTTTTAGGGTTTTGTTTGATTTCAGATAAAATTAACACTTTTAGGATTTTTTTTCCTTTGGCGATTACATTTTTAATCCGCTCAATATTGTATAATTTCTCTCTTGCTCTGTCTCCAATGTCATAATCTCTGTGGGTTTACTCAGTTCCTTTGATTTGTATTCATAAAATGGATATGAATTAATGTTTTAAACCCTTCAAACTTCAGGCGGCAGGTATTGCTTCCGTTGATGTAAAGAAGCTTAGGGATGCTGGTCTCTGCAGTGTTGAAGGTGTTGCATATACTCCAAGGAAGGATCTCTTGCAGATTAAAGGAATTAGTGATGCCAAGGTTGACAAAATCGTTGAAGCAGGCATGTCACCTGAGAAGAACTTACATTCCTTCTCTGTTAATTACACAACATCTCATTGATCCTTTTAGAGTTTATACATTTTCTTAATTGTGTTTCCTCCTGTGACAGCTTCAAAGCTGGTTCCTCTGGGTTTCACTAGTGCTAGCCAGCTCCATGCCCAGAGACAGGAGATAATTCAGATTACCTCTGGATCACGGGAGCTCGACAAAGTTCTTGAAGGTTGGTTCTGGTTTTTGGTGCATCTTAAAACGGAATATTGCTATTTTGATCTTACTTTTCCTTATACTCAACAGGAGGAATTGAAACTGGATCCATCACTGAGTTATATGGTGAGTTCCGCTCTGGGAAGACTCAGTTGTGCCATACACTGTGTGTAACATGTCAAGTAAGAACCCGTTTTCTGAATGTACCACTCAGCTATTATTGCTTATCTAGTAGGAACCAGTGAAGTTGAATTTCTTCGTATGTTTTTGCAAAAATGAGAAAGATATTAAGATTCATGTTTAAATGGTTAGCTTCCCATGGATCAAGGAGGTGGAGAGGGAAAGGCGATGTACATCGACGCGGAGGGAACATTCAGGCCACAAAGACTGTTGCAAATAGCTGACAGGTATGTTATCTTTGTAACACATGTGAGATCACGGTGGGCTCTTGAGAAAGTAGAATCCATAAGAAATCTATTAAAATGAGGCAGGTTCGGGCTAAATGGAGCTGATGTGCTGGAAAACGTGGCCTATGCGAGGGCCTACAATACTGATCATCAGTCAAGGCTTTTGCTTGAAGCAGCATCAATGATGGTTGAAACAAGGTTCATAGAGTTTCTTTTTGGTGTTCAGTTAAGTCCATCGGGAGAGTGCTAACCGTGAAAGTTATGATGTTACAGATTTGCTCTCGTGATTGTCGATAGTGCTACAGCTCTCTACAGGACAGATTTCTCTGGAAGGGGAGAGCTTTCAGCCCGACAAATGCATCTTGCAAAGTTCTTGCGAAGTCTTCAGAAGTTAGCTGATGAGGTGAACATTTGGTACTAGTTACTGTTTCCTTTCCAAAATTGCTCTGAGACACCATCACGAAGTTTTCTCTCACATGTTTAATGGCTCTAGTTTGGTGTGGCCGTCGTCATAACAAACCAAGTAGTTGCGCAAGTAGATGGTTCAGCTCTTTTTGCTGGTCCACAGTTTAAGCCAATTGGTGGCAATATCATGGCTCATGCCACCACAACAAGGTGTGTAATCTTTGCAAATTCGAATCCTTTGTTTCCTTTTTTTGTGTGTGTAGGGTTCATTGGGAAAATGTGTTTGTTTATGACGCAGGCTGGCACTGAGGAAAGGAAGAGCAGAGGAGAGAATCTGCAAAGTGATAAGTTCGCCATGCTTGCCAGAAGCAGAAGCTCGATTTCAAATATCAACAGAAGGTGTAACAGATTGCAAGGATTGATTGTTTTGGCTTGCTTCTCTGCCTTTTTGTGTTGTGAGCAACCCATTTCACTTGTAATGTCAAAGAAGCTTGTTCTTTTGTTTCTAGTCACTGTTGATTAAGAACAGACTGTGTAAGCATAAAAGTAGTGATGAGAGAGCAAAAACAAGTTTTGTAAGTAGGTTTACCCGGTAATGAAAGTTGCTTACCTTTTCCTTTTTTTTTTTCTGTGTGTAAACGCCTCGTGTGTAAAGCAATATTAATCTAGGTTTCACTGGACATCCACGATCCTTTTCACCCCTTTTTTTTGGGGATCATATTACTTTTTATAAACTTTAAGATTCACATTAACAAAAAAGTTAGTATACGTTTTCAACTCTTAAGTCTTAACAATATTCTAACCTTAGGCCGAATGATGCATAGAAAATGTTCAAGCCAATTGTGTAGACCTTTTTTTTAAGGTTTTAGTCTAAAATATAGTATTCTCGTCTAAAGATCTTTATACAAGCAATTAATTATTTTATTCCGTTTGTTCCGGCCAAATATTCGGTGTTAGAGTCACCGTTGGGTGTCTTAGATAATTCTTGTGCAACCGTAAGTAAACACGTTAGGCCCAAAAATAATACGTTAACAAAAAGTATAGTAATCGAGTTGACAAAAAGAAAAAGATAACACAATCCCTGCAGTTTTTTTTTGTTTTTTGGTTGGCGTCAGCAACACAGATGATCAAACATGGTTTTGTTTATCATTTTCAGAAAATCTCAAATTATTTGCTAAAATGCCTCGATGATTGATTATAGTTTTAAAAAAATAAGGATGTGAAATGAATGAAATATATTAAAAGAAGAAAGAGTAATAACTCCTCGAAAGTGCAGCTATTCCATTAGAGTCCAGACAGCTGTAGGTGTAGCATTGTCACGGGCTTTATTTTTATTTTTATTTTTCTCTCCATTGCAAATCCCTAAAATAATAAATAAATAAATAAATAGAAATTGTGGTTTTCGTCGTCTCTTTCTCTTCCGATCCAATCTTCTCCTTCTCTCTCGACAGAAACAAAGAAAACAGCTGAAACATATCATCATCATCATCTCCTCATTTTCTCTCTCTCTCTACATCATAAAACCCCCTTCCCCTCTCTCTCTCTATCTTCTTCCTCATATAAACTTCTCGTTGCTTCTAATTATTCATTCTTTCAACCAATTTGTCATCTCATCTTCTGTTATTCCCATTTTTCAATTTTCAACTTCTAATTCTGCGAATCTGAGCTTCCTTCTTCGTTTGTTTGTGCTTTGGACTGGTGATCTCCGTGATCGGGTTTGTTCACCTGCTTACCGTATTCCGTCTCTATTTAGTCGCATTTGTTCGATTCGAGAGCAGCAGGGAGGAATCAGTTGAGATTCTGTATTTGTTTTCGTCGGTTCTGGAGATTTTTTTTTCTTTCACGAGACTGCTCGGTTGTTTCTAAGTCCACGGTGCGAACCTCGGGGCAAGAGATTCGTGTTGTCCGTGAAATTAACGAGCTTCGACGCTAATATTGGTTGCCCCTTCTACCTGTTATTCGCTGCGGAGAGCATCTTTGATTTGGTTGCGTGTGAATTCGGCATCTTTCCTTTTCCCGAGTTAAGTTTGTACTCTGGATTTCGGAAATTGGTGAATGCTCCGGCGAGAGATTCCCTGAGCCAGCGGCTTGGGCGTAGATCTGTAACTCAAAGGCCACTGTCAAAAGGAGCGAGGAATTTGCAAATCAGCTATGACCGCATCGCCATCGGTGGATAATGGAGGCTCAGGCTCCTCTGGATCATCTGCCCTTCAAGGCTGTATGCAAGAATTCAAACTCTTCGAGACTCAATCGGTAAGTAAAGGTTCCACCTTGAGTATTCTCACTGCCATTTGGTTGTCAAAGGATAATTTGTATTACTGGTTCCCTATAGATACTTGTAGCGAGGTTCATTGACTGTCTCACTATCATGATTTTTTTTTTTTATTCCTCAGAATTTCTACATGATTGGTTGGAATGGTAGTGGAGTGTATAGAGTACTAAAGATAGACCGGTTGGATGCGTCTGAGCTTAACGTCAGTGAGGATTCGACTGCGTATACAAAGAAAGAATGCTACGAATTGCTAAAACGGATACACGAAGGGAACAAGGCGACAGGCGGACTGAAACTTGTCACTGTTTGTTTTGGCATCATTGGTATGTGTTTTGTCTCGAGTTATGTTTACAGGAGAGTAGGTGGTTTTACTTTACAGCTTGTTCTCACAACATTTTTTGGATCGTTTTATGTGGTCTCAGGGTTCATTAAGTTTTTGGGACCCTACTACATGCTGCTTATCACTGAAAGAAGAGATATTGGTGAAATTTGTGGTCACAGGGTCTATGAAGTGTCAAAGAGTGAGTTAATTTCATTGCAAAGTTCTAGTGTGCTTTGCAACATTGCAAATTCAAGAGACGAGAACAGGTATTTTGTTACGTTTGCTACAGTGTGCTTTTTTTTTTTTTGAATTCCATTGTTGAAGAGATTTCCTTTTTTCTTTTTCTGATTGGTGAAATAAGAGAATGCGCGTCATTAGTTATTTCACCCTTCCACCCTTTTGATGAACTGAAGTCATGTAACCCTTGCGTCTCCTTATCTGGTGCTTCCCACTTGATTATAATCAGGTACAAGAGGCTCCTGAGTGTGGTGGACCTTACGAAAGACTTCTTTTTTAGCTATTCTTACAATATAATGCGAAGTTTCCAGAAGAATATATGTGACCATGAGAGTGGAGGTGTTCTTTATAAGAAAATGTTTGTGTGGAACGAGTTTTTGACTCGGGGAATTCGACATCATCTTCGAAATACCGTGTGGACTGTAGCATTGGTGCATGGTTTCTTTAAGCAGGTAAGAATTGCATTTATTTGTGCACGTCACAGCTAGAAGAAAGAAAGTTTGCCTAAATCAAATGCACATATTCTTTTTCTTTTCTCACAGCCGTAGTCTTTTTTCATTGTGCACCATTTTCTTTGGAATCACTAATTTGCTTCCCTAAATCATGTTTTGTCTCGCACCAAAATGTCTCAAAAAAGAAGCTTTCTGTCTCAGATGCATATGTTGTTTTAGTTATGTATTATTTTGATATTCATATTCTTGGTCGTGCTATTTCAGATACACATCTATGATCACTGGCGTCTTTATTCTCAAATACCTTGATAGTCTCACAGTACTGTTTTGATTTAAGGGTCCTGAATATTATTTTGTTGTGCATGTAGACAACTCTTTGTGAAGCTGGACGGAATTTCAAACTCACTCTTATTGCTAGGCGTTCCCGCCATAATGCTGGAACCAGGTATCGGATCTCATCACTCCATTGTTTCCTGCTTTGTGTGGTAAAGATGAGTATTATAACTCGTTCTATATTTTAACCTTTAGCAGTGATACGAAATCACTGCAAATAAAGCTGTCCTCATTGTTAATCACATAAGAATACATGAGCAAGCACTGTATTCTATTTGTCCATCTCCAGCGTTCTTTCCAACATTATGGGATTTAAATTATACATCTTTACTTGAGGTAGTTATTATACTTCTTTTTTCCTAAACCGCTTTTGATTTTAGGTACTTGAAACGAGGAATAAACGAAAGTGGCAATGTTGCTAATGATGTCGAAACAGAGCAGATAGTTTCTGAGGACGTTCCTGAAGACCATCCCATGCAAATAAGTTCTGTTGTGCAGAATCGTGGCTCGATCCCTCTATTCTGGTCACAAGAGACCTCACGAATGAAAGTTAAGCCGGATATAGTATGTAAGTGTTATTACACTAGATATGCTGCCTGGTCCTCTCTCTCTCTCTTCTCTTTCTCTCTTCTCTTTATCTCTCTTTCTATCTCTAACTCTCCTTTGTGTTTGAATACCTCAATGTCAAATCCAGTGTCAAAAAGGGACCTGAACTATGAGGCAACTAGACTTCACTTTGAAAACCTTGTAGAGCGATACGGAATCCCCATCATTATTCTGAACTTGATCAAAGTGAGTTGCCTTTCATGATCTTATAATCTTTCACGCCTTAGGCATTTCACTTCCCTGGGTGCTTGTGTTGGCAAGTGATGTGTCTGCTTGCACCTTAGTCTAGTTATACTATCAATGACTGGAACTACTGTGAGTGCATTATAAGCTTGTTCTTGCACCTTAATCTAGTTAAATTACAATGAACGGAACTCCTGTTTGTGCATAGTTAATTTGATGCTCTCACACCTCAAAATTTAACAGATGTTTCCTGTTGTTTTTGACTATCAATAGACAAAAGAGAGGAGACCCAGGGAATCGATTCTCCGGGCAGAGTTTGCTAATGCAATAGACTTTATAAACAAAGATCTGCCTGAAGAAAACCGCCTAAGATTCCTCCACTGGGATTTGCACAAACATTTTCAGAGGTATCCATTTAAATTTGCGTCCCAGCTGCTTCAAAAAATGAATACCTTTAAGTATAATTTAGATAAAACCAGTCTTTTCTTTGTCTTTATTTCAGCAAAACAGCAAATGTGTTGGCATTTCTTGGCAAGGCAGCTGCCTGTGCTTTGATGCTAACGGGTTTCTTTTATTATCAAGTTACCCCCGCAATGAAGCTTGAGGGTTATATGAGCTTGTCTTCTTCTGAGTAAGCCTTTTTGCTTGATTTCATGTATTTCACTAGTTCATCATAAAAAAATTCTTCAATTTATAAGTCGCGCTCGGTTTTAAGATTAATCTGCCATAGTAGTTCATGGAATCATTCTTTTAGTTAAGAAGTCCTTTCATGGCTAATTGTCATTAACAATCCTTAATTTATGTTACTCTTTGGAAATGGGTAATAGCATTCAACTATAACTTGGTGGAAAATGATGTTATTCACTGTTTCTATTAAAGTTATATATCCTGCAGTAGTAAACTCTTACAGTACTGAGGTCTTAAAATTGCAGCGCCGACATGTCTCCACATAATAGTTCTGATGATGATAGTGGGGAATTTGATTCCCTTGAGAAGAATTTTCGCCCAAGTAAGAATGTTACTAATGGCGATTATAACATCAAGCCTGGCAGGCTCCAGAGGGGCGTGCTGAGGACCAATTGCATAGATTGCCTTGATCGTACGAATGTTGCACAATATGCATATGGTTGGGTTGCTCTAGGACAGCAGCTTCATGCTCTGGGAATTAGAGATGCTCCAACAATAGAACTTGATGATCCTTTGTCTAGTTCTTTAATGGGTTTATATGAGAGAATGGGAGATACACTAGCTTACCAGTATGGTGGATCTGCAGCACACAATAAGGTAATTCCGTGTTCACTTTTTTTATTTTCATGAAACTCTCTTATGTGAAATCTTCCGCTAGAGACAGTTAGTTGATACTAAGGCAGGGCTATTTGTTATGCACAAAGTAGATTCTATTTAGTCTCAGTTGGGAATGATTTATGAATGACTCCATAAGATGAATAGTATGCCTTTTCTCGTTAACAATTTTGAATGTTCACAGTTATTAATAACAGGCCTTGCTTTTTTTCTAAAGACAAATCTAAGCTCATGAAAATTTTAAGAGTTCATTTCTCATTATCAAAATAAATTTCATTTGTATTACCTTGGACCGTTTGGTATTCATCATATGTAATGAATTCGGTGTAAAGAGTAATGAATCTGGTCCACTTTTCTGATATTGATCTTTAATGTCCAATAATAAGTCCCCTTCTTAGGTAAATTGTTTTATTTATCATCTATGTTATCGCAATGCAATTGGACCCTTGGTATTTGACTTTCGTGAAAGTACATCGAACTTTAGACTAGTGTCAAAATTCATTTTGTAATCTGTCTCCTTACACCGAATAATGATGTTTGGATCTTCTGCACCGGACTCAAGTTACGATTACGTTCACTATTGTTTGGATACACTTTGTTGATTCATCGAATTTCTGGTGTGCAATAGGTTTTCAGTGAGAGGAGAGGCCAGTGGAGAGCAGCAACCCAGTCACAAGAGTTCTTGAGGACTCTGCAACGTTATTATAATAACGCATATATGGATGCGGATAAACAAGATGCTATTAATATGTAAGCTACTCTGTGTCACTCTCTCTCTCTCATATATCTATATTACGCATGATCTCCCAGAGTCTTACAGAAATTATTATTTGGGCAGATTTCTTGGTACTTTCCAGCCCGAACAAGGGAGGCAGGCAGTTTGGGAGTTGCGTTCAGATTCCCAATCTAGTGGACGAAATGGAGATATAAGCTCGGGGGAAGATGAAAGGTAGGTTTCTGTGACTGCAAAATTGGATTTCAGATATCCACCAATACAGCGTATATAACTTGTTGCTGCCATGTAGGTAGGTGTATGTATATAGACTTAATGTTCATCTTTTACCTAAGTTCTGAAAATCCATTTTCTTCTTTAAACATACTTTGATGATTGTAGGAGCTATACGAATATCGTAGACCTATTTGCAATGCGTTTTGCATAGGAACTTTGAAACAAATAGAGTCGTCATCTTTCGACATTATCCCTTTCATAGATGTCAACCTCCACCATAACTTCCAATTTCCACTTTCAAATTTTTTGACTGTGTTTCGCTACATCTATGATCATGGCTCTTAATAAAATTTTTTTCCAGGTTTCTTGTGAAGAGGTGCTTATCAGATGGGAATATTCTCCATGAAAGTCACACACCGATGTCCACAGTGAGTAGCAAGCATGAAAGCATATCACATAGAGGCTTCATGTCGTCACAACAAGTGACTAACATAATTACAGAGTCATCACCAGATATGCCAGCTGCTGGTGATGTAGCATTATCGAGGTTTGTTTAAATATTTCTTACTTTTTTCTTCTGATTATAGTTAAATAAAATATATACTGCTGGTTCCTTTAGCTTGAGTGTCCATGCTATGTATGCGTTATAATATTGCTGGGTGCAGCTCAATTGTGCATGACAATTCTATCCATAATAATAGCTCTTCATGTACTCAAAGAATTTGTAAGTGCTATTACACAGTAATAGTTGTCCCTTACTTATCTGTAACATCTTCATAGGTGTGTCCCGTCAATGCCTAGCACACATTTTTTTGGAGATGCGCAGAAGGTTCAACATAATGGTAGTAGCTCCATGTACTTGTCCGAGCAGGAAGACATGTCTAGTGTCTCAAATTTTGTTGATGTCGAGTGGCTTTCATCATCGGAAAATCTATGTGAAAACGATCAATTGTTCAGGTAAAAGTATTGTGCATTAAAGAGAACAGTGTTCGATTTTAAGCAGTTGATGGAATCACCAGATCTCGTGAGATATAAGCTTAAACGTTTCTATATCTATAGCATTATATTGGCCATCTTTCTAAATTTCCAGCTGATTATGTTCCGTCCAAAAATGTGTGTAGGGGTTTCACCATTGATGACCAAAATAACAATAATAGCCTATACCTCATGAATGCTCAAATCAACAATATTTTTGAATCATGGTTTAGTCAATTCACATTATAATTTTTTTGGCAGGCCGTCAGCGCTTACAAGATATTCAACCGCAGAAACGTCATCATCAGAGAATATCGTCAGTGTAGAAAAACAAGCGAAGCCAGCTATGAGCGAGAGTGGATCAAGTAGCAGGAAGGTCAGTTTATCCAAATTCTACTTTGCATATCTCTCCTGCGAGTTTTGTACTGTGAGAATTGGTGTTTCTTAGTTTCTGAGGCTCTAGACCGTAGTTTTATTTGTCTTAGCCTATTGTTAAAATTAGAAACACGAAAATTAGTCTTGAACGATCTCAGATTGGAAGCAGAAGCTACTATAGGATCTAACGAGTAGAAGATATCCAAAAATAACTGAACCTGTCTCAAATAGACGCTTCTGTTGACTCTCTTCTATTACAAAGTTTATAACCCCCAAGCATAAAACGTTAAGATTCATTTGAAATAGCTAGAGTCTGGCCAGTCTGTAATAACTAAGAAAAGAATTTGTCTGGTGAACAAATCCCAACGGTGTAATTTCATATGGTGCTGTTTCATACTTACCAGCTACCTCATATCACACTGCTCTCAGATTATGCGATTGTTTTGAGAGGCATATATTGTCATTTTGGTTACTTAACCTGGTTTATTTCCTTTGGCAGGGAAAGGAACCTATGGGAACCGAACCCTCTGTACACACAAATATTCGCGATGATTTTACAGATAGCTTCAAACAATGGGTAGCCTATGGAGAAGCACTCTGCCATTAAAGCTCTTTCGACTTTCCCAATCCAACAAGAACATGCTTTGCCTTCACCATACTTATGGTCTTTGATGGACATTTGGGTATTACGGTGCAAACATGGAGAAGTGACTGGTAGAGAGATCACAGTACCACGTATTTGAAACTTCACGGTGATGACCATAATGTCAAAAGAGGTATACACTATTTTAAGAGGAGCAAAAAATAAATAGCTGAGAAGCTTGAGTTTGCAGTCTTGCAGAGGGATAGGGAAATTTTCATCTTCGTGGAGAGTAACTTGTGATTATCTGAGACTTTTGTTAGGGTTTGTTTTGGTTTGACGTCTGTTGTAAATATCTGTTTGGTTATTAATCCATCTTGTAACTTCTTTTCCATTGGTAAAAATCTTAAATCGCCTTTAGGTGCTTCAAAACGCAACTGCAGTTATGCGTTTGTGTTTTACGGTGTGGAAACTGTGCCCTGCGATTTCATTGGTTTTAGAACTAATCTTGTAATTTTTTAGAGGATCTTTCAGGGCTTGTACTTTCGTTGTAGAGTTAGATTTCAAATTGGTAGAGAATCTTTTAGGCTTGTCCTCTTGGTATTTAGCTAAGTTACAAATTGTTAGAAGATCTTTCAGGGATCAACGCAATCCTAAGGATCTGTTTTTGTAAAATTTAAATCGATTTTTTAACTAATTCGACAGATTAATATAATCAACTTCAAATTAGTAGTGCTTCGTATATTTGACATGAACCATGGTGTTGTCTTATTTCTTTTGGGTAATTTACCATGGCGATACACATCAATTATTTTAAATTTCATCCACCAAATTAGTAGAAGACAGAAAATGTTTGTGGGTTTGATTTGCTAAATATATGGATGTGTTTAAGTTCCTTTTGCAGAAATTATTTCTCTTTTAGCTTCAAAGTTCCACTTAAATCGCATTTCCAGTTTTCACCAGTTTCCTGTATCATTTCATATAAATCGCAAGTCTGAGTCCATTTCCAACTAAACTATCATACATAAACTAATAATATGTGCTATGAAGATTCTCATAGGTTCTACAAAAGCTAGAAAAATAATGATATCATAAACACACATAAAATATGACATGGATTTGTCTCTGACGAAATAAAAAATTTCGTAGATGTTATCAGATGCATAGCTATACCTTTAATGAACAGAGAAATGCAAACCCTATTTCAAGAAAAGGCGACGTGTGATAGATATCCATAATACCGTGGTTTGTTAAAGAAAATGATGGATGATTGATTATAGCAAAAAAGAACTTTTGATTATTTGTGTTGCTTCAACCTGTATCAATTATCGAGGAAGATCGAACTTCAATTCCAAAAATTAGGCAAACCTAATGGAAATCATGTAATGTTTGACAACTACCTAAATAACCAAAAATGAATTTCCTACATATATATTTATTTATGCATTTGCACAGGCCCCCACCCACAACAAAATTATTTTTTCCATACCTCAAAACATAATGATTGAACCTTATTATTTGGGTTAGGTGGAAACTCTGTTGCTAATTGGTAATTAGGCAAAAGAGCTAGCTAGTGGAGATGTGATTATGAATTAAAATGATTCAATAGCAAGCATAATTTTACAAGGATTGCTATACTGTAGCTTAAAAAGTAACCCCCTGAATAACCGCGTTTGCTTTTTTTTTTGCCCATATTTTATTAGTCTTTAATATTTTCCACATCATGAATCTAAACCTTAGTCCAAAAAATCATTATCATCTCCTTTATTTCATTGGAACTTCTATCGCGAAAAGTTATCCAATGAAAATACAGCATTAAAGCATTTCTAATGGTTGGCTCTATTTTTTGCTCTAAATATAGAGTTCTCCAATGGTTGGCTCTATTTTTGGCTTTAAATATAGAATTCTCTAAAAATAGAGAAAGAGTTTACTCTAATGATCATCTTTATATCTAACTCTAAAAATAAATATTATATTTTATTCTTTATTATTAATTGCTGATAACACCTTCTACTTTTGAAAATTTATAAATGTTCTTTTTATTTTATTTTGAGTTAAAATAATTTTAAAATTTTAAAATTTTAAAATATATATTGTTATTAAAATTTAAGTTAAAATAATTTTATAATAAGTTATTAGTAGTATAAATTGAATTCAATGTAATATTGTTACTTATATTATTTTTTAGATATAAAATGAAAAAATATTAAAACTAAAGGATTGTTTTATAAATAAAAAAGTTTTGCTCTAAAAATAGAGCTATGAACAGTGTTACTCTTTGGAGCAACACTGTTCATTTCTCTATTTATAGAGCAACATATAAAGTACTATTGCAGTTCATTTTACTCTAAAAATAGAGTTTAGTGCAAGATATAAAGCACCATTGGAGATACTCTTACGAATACGATAAGAACTAATTCATCTCAACTTCCACCTTTCACAGAAAAAAAAAAAAGCGAAGGAATATAAAAGGTATAGAAGAAATAGAATTATCGACCACACATCACTTATAAATTGAAATTCTTACCACAACCATTTTAAAAAAAAAGAAATGGTTTCGTCAACAACCATTTAAATACAATAGCTAAACATCAAAAGATAAAGGAGAACAAAAACCACTTACATCTAACAGTCAAAACCACCCCACAGAAGCATATAACAGTGGACTGTGTTTAGAGTTTAGTGGACCAAGTATTACACTTTGCGTACGACAATGATCTGTTTTTGATTATACTAATACAGTAATACGTAACATAATTATAACACAGATTTGTTACTAATTGATTATCGAAAGTCGGTGGGAAGGCACGTCACAGTCAAAGTTGGCCTTATCCAAATAAATTGTAATCTCCTCCTGTTTAGTTGGTGTAGCTCCTAGATTCACTAATACCGTCACTCCGCGTGGTATACTCTTCGTCTTGTTCTACACGTGGGTGGTGGTAGATACAAGTAAGATAAAACATAATAGTATAATACACACAAACCATTTGCAATTTTTTTTTTTAAATGCTTCTGTCACAACAAATAATTTATAAACCAATAAAGCTAGGCAAATGGATGACAAACCATTAACGGATTTACATTAAAAACCATTTCAACGTTTTGCTTGACAAACCCACACAACTGGATTACAGTAACGTATAGATGGTGCTAATTAAAACTTAAAAGTATCAAGGAGATGATTGTTATGTCAACTGATTCGTAACCTAGTATAATTTGTTATATGGCGACATGATTGAACAACATAAACAATAGAACTGGATATATTTTTGTAAAATAACTATAAACACTAAAATAAACTAGTTTCAACTTTCAACATATTAAATCTACACACAAACCATTTAATTTGCAATTTATTTCATAAAATGTTTCTGACACAATAAATAATTTAATATTTAACCGATAATATAGCTTGGCCAATTAACGGATGACAAACCATTAACGGTTTTACATTATAAAACCATTTGAACGTTTTGGTTGACAAACCACACAACTGTTACTGGATTATAGTAACATATTGATGGTGCATGCTAATTAATACTTAAAAATATGCAAGTAGATGATTGTTATGTCAACTGATTCGTAGATTAGTACTATAATATAGCGAGATGACTGAACACCATAAACAATTGATCTGGATATATTTTTTGTATAAGAAACTAGTTTCAATAGATGAGTACAACTTTCATTTTTGCTACTTGTATTTTTTTTTTTTATCACATGTATAGTATCATGGTCACGTTTTAAACACATGATGACGTAAACTTTTGATAACTAACGTGAATGGTGAAAAAGTTATAAAGTCACGTTTCTATAAATTTGAGAAGGTTTGGATGTCATTCATCATGTAAGTTACAAACTTCAATCAACCATTTTTGTGTGTTTGGCGACTTTGTGCTTTGGCACTTGGAAATGTTAAGATGGACGAAAAGTTCGTGGACTTATCAGTGCGAAAAACAAAACAAAAAAACACTTGATTTTGTAAGACCTACAAAGTTTTTTCATGCACCGTTACTTTGTGTAAAGCGATTTCCATCTTGCCGAGTGTTTTTGGGCAATGCTAGCTTGTGTGGTCAAATTCCATTTGTAAATTGCAGAGTGAACGATGTCACCTCCTCCTTCTTTGTAATATAGTAACCGAACATCAACTTTTACTTTGTGTCACAAATTCATAACTTAGATGATGTGATATGCTTAGATGGTGAGTTTTTTCCCCCGTTATATTATATATATATATGATTTAGTATTTTATTTGTTTTTCATTAACTTTTAGTTATTGCAGCACTTTTTCATCATCTTAGTAAATCTTGTTAATAGAATTATATATATATATATATTTTAAAAGTTGGGAAAAAAATTAATTGAACTAAAAAAAGATAGAAGAAAAAATTATCAGAACTATAATTAATCATTTGCCTATAGAAATCTTGGTTTTTTTAAAAAAAAATAAGAAAAGAAAAAAAGAAAACAACACAGATCATTTACAGAAAAATTTAGTTTTTGTGTTGAAAATATTTAAATGAAAATTTATATTGAGATCATTATTTTGACACTTTAGATAATGTATTTTTATTTAATAGACAAATTTCAACCTATTTGTTTATTACAATGTCTCCATTTAGTTTGGTCAGACTTATAATTATGAAAGCAATTTAGAGGGTGTAATTATGTGTTTTTATACTTTATGCTGTGCTGGCACAGACACACCGAAAAGAAGTTTAATTTTGGTTCTACTTTCTAAATATGGTTCTTTATGTTAATATATTTTCTTGTTGGTCAAGTATTCTATAGACAGAAATCAATTCAGTATAATGTAATTTATCTTCATAATCCAAAAGATTAGATCGGATAGGATGTATCCCCATTTGAGGAAAATATATTGGTAATTAATTATTCATATATCCGTTTTATTAAATACTTAAGGAAAATGTACACACTTCTAGAACAATCTTTTTACCTAAATTTCCGTTTTATTAAATACTTAAGGAAATGTCTCGCTAGCTACGACATTTAAATCCATTTCTCTCGTTTTTCTGGGTTTGGAGCCCAAGAAAAGAAACGTAAAAGGATAGAGGAAGTAATGATTCATTTTCTTATTTATTTATTTTCATATCCACTTACCAAAATCTGTTTAAAGCTTTGACAATCCTTCTCTATAAATCTCAAAATCTATTGAACGAAAACTCCACAAACAACTCAAACCACTTTTCTCTACTCCAGGTTTTCTTCTTCTTCTTCTCCTTCATTTTCGAGTTTTTTTGTAAAAGCTTTGTAGTTTTTCTGTTACAGTATTTTAATAATTTTTTTATCATAGGCTAGCGAGACAAGATTTTGGTTTTCCTGTTTTTTTTTTTTTTTGTTTAAAAACAGGAAAATAGGACGAATCACAACAATATATTGTCCTTTTTCCTTTAGAAAATTCTTGCCTGAAAATCTCTTGGTTAGG